CTGATCCCTGTCCTTGCCTGGCGTTAGTGAGGGTGGCTGTGGGTGCTCCATGGGTGCTCCGACCGCTCCGGCACGTCCATGGCATTTGCCTTCTGCGTGTTCAGGTGGGGCTTTTAGGTGGCACCACCAGCAGCGGGGATGTGATGCTGTTATTCCATGTCCTAGTAGAAGTCATAGTGGAARGAGGTCTCTGGTCAGGAAGAAAGGAGGTGTAGAGGTGCTCTGGGATACTGTGAGGGATGAGCCGTGCAGAAATAAGGTGTTTGGAGTTAATGGTGATTAATTCAGCTCTTGGGATAACTTGAACAGTATCTGGATGAAAAGTTAAAAACACAGGTGAAGTGAATAATAATGTGTAGAGCGTGATGAGCTGCTGCCTTTTCCTAGAGAGCTGGACTAACCTTGAGCAACGACCTCCTTCACCGAGGACACAAGCAGCTAATGACATTCCAGCTAATGATATTCCTTTGTCTTTTATCTCCGCGGGCTCCTTGGGGCAAACCAGGAGCCTGGTGGCTGCCTGCGTCCCGTGCGGAGCGTGCCGGGCGCGCGGCCCTTCAAGTGCTGGTTTAAACGCGCCAGCTCCGAGCAGGGCTCCGCGTAGCGGCCTGGGAGGCAGATGAATCGGCGGTGGCTCCGTCTCCAACCTTCGACGTCGCCTCCGCTCGCGGTTCGTTTGTGTGGCCCGCGCGGTGTATTCAGCATTAGAGTTCTTTAGGAAGCCTYGAGATCAAATTCTTGCTAATCAAATTTCAGGGGAGGTTAAAATTGACTCTCCTGTCTGCAAATAGCTCCTTCTCCTCTCCCRGTGTTCCTAGCACGCTGCCGGATGTTTTATTGGGCTCTCCTCTCTCTCTCTCTCCTGACCTTCTCCCTGTGTGAAATCAAATGAAAGCAGGAGTAGGGATTGTAAATAGAAAATGGTGTGTGGATGCAGATTCATCAGCGCGGTCCATGTTCAATAATGCTAATTGTGCCACGGGAGGAATGGCCCAAGTGTTGTAACTCTGCCAGGATTCTATGTGAAATACAGGAATGAAGCAGAAATAAAGCAAAACAGTTCCGCTACTGTGTTCAGAAGAGTTTTGATGCCCTTAACCTTTTACATTATGCAATGAAGGATGCTGAGGAGCTGTGTTTAACTAGGAGGCTTCAATTTCACTTAAAACCACTGAGAGTGGTTTTTCAGTTTTCCTTTTTTATATATTTATTCAGATAAGACAGGAGATTAAAATGGTTGTTCACTTCCCATGCCTCGTATTGTCAGACTGAAAAAACTAAGGTGATGAAATGTAAGTTCTAGGGTGGATGCTCTGTTCTCTGCAGAGCTTGTGGATTGAGACGGTGCTGAGCACAGAATGGATCCTGCCTTCCGTCACCGGGTAATGGTTATTGATTTTGTTTAAAAACCCTTGCTCGTATAGCTAGTTAGTCATTCCAAAGGCTTGGACTTCCTTCTAACGCATTGCCACATTCAGGAAGCTGAATATTTAACTCAGTGATTCATCTCTGCTGCYGAGAGCAGCAGGAAAGAGGAGATGGGGGCAGATGGACAGAGGGATATTGAAGTTTCCCAAGTTACTTTAGATGCCCTATTAGAAAAGTAAAAACAGAAGTCTGGAAAAGAACCCGTGGCAAAGGTCCAGCGTGCAGGGGCTTTGTTTACATGCCTTCACTAGACAATTAGAAATTCCGTCATCTATTAGGCTGATGGTAGGTGTTGCAAATTCGGTGCACATCACGTAGCAGAGACGCGTACCGGGCAATGTGGGAAGCAGCGTCTGCTGCTTTTAATTAGCTCTGGGCATCTCAGGGGCTCTGCAATGTGGCTCTGGCCTCTCCCCGAAAGACAACGAGGAGGTTGGGGCTTAGGAAGGAAAGCAGTGTGACATTGAGCAGGCAGAGGTGCCACCGCCCCGGGGGCTGCCCGTGCCCGGGTCGCTCGCGGGAGCTCGCCGTCCTCGCGTTCCAGCGGGGAGGCTGTGGCCTCCCTGCCGAGCAGCCTTCACGCTGCGGCATTTGCATGCGGAGCCCAGGCGGCCGCCGCAGTTCCACTGTGTTTATCTGTAATTAAATATTCCATTATCAATTAACCATTAATGCTTCCTGGTGTTTATTTTAAACCTGTGGGAGCCTTGCAGTTCAATTGAGCTCTCGAAGTTTTCCACTGAGTTGCTTTGTGCCGTGCGAGGTCCTGGGTGCTCTGGGCCCCTGAGGGCGGGCGGCACTGCCGGCCTCTCACAGCCCTTCTGCACCCCGTGGGCATCTCCCTCGTGGGCTGCCGGGGCAGAACCTGGAGTGGAAGCTCTGCGAGCAATTAAGCTAATTCAAGGGGAAGGCCTTTATTTTCCTGAACCAGCTTCCATTAAATACTCATATGCGCTGTCTGAAAAAGCAATTTAGCGGTGAGATTTGAAACGCTGCTCACCTGTGGAGAAGTTAGTGTGCTCAAAACGCCTCCTGAAAGATGGATCATTACTAGTCTTGTTTAAAAGAGGAGAAAAAGAGGGCAGAATTCAGAGAGGCCACTTGCTTTGCCATGGCTCGATCCGCCGCGCTCGCATCCTGCCAGCAGCATCTTTGGCCCCGCGGGGGTTTGACACCATTTGTGTCCCTTTCTTGTGCCTGTGGTTTGTTTTTTAGCCCCGAGCTGTTGCGCGACCCGCGATCTGAAGCGGCGACAAATACCACGACCTGCAGCCTGACATTAGCAATAAGCCGCTGCCTGTAGAGCTACCGGCGATGGGAAGATAAGAGGGAGGAGAAGGGAACCCTGGAGAAGCCTCCTATCTCTGGGAGCCTAAGCCCTGCTTGATACGGAGTGGGAACCTCGGAGCGATTTGTGGCTCCCTCAGTCCTTTCTGAAGCCATCCGTGTCCTGGGGGAGCAGCACGTGGTGCTGAAGAATTCTGTGTCAGGAACACGGGGAGCCGTTTTCTTTCCCCCTAAGTCTTTTACTAGCAGGGCAAAGGAGGGCCAGAGTGCTGATCGATGGATTGGTTTTGTGTATTCTTGCTTTTGCCTGCAGTGATTATTCCTGCTATTGCAAAGGTATTTTGCAATTCCTTTTATTGCAAAGGTTTGCTATTGCAAATCCATTCATTTCTCTAATTGAGTTCCAAAATACTACATCACTGGCCTGTTAGAAATCTAGCTCTTAGGCTCGTGTATCCAGGATCCCTGTCCACCTCCAAGGACGAGTTGAGCTGAGGACGTTGCTAGTGGAGTGGGTGTTCCCGGCGGCAGGCGAGGGTGAAGCCCTCTCAGGCAGGTTGACTTTATTGCTCTCTGGTTCTTATACCGGRTAATTGAATTACTGAGCTCTGTGCAGTTAGGAAAGCAAAATTTGGCTCTGTATCCCTAAAGATTATTTATGAGGAGTTTGACTGTTGATTCAGAATGAATAATAAAATAACCTCTGGGGGTAAGAGTATTAAGTTTGAACATGTTGTCATAACAACCGGCCCCGGTAACTTTCTCAGAATTGGTTTTAGACATCCCAAGATTGGTCGCAACCCAAAATATGATTGTTTGAACTTAGTTATTTGGAGAAGTTTCAAATTAAATGGATTTGGCTTCCTTTGAGTTACTCAAGGTTGGAAGAATGACATGCAGAGTTTCTTTTGATAACATGCTGCCTTTCCAAAGGCTGTGCAGGAATGAAATGAAAATAATCAATAGATAAATAATCAGGTATAATCTTAGCTCTGTAGTATAAGAAATAGGTTTCCAGTCACACTTCATAATTACGCAGAATTCAGCCTGATGCAGGAGTTAATGCATGGTTTAGAGTCTGTACTGTAGGTGGCAGAGATGCATTAGTTATGCAGTATAATTATCTTGGCCACTTCATTAACAAGTAGAACAGGAATATATGGAAGTTCATCTAGCATTAATAAATATATTGCCAAGTATCATTTTGCATTCTACTGTTTGCTTTAGAACTTATCTTTGGAGATGTTAAATCAATGAAGGACTAATAAATGCTTTCTTGGGTGTCCTGATCTTGAAAAAGAGCAGTTATAAAATTTGAAATATCCCTGTGAATGGAATAGATTTATAGAATCCTTTTGCCTTTAGCCAAAAAAGAACAGGTACTGGAATACCAGTAATTTTTATGTAACTGACAGTCTATGATTAAAAAATGAAAATAGGCTTTGTTAAGGGTAATAGGGTTGGTAATGGCTCTGGTCATAGTGGTTTTGTTTGCCTTGCTGTGGTTCATGTTACCATTATATAGCTGGGTTCAAGGGTGCTGTGACTTAGGTAAACCTTGTTCCAGACTTAGACTTGGCATGTGACAACCCAGCCAAGGATTATGGGCTTTTTCTTTCCCGGAATTTAATAAAGCAAACAGCATTAATTGAGACCTGGGAGGGGGCAGTAGGAAGAGAACAGTCGCTGAAATGACTGTTATGGGCTGTGGAGCTTTCCACCTCAGGTTTGATGGTTGTAATCTTCTCTGGGTTTTGGTAGATCATAAATCATTGCTTCTTGCTAGCTACTTCCAGTAAAGGAAAGCCATGTGTGCAACCCTTTTCCTTCCTCAGTTAAATTAAACGTTTTTATTAGCAGAGTGAAGCGAACCCGAAGGCAGGAATAGAATGAGCTTGAGAACCGAGCTCATCTTGCSTGCCCTGGGTATTAGTGTCCACTGCCACGTGCTTGTTCTCTCCGTGTGACAGAGATAAGGTACAAAAGGAGACACAAAGCAACAAGTTTAGGGGTGTTTTGTACTCTTTGCTCATACTCTGTGTGGTGTAGGAGAGGGTTTGAGCCTCTTGATTCTCCTTTCTGACTGGCCACCCCAAGAATGAGTCTGTGTCCCTGTGCGGGTCGGGCCGTCCCGCATGCCCCGCTTTGCACGAGGTGCTTCCTTGGAGCAGGTGGCACTCGTTAGCGTCTCCTACATTGATGCAGGAGACACTTGAAGGGCAGGCTTTGGAATAGAACTCACTTGTCAAAATAACATTTGCCTTTTACCGTTTGGTTTCTTCCAGGTTTACTGGGATGAATCTGCCTGCCCCGGTTATCAGCAGTAAAAATTGGCTGCGGCTTCACTTCACGTCGGACGGCAACCACAGGCAAAAGGGCTTCAGTGCCCAATATCAAGGTAAATGCTTATTGCTCAGTCTGCCTATTGGCAGCGCATGCTATCCCTATTTTATTTGTCCTCCAAGAGTCTATAATTAATTCTTGTRTGATTCTTCTGTATCCTGTTAACTGTTAACACTATCTTCCAGCCAGGCATCCTGGTTCTTCCATGTCTGGTGCTGTGGGCAGTGTGTTGTGTGAATGCTCACGTGCTTTAAGGTTCRTTTGCACTGAGTGCCTCGTTAGCAGCTGTAGACTGTGCTGTGGCTTCAGCAGAGCCAAGGGGCATCGCGGGGCCGAGGGCAGCGTAGAATTCTGTTCGGTGACACTGTCAAAGCGAGAGCCGCCCCGGCCTCTTCTGAATGAGGTGCAGAGTCTCCTGGTCTTGTTAGTCGTTTGTAGAGGGATGAATTTCAGTATTGGGGTCTTAAGATGCTGCTGAGAGAGACAGAGGAAATGCTGATACGGGACACGAGTCAAGCGGAGGCAAGATGCCGTTCGGCGCTTTGGAGGCAGTCGCAGGAAACTGCAATTAAGTGATTAGCCCGTCTCGTAAACTGGAGATCAAACCACTGCCTTTCCGGAAATGATGGTTCAGAAAAATCAATTGGCTCTGCATCCAGCAGCCACAAGGACGTGAGAGCAAATGCAGCATCATCTCCGGGCTGCGGTCGTGCCAGCGGTGGGGCTGGGGAGGACCTGGGATGAGATGGACAGGCYGGTGGCGGGTCTGCAGAGTAACGGGCTCACCTGCACTTACGCTGAGATAAGAAATGGAGAAAGAGGTGGATTTTGCGGTCTTTTAACCACCAGATGCAGGGAGAGATGGTCGGCAGAGCCCTGGGAGCTTCACTGGGAGCCGTGCCGAGACCCCAGCCCTTGGTCCCCTCTGCTGTGGCCGAGGAGGAACACACTGAAACGTGTGTCCAGGGAGCTGGCAACGTGGTTTGGAACTGGCAGGACCCTCTTTGTGGAGGACTTGAAAGTGCTCAGTGGCCATAGCCACCATCAATGCTTTCCTTCCTCTATAACCACAATTTTTAAATATTTAAAACCAAATCTTTGATTTTTTTTTTTCTTAACAGAAATGAATGTGTGCAACTGATGGCTCTTGATATGACATTTTCCTTTGCAGTCATGATTGCTGCTTTCTATTAAAACATCTGTCTTAATCATCCTTTTTTTCTTAAATAGAAAAGTAAAGATTAATGTTATAATTTCCTCTGATTAGATAAATGTCAGGGGCTTCTAATCTAGCATCCTCCTTGGAAACTGTTTTGTTAGATATAATGAGCTGTGCTTTTGTGTATTCAGTGCTTAAAAGATGAACTTAAAAATGTGCTCTTGAAATGGCCTTGAGGCAGGACGTCCACCTCGCTGGCACCGGTTCATCAGGCACTTGTGTGCTGCAATTTCTATACTGAGATTTTTATATATTGACAYTTTCTACCCTGCCCGCACCCCCCMMAAAAAAAAAAAAAAAAAAAAAAAAAAAAAAAAACCAGAAGCTGCTTTGAGACCCGTATTCAAACTATCCAAGTAGGCAATTAGGTTCACAGCCCATCTTGTTGTCAGGTTTGTGCTGCCTCTTAGAGGATTTTTTGGTACTTCAGCTCCAAAACCACCCACCAGACATGCAGGTAGGATTGTTGCAATCAATGCAGACAGTGTTCATAGAACATTATAGATACTCAGAAAGCTCAATGTAAACCTTTTTAGTGGAACAGAGACTTGTTTGATCATAAATATTTAAATAGAGAGAGATAGATAAATAGATACAAAATGGGACAGGTCAGGCTATATGAAGTAGAGCCGACAAAATGTGTTTTTAGCACTAGAGTTGTGACTTGACCTTGGGATTGTCTAAGAGGAGGAAAAAGAGCAGATTAGAATGAATCAGATTTCTTGTCTGCYTTCCAGTGATATGTTTGTAATTTATTAACATCCTGCATCCTCTGAGACAGTATCTGGTGTTGCTGATAATCTGTAAGAAACTCATTCCCCTTCCAACTTGTTTTACGTTGATGTTCACTCCTAGCAGAACACTTCCTTTGTACGCTGCCTTTCAGCCCTTTCTAATCCATGCCCTAGTTTGGAAATCTATTTATGAATGTGGAAGCAAGGTTAGATACAATCAGCCTGTGTGCAAGTTCTCCTTATGTTGAATATAGTAAATTAATTCCCTTCCAGGGAGATTGGAGATGTTCTTCCTTTCCTACTGCTTTCATATAAGGTGAATCTTGCAGTCTTGCTAATACTGTGCTCCCACATCTCATGAAAGCAAATGAAAGGGGACCTATAGAGAAGTCAGAGAGTTGGATTTTCTTCCCCCTTTCTCCTCCTACCTATTACTCCTTCCCTCTTCGTTCCCCCAAAGGTGCAACGTACCTGCGAGTGATAAATGGAGCTAGAAATGCAGAGGACAGGCAATGGGGTTCTAACCCCAGCACCATCACTCATCTTCTTAGTGACGAGGTACTCTAAATAAGGTAATGAAAGAGCTGCTGAATTTAAAATGATGCTAAACAGATCTAAATGATGAGCTCCCTGTTGTAGTCCATCTCTCCAGCATATATTTCATTACATAAATAGGATCCCAAATTGCTTTCTAGCTGATTGTTACCAGCATATAATTGCATCTTTTATTGATCTCCCCTCCCCTTTCCTTTCCCTTCCCTTTTTGTCCTCCATCCTGAGAGGGAAGGATGAATGTGAGCAACTTGCAGCCCAGTCAAACCATAGCACAGTGCTGAATATCAGCACTCAGCTGCTGCTGCTCTTCCCTTGGTGTGCTTGCAAGTGGATCGCACTTCAAGGGAAACAGGTGTCTTAATTTGCTTCAAGTCAATATGCTATTAATTATTTTTTTTCTCTCAAGAAAAAAAAAATCAGATTAAAGGTATTCATGCCTGTGAGAAAGCCGTGAGCAGCATGAATTCTTATTCATGAGTGTTTTTAAGCTAATGTGGACCTCAGTTTGAAGTCATAACTGAGTTACTTACAGAAAAGACAAAGCTGGAGCCCCGTAACAAACCAAAAGCTGCAGCCCAGCATCTAGCATAGGAAACCATTTCCTTAGGTAAGCTTCAAGGCGCAACGCTTGACATCTCCCTGTCTGATGCTCCTGCAAACAGATGTTATTAACAGATTTTTTTTGAACCGCAAAAGCATGATTAAAAAACTTGTTAGTTATATTGGTAATTTTTCTTGACAACATTGTCTCAGAAATGTGCTAATTTAGAGATGAAAGTAAGACAAGATAAAGAACAAGAAAAGAACATTTTGAAGTGGAAGATGGGCTGCTTTCTTCCGTAGATAAGAACTGACTCATCAGGGAAGGGATCCTACAAAGTGATTTTGGACATTGTGCTTTCACATGTCAAGTTCTTTAACCACCTTAGCTTCAATTATGCCAGGAAAAATTCTGCTGTTCGTTAGTCAAAAATRTCGGACTTTACACTCCATGGAGGGAGGAGTTGGGTGCCTCGGGCAGCTTGTGCAAAACCCTCTGGGGTGGAGAGGGCCATAGCAGCAGSCAGGGGTGGAAGAAAACAAGCGCTTGCTCAGATGGGCCATGAGTCTTTGTCTGGAGCAGAAGTACGGGGCGCTCTTGGTGCTGGCGGGTTAGAAATCCGGGCGCTCCCTCACGTGTAACCTTGTCTTCTAGCCGCGGTTTAGCGAGGGAGGGCAGTGGTGGCAGCAGGAGCCCTCGTAGGGTCTTGCTGATCGTTTTGTCTTTGACCTGCTGATGGCTGTAAAGAGTGAGTTTCTAAGTGTGTACTCTTCTTTGCCCGTRATTTTGTCCATGGCTCTTTTGCTTAGCAATCTTACTGGCTTTTTTGAGTGTGCTGTTTGTTTAGACCAGGTGCCCCGGGTCGAGGTTATGGAGGGTTCGTTTGAGCGCTGTGTTCCCAGAGATGCAGAGAAGGGTTTGGCTGCCTCATGTCTCTCCATACTGACTACAGCAGCAGAACTAGGTAGAACTTTGCCCAGCATTAGACTTACGGGATCCTCACACTCCTGAACTTCTCTCTTGGCCATTTCCCATTTCAGCTTGCTAAGCAAAATGAACTAGGATGGAGGGGGTGATTGTTCTTCCCAATTGCCTTGTTYGTATTGGGTCATTTCAGCGCAGATCCCCAAAGATACGAGTGCAGACATCAACAGAGGTAAATGAAAAGAAGCCCTGAAGGCTTTGAGGGCTCAGGACGGTCGTGTGGTGCTGGAGCTGAGTGTGGCCTGTGARGCTGGTGCCAGTTAAACTGAGGCTTGGGGAGGGCAGGGTCTGTTAGCTCAGGAGTAGAAGAGTTCACCAAACTCCAGGTTGATCCAGGCTATGGAGGAAGACACAGCATATCCTGAGGTGTAGGCAGTATGTAGTTGGTGCTTTGTTTTCTTTTACAAGAATCCCTTATACTTAGGTTAACCTTGTCTTTCTTTTAATTTTCTCTAGTCAAAAAACAAATTGAACTGAAGTCCAGAGGGGTGAAGCTGATGCCCAGCAAGGACAATAACCAGAAGACATCAGTGTGTAAGTTCCCTGCTTCTCCTTACGCTCTCTCAAATGGTCTCCTTGCACATTTCATTTGACTTCAGTAATCGCTAAAACTTTGTCACTCTTGAAAGTTTTAATGCTTCTCCCTCTCCTCCCTCTGCATTACTGCATCACTCCTTCCAGTGCTCTATTCACAAGCATTTACTAACCCCTCGGAGTGGGAACGCAGGGGATTGGTGTGTGCACATTTGATATATACTGTATGCTTCCTGTTCAGGGACAGCCCGGGGTTCATTACTTTTGTCGCCTTTTAGTCTGCCAAGTGTCAAAAAATGAAGAATTTTGAAAATCGAATTAGTATCTTTGTGGTAAAGTTAGGAGTTGAGATAAGGAACTACAGAAAAGCTAGGGAAGCGATAGCAGTATCTTGCTGTTTGCCTTTTATTTAATTATTCCTCCTTGCAGAAAAATCATACCGCTTTTCCGTGTGAGAGCTAGCAACGCCCGCTTTAATGACTGCCCTGATAAGTTATCACCTCGAGCGTGTCGCGTGGTCAGCGTCTGTAAGGGGGTGCCTAGCGTGTCACTTCGCCACTGGKGTGGTCCCTTAGGTCTGCTCGTCTTTACCGTTAGTTCTTCTTGGATCAGAAGTTGTTCTGCACGTGGTTCTGGGCAGAGGGCTGGACTCTTAAGAGGGTGGGAGAGGTCTGCACTGTGTGGTGAATTTTATAGAAATCCACATGGGAGCAGAATGTGGCATTTAATAGTTTTAAAGGAGAGGGTATAATCATTGTGTTGCATAGTCCATTAGACCCACTTCACATCCTGAATTTCAGGTGCAAAATTCAGTTAAGGAAAATGGATGAACTGAGTTTAAAACACAGTTAAAAACATCACTCACTGTCATTGCAAAATGAAGTCGGCTCGCTTRCAGGCTTGCACGAGAGGGCTTAGAGTCTCTGGCTGGTCAGGAGAAAAGCTCGAAAAGGTAACTCAATATAGGGTGCAAATTACTCCATATCTCCAGAGCAGAAAATGGTGGCGTTTGTTAGGAGAAAACCAAAATTTCAGGAAAACCTGTGTCCAAGAGGTTCCTACTCATATAAAATATTCTTGACAGGAGCAATTCATTTGACCTTTTAAGATCTTATAAATAGTTCACTTAACTGAGGATGAGATTATATTGGAAAATACTGTGGCTTTTGTTGTGTGCACCCTGGAGCTCCAGCGGAAAGCGGGAGCTGTCYTGGACCCTGGGGCAGGCAGGGGTCTTCGCTGCGTGCAGATGTTGGCCTGCTTTGGAAAGACTTGTTTGCTTTCTGTAAGGCTGTGGGTGTTGTGGGAAAATACAGGATTTCCATTTCCCCTTTCTGGGAACGCAGGACCGCTGCTCTGTGGGAGTTTCACTGAACGTTGTCGTTAGGAAGCCCAAGGAGGCTGCGGAGGAGATGCCAGCGGCACCACGCAGCCCATTCTGCCCCAGGCCTGCTCCATGGTGAGGGCCAGAGCGTAGGAAGTCGCTGCAGCTCTGCCCAGGCCGCCCTCGCCCGATGCTGAGCAGACGTCAGGCTTCAGAGCTGTCAATTCAGCATCCTGCGTCGCGCTAATCTTGTCGTATTTGATAAGGCAAACAGCAGAGTGCAGGAAGCAGCTTAGCCTGAAAGCTATTAAGCTGCAATAATATATATGGCCATAGTGCTGTGGCCCAATTCTTCTCGTTTCCAGCATGGTGCCTGCCACAACCCGTGTGTCTCCAGCTCCTTCCATGAGAGCGTCTCTCCGCTGGGTCTGGGCTGTAAACCCAGATTAACCTCTATCTTGCACAGCCTTCTGCTGTCACACCTCTGTTAGAGCAAATTTTCAACTTCAGAAATGCTGATTCTGGAGAAGATGCCTCCAGAAAATGGTTTATCTTCCGAAAATGGAGCCCAAAACGTTATCTTCCTTTTCCCTTGCTTTTTTTGACCTGCATGGCTAGCCATGCCCCATCTCACCTCTAGCTTTCGTGTGCTTGGGAATCTGCGTACGCATCAGAATAACTCTACAGGAGGAAGAGGCTGATTAAAGGTCCRTGAAGTTTGGTGGTTGTTGGTCTTATCATTTCACATGGCTTGAACATGAGAAATTCAGAAATTTCTGTGTCTCTTGATAAAAGCTAGTGCTTTGCCGTGCTTTATTTTCAAACACTTTGCTACTGCTCCTGTTTCCAAGTAGATTTTGCATCTCTCTTAAAATTCTGACTTGAAAAATCTATGGGCAAAAAGGCAGCTTGCAGCTACCTGCTTTAATATCCTGCCGGTTTCTCAGAGGATTTTACTTGAGAATCATAGGATCATTATGGTTGGAAAAGACCTTGAGGATCGAGTCCAACCGTAAACTGTACTTTGCTGAATTGAAGCTGTGGTTAGTTACCAGATCCTACCTGGGCACATTAAAACCTGTGTGTATCTAAATGGAGGCAACGTATTTCAGAAAAAAATAATACAAATACAGAATTTGGAGGGGAGTTGCTAATGGTGCATGGATGAAGTTGAACATGTTTATTTGAAATTTAAATTGAGTGCTTCATAGTGTTCAGCTTCTCTAAAACTAATTGGGCATCTTCCTTTAATCATTTTTAGAGGGGGAAGAGATACTGCTCTGGAGAATAAGCTGTAAGAAATATGGCTTTAAAATTAAGATTGGCTGTAGGGGATTGTCTTACTGAGACACACTTCCTGCATTTGCAGTACTCTGTAAGCAATGACAGCATTGCATGCGATACATAAATATACTCCCCATTCATACAGTATGAGAAACATGGTGTTTTTCTTACAGAAAAGAGCTCTAAGGTGGCTTTTCCTCACCCTGAAAATGCACGACTGAACATTACTGGAAAGAGTCATAAGAGACAGTGCAAGCTCTGCGTGTCTTCCATTTGGTCTCTGTAAAATGTGCAAGGCAGAAATCCTTCAGGGAGTACCGCGCAGTTGCAGGTGACAGCCCAGTGTGCAGAAGCTGCTGGAAGTTGAGCACTGCAGCAGAGCCCTGTCTGCAGCAGACGGCGAAGCGCGACCGTGTGGCCGGGTGTGCGCCGCGCCGCAGCGGGAACGTCGCGCCGGGAGCAGGGCTGGCGCTGGCAGCACAAGGCACCTTCGCTTGCAAAGAGGTGGTGGCTTTGGTGGAAGCGCTGCAGGAACGCTCTTTGCAAAAGGCRGTCTGGAAAATGTGAAAGGCTGTAAATGTTTCTGTGCTCGTATCCTTCTCCCTCCCTTCTCCTGCTTGTAGATAACGACAAGAAATGAAACACGGGGCAGGAATCCCCTGTTCCCGGGCAGCGGGTGATGTCTCCAGCACTAGGATCTGTAGATGTAGGGGGGCTGGCACTGCTCCCTTGAACGCCCCCGGGTGCCGGCTGCCTGCCAGGCTGGTGGAGCAGGAAGGCAGCGAGCCCTGGTCGGGGTGACCGTGGCAGCATCAACCCCGCGCTCCTTATTTTAGCACTCAAYGCCGTAATCCACTAACTTCAGCAAATGTTTGCAGGGAGTAACTTCAAGCCTGAGTTCATAGAGGATAATTCGGCCTCTTCAGAACAACTGATAACCGCTAAAAACTTTTTTATTTCCTCCCTCAGCAGAAGAGTTTGCTTGTTTATTTTTACTGTATTTCTCATGCTGAGAAACCTTTTTCTGTACAAAAGCTTTTTAGGCATTGCTCTTGTCTTGTAGCTCATATTTAACACTGAAAGTCAATTWAAAAAAAAAGTCCCTTGGGAACCTATCGGTGAACTTCCTTTATTAACCTGAGGAAAGGCGGGGAGCTAAAGTATGCTCTTGGTTCTTCCTTCAGCAGATGGAGTACATTGCTTTGGCCAACAGCAACCCTAGCTGGCTGCTACCAAATGCATCAAAGTTGTTGTAAACAGAAGGGAGTGGTGAGGGGGGAAAGCACCTCCACAGTTCAGGAGAGGGAATCCTTGAGCCTGCAATTTAAAAATTGGACAGTTCATCACACTTTTGAAGATCTATTGTTTTCCTGGTAACCTTGAAGAACTCATTGAAATGCTAAGCCGGGGCATAGATCAGTCAAACCTTCGGGAGGATGAACACAAGTGACAGCAGGTTCGCAGCATAACAAATATGGTTTCTAAGCTTTGGTTTGGTTACGGTCATGTACGGGTGCTTATAACAAAAGCCAGACCCAAAGTTTCCCTAAGTGACCATCGAATCCATCCTCTCCCTTCCATTTCCTCTCGTGTTTATGAAGTGAAGCGTTTCAACAGGCGTGAAATGGAGGCACCGTTCCTTCCCCAGGCTCGACTGGAGGACAGCAGTGTTTAGATGGAGACCGGCTGGAGAGGCTGCTGGTGGTGCCTGTGTCTCCTGCTCGCTGTGGTTTTCCTCTGCAGAAGRTGCAGAAATACTAAAAAGAAGAAATAAGAAATCGTAGCACTTTTGTTTGAATACCATATGGACTTGTGACATACAGCCCTAGGTTGTGGACGCTAATTTAAACTGTTAGTTTGACCTTGACGCGCTCTCCGTGTACGTGGCGGCGGCAGCGCCTGTGCGTAGGCGGGCGCTGGTTTCGGACCCRAGGAGCTGGGTCGTTCTCTACCTTGCTCGGGCAGCTGCACGTGGGCTCTGCGCGTGGGTGGTAGCACATCTGAAGCCTCTGGCCCTAGAGCAAAGTAGCCAAACTATGCAAAATGTTTACAGCAAAGGCAAAAATCCTTTCAAGCTTCGGATTTCCTAAAGACTGTGATTTATGGCATAATTCCCTTTTCAAAACTGTGCTTTCAGAGGCCAACTCTTGGCATGATTTTCCTGGTGCTTGTTTGGGTTCCGGTGAATCATGGAGGGGGGTTCTGGGCTTTCCATTGTTGCTGGGGGGGCGCGCGGGAGCTTTATATGAAATTAGGAATATGCTGCATTAGGCAGAATGAGGAAAGACGGTCACTGAGGAGCCTGGGTGCCCCCCAAAGCCTCTGCAGCGCCCGGCTCTGGCGGCGGGAGCAGCCGGGGCTCTGTGGGGCTGCAGACCCGCGGGGCGGTACCTGGCAGCCGCGTGGGCTGGTCTGGCCTGGCACGGCCGCGTTCGCGTGGGCGCCCCGTGTGCCCGTGCGGGATCTCCATGCCTGCACCTCCACCCACCCCTCTGCCCCGGATTCTTCCGCAGGTGCTTTCTTGRGTAGTTCTAGTGCTGCAGAATGGCGGCGAGCACGTGCCACGTCACATTTGAGCCTCGGCGGGAGCCCTCGGGTTTCGCTGAGGCCGAGTCTGTGCCCGTTTGCGCCGTGGGATGGCTGCTAGCGGGGATGTGGCGGCAGGGAGAGGCAGAGCGTAGGGCTGAGGGGTGCTGCAACCCGGGGGGCCGGGTTATTCTGTAAGAATTTCCACATTCAAACTAAATCACTTGCTTTAAAACACTAGGCTCCCCTCTCCCTCTCCGTGCCCGCCCTCGTTGCTGGCCCGGTTCCTCGCCGGCTCCAGCTCCTGCTTCCCCAAGGGATTCTCGGCCCCCCTGGTGCCGCTCGCACGGGCTCGGGCAGCAGACTGTCACCTCGGTGTGTCACAGGTGGTCGATTTAATCACAGGCTTCGGAAATGGGCTGCTTAATTGGTGTAATTTTGCAGAATGAAAAAAATCTCTTTCAGAGGTGCTTCTGTAGCAAAACAGAGGGAAAACCACGTCCTTAGCTGGCACTTACTGGAAACCACTTTGTTGTTTGAGCTGAAATGAATCCAGTTAAAGTTGTTTCCAAAGCTGCATTTTTCTAAACAAAGTGGACCACGTTCAGGATTTTGAGCTACCAATTGCCATTTTTCTCTCCTCATCCACCAAGACAGTTGATAAAAGAATGTTTCTTTTGCTATTCTGTCTCTGTATGTGCTGTTTTTGCTTTGTAGTAACTCAGGTTGGTGTGTCCCAGGGACATAATATGTGTCCAGACCCTGGGATTCCAGAGAGAGGCAAAAGAATAGGCAACGATTTTAGGTAAGCCCTCGTGCGCGTGTGTGTGTGCATGCAGCAAAGCGCTTGCTCGGCCCGTGTTGTGCTGCCCACCATCACATAGTGGCTTCTGTAGAGAGCACCCACACGCCTCTCCATGTGCTGTGTCCTAAAGCTTGCCCAGGCCGGTGCTGTGAGAGAGAAAACCTGTATAATCTGTGCCCGCGCGTGTGTGTGTGAGGCAGCATTGCAGCTGAGCAGCTGTCATCTGTCTTTGAGGATTTTTTTCCTCTAAATGCTCCTTTACCTAGAGCTATATAACCAGTATCCACTGTCGTCCTCCTCTCCAGTGCAGGAAGACCCATTTAAACATGAAGCGAATCCTTTCTTGGATTAGTTTAAATGCCAGCATGGCTCTGCCCCTCGTAAATTTGAGGCAACTTCCCAAAGCGCTGGTACAGCTCCTTGTCAATAAGTATATGTGCTGCTGGATAATTGTTTTCTTATAAACTTTAAAACAGTGCTGTTATCCCCTTGTAGTTGCTAGCCTTCATTTAAAGTGTGCAGGAATGAATCAGCCTGTTGTTAGCAATGGTGGATCAATATTTAATCTTATTTTGCTGTCGATGGCTGTTTTGTTCACTAAAAATGTCTTTCAATTTAACCTGAATATATCAAATTCTCCTGAAATCTGGAAAATAGATTGGTGGGGCGAGGAAGCAGGGAAATACCCCAGAGCTCCTCAGTACCCTTTGATCAATTCTTAGCACTGGCTGTGCCAGTAAGGCAGCATTGGCTGAAACCATTGAAGGATCTGAATCCAAAGCAAGAGAATAAACCACAAATGTTTTAGTAATAGGTGAAGATATATTTTTTTAATGAGGAATGCTGTGTGTGTCTCCTGAGGCCAGAGCCTGTGCCCTGCACAGAGTAAAGCTCCTGCTGCACTCGCACTGAAAGCATCAAATGTGATCTTGGGCAAATGGTGCCCGGCACGAGCAAGTGCCCAGGGTGAATGATCAGCCCTCACATTCCTCGTGGTGCCAGGGACCGGGGAGGGCACTCCGTTTGCCATTTGGGACAGTTTAAAATAAAGTGYCAAGCTTGTTTCTGCTAACATTGCTTTGTGTTCTGTCTGCTAGGTTAGGATCCAGCATCCAGTTCACCTGCAACGAGGGCTATGATTTGCAAGGGTCCAAAAGCATCACCTGTAAGAGAGTGAGTGACATAATTGTTGCATGGAGTGACCACAGGCCCGTGTGCAGAGGTGAGAGGAAAGACAGATTTTACCGAGTTATTAGGACTAATGAGAAAATCCATCTCCTTCCTGCATCTCCTGTTCTGTCCAAAAGTTTGTCACCACTTAATGACTGCCTTTTCCTTTTGACTTACTGCATTGCCACTCTCAGTTTTTAAAGGGATGCTTTCAGGTTGCCAAGTCCCAGCCTCCCCATGGAGGACACTCTGTCCCCCATCTGTTGGTTCTCCACTAACCTTACTTATTACAAATAACTTATTTTATTGCAAATAGCTTATTACTTATTGCAAATAACTTATTTTCAAAGGTGGCCTCCTGCAACCTCCTCATTCCTCAGCTTCCTTTTGGTTCAGTCTTCCTTCTTTTTGGCTGGTCTGAGCTCTTCTCTAGCAGTCCTGCAGTGAGTTTGAGGACTGTAGGAATAGCTGGTCTTTTAAYATGGAACATTTGGGCTGCCACTACCCTAAAGCTGGCTGTGGAAGGAAAGATGCACAAGTCTTTCACCCTACCACGCTCTTTCTTAAGACTTAGGTGCTCGGCAGCCCTAGTGCAGCCTTGTTTTCCAAAGCCTGTGTCAGGCAAGGGACCCAACTGGAAGAGCAGCCACTTGATGCTGTCAATCCATTGGAAAACTTAGCTCTGCACCGCTGCCTCTTCAGCGCAGTGCTGGGTGGGCTTGTAATGGGAAAAGGGAGCTGATTTTTTCCAGCTTCACATTCAAAAATCATTAGGATTTTCCCATCTTCTTTTCTAAAGATGATTCTTGTTTTACCGAGAGGCAAGTACTTTACATACTGTGGCTTCAAATTTTCTGTCTTTGAGTACAAGCCTGAGAAGGATGGTGTTATTTGTCTCTTACATAGTTATTTTATTCCAAAAACTCAGATTTTAAGAAAAAAAAGCTGTTCCTTTGCAAACTGCAGCTAATAATGTTATTTTCATTAACTACAGAGCTGACTAACTATAAGCTATTAGCTCTGTAGCCTGTGGATTATGTGACTGGGAGCGAGGAGGCAAGGTAAAAGTCTGGGATAAAAACCTGGAAAAGCTAAGATGGAGGGAGAAGCTTTTAAATGGAAGTTGCCCCTAGTAGACTGGTAACATGGGATTACTTGGCTTRTGGTTGCAAACTGGTATCATCCTCTTTGTCCTGTGGCACAACCATGAGTTGTGTGCAAAGGGAGTTCTCTTTCGGTGGAAAGGTCAAAACTGAGGCCTGTTTTTTTCCTCAACCATTTTGTTTCCCATTTTTTATGTATATAAATATATAAAATGGCATGCATATTTGTGATACTTGTAATGCTAATAATGAACATCTTGTAATATTTTAAATGAAATCCCTCTAAAGCTCTTAAAGTCATAAATTGGTAGTTTTTCCTATTCTTTTTTTCTTTAATATCATCTGCAGAGTTTTGCAAGGCTTTGGAATCCCATCTAATTCTTGAAACAAGCCTAGAATAAATTGCATCACTCTAAGAGGATATTTGGCATRAGTATGTGACACTATAAAGGAAGTTTATGGTGTCCTCTTGCAAGAGATAAGAAAGGATTTGCCTGCGTTATTATGATTCTGTGAATCAACTTTTTTTTTCTTCCTACATATAACTTTGGGGCTGTTTCTCTTTCCAAAAAGTTTTCTTTTTCCCTTTTCAGTTTCTGCTTTTACTAAGCTGTTTCTGAGATGCTCAGTAGAGCTGTCATCTTCGTTCTTTGAGACGTTTGCATCAGACTGAACTCAGCTCTCGCCTATTAAATACTTGTGATCCTTTTTTTGCCTGCATGAAAAAGAGCAATCTGGGCTCCCTGGGACATTAAAAAGAAACAGTGTCTTAGCTGGAGCCTTTGTGTGGTTATTGTGACCTTTCACAGTTCCGGACATACAGAAGTGTTTCTAAAGGGCTTCAACAGAGCAAACTAATACTAAATGAGTCTAAACTAGAGTGGCCTCTTGGTTAGTCCATTTTTTGTGATAGACCCTGGAAATGCCCCAGTCTCCTTAGCCTGGATAATTCCTTTGTCTCTGATGGTGCAAGGAAGAAAATGAATCTTTTTAAAAAGATGGCAAAGCAACAAAATGTCGATTCTCCCCCATGAGTGCTATGTGCATCTCTACTTTTCTCTTCTCCCTCAAGAGCCACATACCAATCCCTAAACCAGCAGTCCTCGCTCCATCTGTCCTCTCTTCTCTTCCACAGCCAGGATGTGCGACACGTACCTTCGTGGTCCCAGCGGAGTCATAACTTCTCCCAACTACCCCGTGCAATACGATAACAACGCGTACTGCGTGTGGGTCATCACCGCTCTCAATCCGGCCAAGGTGGGTGCTGCAGCTACCGCCGCGTTGCCGCTTCGCCGCCCCGCTGGAAGCAGTGGGGTAGCAGCGCTGCTTCGGGTGGCCTCTCGGACACACAGTCATGCAGGTTTCTCCTTCTCCTTGTGGCACATCTCTCCTCTTCTCCCAAATATTTCTCAACTGTCTTTAAAGACCGCGACACGTCGCATTGCCTCTCTGCTGAAAATTCGTTTTGTTATAAAGGATGTAATTAAAAGGGAGTGTAATTATTTTTAATGGAAACCTCTTTGATATCTTGCATGAATGGTGGTGAAATGCCAGACAGCTTAGCAAAGCATTTCATTAAGTGAGCTCTTTGGGGGCAGGAAGGTGGTGCCAGGAGTGCTGATTTTTCAGTTCCTTTGGGCTAATAGCTGGTCCCTGACCAACTGGGACTTCAACCCCTGAGGAGCTGAGAGGAAGGGCGCGAGGGGAAATGCTGCCCTACGGTGAGCTTGTACCAGTCTTTTCTGTGTGACTGGGGTTGGGAGGAGAGGAGATTGGTGGTGATGGATTTTTTGTCCCCGTCAGTCTTTGTATTCAAATGGGAAGGTTCAAGTCTGCTATCACTGATCCTGTAGGGACCCTCCCAAGATCCAGTCCTTCCCATTTTCCACGGTGCAGGGAGAGCAAAGCTCAGGCCCTCTCATTTCTTACCCTGCAAGCTCGGCCCCTCCGTCCTCCAGGAGGGCTGTAGCAAGGCTGCCAAGGGACAGAGCTGAACTTTTCAGCCACTTCCACGGCAGGAAGCCAACAGTGCTCAGTGATGCCCCGAACCATGTGTACTTCCTCTCTGGAAAGATGGCTCTGGACAAGTTTTATATTTTTAAACCCTTGGCCAAGAATTCTTTCTAATCTGTATGGGAGCATAAGAACAAAAATGACTTTTCAGCTGAATAGCTCAAAAGACTCCTTTTTGCTCTCAGAATCTCCTGTCTGCTCTCAGAAAAAAAGACAGGTTTCATTCTAGGATCTTGGTTCCTTGTAGTATTATCTGTTACTTATGAGCAAACCTTGCATTTCAGGGCACTGAGCTCATCTGCTTATGCAGGCAATTATTTCTTGGGTCTTGCCTCTAGACAGACTTGGCTTTTGGCACTCTACCTTCTGCTGCCGATCCAAAGGCATTTCACAAACATGATAGTATCCCAGGGTCTCATCTCTCGCTAGAAATTGCTCCAGTCTGTGGAAATAGTGGCAGCAGAGGCACATGTGCTGCTGCTCGCTGGCAATGCCCTGTGCTCCCGCTGCGCTCCCCTCCACGGCCTCGGCTGCGTCCGGGCTGCCTCAGGAGCYTGTTGAGTTCTGCTTCTCAGTGCCCCTAGACCTCAGTTCAGGTCTATAATAAGTACAGATTGCTATTGGGTCATGGTTTTAATGAGGAGTATTTCTGCATCCGGATTTTGGGATGAGTTTGTATTTAAAAGGCTGTCATTAGCTGGACCTTTCACCTAGCAAACATCTTGGTTTAACCGCGTATGAAAACAGTAATGACACAAATTCTGGGAGCCTGGAGGATATTTTTCAGTGCTGATGTATTAAGAGCATCTTGCTGGTTCATCAGATCCAGGAGATTGTCCTTCCCCGGGGTGATGCGTTGGGGTCTGGGCCGTTGCTGCTCTGTCTCAGCTGTGTTTCCCTGCCTATGTCCTGCAGACCCGCGTTGGATGTCCACAGACTGACTATTCACATTGCTTTTTGTGCATCTTGYTCTCTCAAAGAGGCACAAAATCCACTAGTAATGATTTAGTGGATAAAATCCCCCCTCTAATCTTAGGGCTGCTCCTTTACTTTTGCGCCAGCCTCATGGCCAGCCCAGGCAGTGGGTAACAAATCTTTCTTGCTCGTCCCTTCAGCTGCACGTGGACAATCTTCCCCCTTCTCAGCTTGCTGTCTTATGTTTCCAAAATTGCATCTTTGTGAAATTTTGCTTAGAGAAAGTTTTYCTTGCCCTGGCTAGATTCTTCCCCAGTCTGTAAGCTTTTGTGGTAATGAACTGTTGATTAGAAAACAAACAAATCGGCAAGTCCTGCTCCTCAGCTCTCATAAATCATGGAGTGAACTGAAATCAGTGAAATCTGTTAATTCCAATGCTTACCAACCTGCAGCAGGGATTCAATAGCAAAAGAAGGTGTAACTTGTGCTGCCTGAGCTACAGCATCCATCCAATGTAAAGAGGTGAMGCATAGCTGAAATCAGAGGGAGAGACTGATCAGAATCATCACCTTGGGTTAGCTCTCTTTAAAGAGGATTTTTTTCCTTTGAAGTGACAAATAGGTTAGTTAGCAGCCTGAGTTTATATAGGGTTTCTGGAASAGTTTGCTTGTTCAGTGCATCATCCTAGAAGGGTAATTTACAGATGGGGATGATGTTCTCCAGCTCCTTGGAGCACCGAGGGTTGATAGAGACACACTTGCCCTGCACAGGTGCGCGCTGCTTCTGCTGCTGATCTGTGATGTGGATCCAGACTGTAGATCCAAACTGCAGCCTTTGCTCTGTACGACTGGCAGAGGAGCCTCTGCTGGTGTCGGGAGGCCAGGCTTGGCGCGGCCTTGCACAGGCTCTTCTGCGATAGATGGAGAACAGTGAAAACAAATCCGTCTGCCTTACAGTTTCACTGCTGCTTAAAGAATTCCTGAAGACTCCAGAAACCGAAGCTGAGCACACAGGACCTCATCAGCGTGGTGGCAGTGCAAAAGGGCCTGTCCCAAACCCACTCCCCATGAAACTCAAGCCTCAGAGAGACGGTCCTTGTGCTGTTGATGAATTGTTGAATCCTACAGGTGGTATCACTGGYGTGGACAATTCCCTGTGTCTGTCAGGCATCCCGTGGTGCCTCCTGCTTGGACACGTACACGTGGCCCAATGTAATGCAGGCAGTTGCTGCGAGCTGAGTGTTAATCTCAGCCCAGTCATTGATAATCCTACTTGAGAAGTCATTTAGTGCCAAGTCTAATGCCCTGGTGCGTAAGATGCTTGCTTGAGGCGCAGCCTGTGTTGGAAGCGTGTTGCTAAATGGTCTTCTTCTGAATGACTCGCGTTGCCCTTGTGTGCAAGGGGGGATGATACCATCACTGCATGTTCTCAGCATTGGTGAAGGAAGCAATTGAAGGTGTATTAATTAAAATGGCTGTAAAAAAATGCTTTGAAGATGAAAGCGTGATGGGCCTAAGCTGCAGCTGAAGCCTACTGAAGGCAGTGGTAATCTTTTCATTGACTTGAGTTGCCTTTGGATCGGGTCCTATTATATGAAGCTTTTAATATGAGCGATGGGAAAACCACTGAGCTGTATTTAGACTCATTTGCAAGTCATCTGCTCTATATTTGGAAGAGAACCGCGAGCCAGATTCAGTGAGCTACATAATCCCCAAAGTTTGCTCAGAAGCCGACATAACAGCATTAAGGGCAGAGTGCTCTGTTGCTGACAACTTGGAGCTCTTTCCTGCGAGGAGGCCAAGGTGCCTCAGAACTATTTGGGGGATTTGTGGGAGGGCTTGAGGGTATGTAGATTTTGTGGTTGTCCCCTGTCCCATGGGAATGATTTCCCCCTGTGCCTTGGGAATTGTTTCGAGCATGGTGAAAAATAGATCACTCAGGAGCAGGCTGAGAAATGCATATGATAATTGGTGAATTTGCATCAAAACTGATACTTCTGAACCTTCATGACTTAATGGATGTCACTGGTTGATATTTCTCCTGGGGCGATTCCCGCCTAAAGTCTCCCTAGGCAAATAAAGCCCTGTCCAAGCTTCCTGTTTCATCGGTGGAGAGACGGGACCCTCCAGGGGATGATTCATCCCATATGCAGAGCGATGCTTAACGCTGGGGAGAGGAGAAAATGAATCATGTGCTTGTAAAGCATCTGCCTATAACTCTATAAGAGGTGCTGCACTCCACGGAGAGAATTATTGTGGTTTTTTTGGTTTTTTTTCTCCCCTATGTGACTGCACTTCAAATCATTTTGCAGTGTATCACGTGTCAAATTCAAGCCAATTTCCTTGACTTTGCTAATTGCTTCCTGCCACTTCAGTGGCTTAAAATTGAGGTTTTGTGCCACGCRTGTATTTGTGTGTGCCGGTAGATCTCTTGTTGTTTAATGAATCATTAAATAATTTTCAGCCTCCAACCCAAAGAGAAAATGGCAGGAAAAAATGCGCAAATAAATATTATATTCAGTATCCTGTTCCTGTGCAACAAGGTTACAGTATATGGGAACCTAATTAGTTATTTAATTAGGGTCAGACTCCTTAGAATGTAGTTTACTTGAATGATTGATGTAACTAATGACGTGTGTCTTCTTACAGCACTGTGTTCTTTGTATTAATTGCATTATTCCATCATTACATGGTTTAATAATATTCTAAACATGTTAATAATATTCTGAACAGGTTAATACTTTGGTACTACTRTTAAAGTGAACAGTTCCAAACTTACTTGAAATAATCACACTGACTTTTGCTTCAAAATACTATTTGAATAATGCCCTATTTTCAGGATGTTAGGGCTATCTTGTRTGTCTTGCAAAAGTGTTTCTTGCTGTATTGATTCAGAATAGCTGAGATGTCTGTGCTACCCTCCCTTGCCCCAAAGCATGATAGTCATGCAGGTTCTTCTTGCAATTATTTTTCAGTTTGTTTCATGTGCAAAATAGCAAAAAGAAGCATGAAACTAAACTTGGTGTAAGCTGTGTAAGCTGTACAAGTCTGGAAAATAAATATATTGACAAGCCCACATGTGCATCAAATGAAAGCGTTCAGGTGTTCCCATGCCTTGCTGCATCTGGGTGGTTAAGAAGGTCTAAGAGAGGAATCCGCTGCTGATTTCAGTTGGCTTTATGGAGGTGAAGCTGTTCTGCTTCCCCCTGCCCAAGGGTGCTTGTCTCCCAAGTCAGATTGTGGTTTCTAGTTGCTTGCAGTTGAGACAGGCTTGCAAAGCAGCTGGGAGATGTGGAGCACAAACCTCCTGGCTCCAGCGGCCGCCTGCTCCTCTGCGATCCAGAAAGGCTCCCTCGATCCAGCCTGTGTTGAAGAGCACAGGGGGAGGTTTGGTTACAGCTCGAAGCAGAACTCAGAACCAGATACCGTGGTGGACAGATACTGCTGCGCTGGTGTTTGCAACCAGCGTGAGGTGCTTTCCTTGAGCTGCCTTAGCTGTAATTCATGCAGTGTCCTTCTAGGTCTGCCAAAGCTTGTGAAGCCTGGGGAACTTTCTACCCAGCAAAGACCAACAGGACTCTCTGCTTGCACCACATGCAACACTCTTACCTGCTGAACCTCTGCATTATAGAAGAAAAGGTTCTATTTATCAGCAAAACCTGGTGAAAAAAGTCTTGCTGAGAGCCCAACACACATCTTTACCAAAAAATTCATCTAGAAAATCCGTAGATAAAGCAGAAAAACCTGAAGGGTAATTTCAGCGAGAACTCCATTTATCTGTAAAGAAGTGCTGTAGTGCTATAAAAAGGRAGGACAGTCACCTTTGGTGATGTATTTAAGATATTAATGCTCTTATAAATTGCTCCTCAATAGTCCGGCAGCTAAATAAACAAGACAAGGATTTGCTGGCTGTCTTGGCMGTTGATTCATACTAACGTGCTCCGTCTTTGCCAGGTTATCAAACTCACCTTTGAAGAATTTGAACTAGAAAGAGGATATGACACGCTGACAGTTGGTGATGGCGGCCAAGTGGGAGACCAGAAAACTGTGCTTTACGTGTAAGTAGGACGTCCCTTGTCGCTGTGAGAAGCTGTGGGAAAAGCTGTAACCTGCTTGCTGTGGTTCTCCTGAGGAGCCTTTGGCAGGACCYCCTGCCCAAGTGTTTGAGGCCACTGCAGGTGCTGAATGCGCAGGGTTAACACCCTGATGCACCAGTAAAGCAAACCAGGCAGAAAATGAGAGCTCAAGGGGTCTATCTCTGTTGACCATCTCGTACAGTCGCTTTTAGCAGTGCAAAGAGGCTGTAAATCCTTTATCTTAGTGACATTCTGAGCATTATACACCCACTGTACATTTATATAAAAAATGTCACAAGCTGCTTCCAGACTTAGAAACCATCCCTCTTTAATTTCTACCCTTTAGTTTGCTGGTGAAGTATTCTATAGAGGTTTCCCTGGTAGAGGAGACATTGTAGATAGCCCTGCTTTCCCTCCAGGCCTTCCCAAAACGATTTTCACCATGCAAATTATATTTGACTAGAAAGGGAGGAAATTGGCTCGCTATAGGACAGTCCCGGCCATGCTAAAGGACGATAGGAAATCCCTGATGCTGCCAGTTGTTAGAATAAAGAATGGTTGAGTTTTCAGCATGTAGGTTGTAAAATACTTGACGAGCAGCTTGGCTTTACAGCGAGGCTGCTGGGGGGAATCAGCAGGGCAATAGGTGGGCTCTCCGGTGGTACCTGCAGTCCCTCCACAGCAGCTAGTACCTGGAGACAGTTTGGGTTGAAGTTGGGAGGAACGTGGCAGTGCGAACGATGCAAAGGAACGTGTGCATTTGTACATCAAAGGCAAGGGCTCTGCCTGACCCCCGTGCTCCCTGGGGGATGCATCAAGAGCTGATAAGTAGGTAGAGGTCTCCAGGTTCGTGCAAACCCTTAGATCTCTAGGAAAGGGCAAGTGCAAGGGCCTCATAATTTGGACAGGGGGAAAAATGTGCCCAGCACAGCAAGATCTTTCTTCCCTGTGAACTATAATGTCTCTGAATTTTTATTTTTTTCATATGCAGTGTGCTCAGCTCAGATCAGCACGATGTGTAGGAAATGGGCATGCCTGTGACCTTGGGATAAGCTAGGATCTTTTAAAATAGCCACTAGAAAATGCCACAGTAGAAAAAGAACAAATCTTGATCATCTTCGAGAAGGCTGTTTGTTATCATTAACCTGCTAACCTTGATATGGGGGTTTGTGCTCTTCCTTGGTTAATGCCCTGCCCCATCCCTTTCCTGAAGGGTTAGTTGGAGATCAGTCTGTGCTTCATCCAAATCTAATTGTGAAAATTGCTTATGATTCAAATCCACTTTACTGAAAAAAAAAAAAAAAAACAATGACTCTGCTACAGCTCTTTTGAATGATCAAAGTAATACTGTGACTTTATGGAAATGGAGAATTTTAAAACTCTTGTCAGCCTTTCTGCTGCCTCCAGAGCCCCGGGGAGGTGTCAGTCTTGGTTCTCCTGAGGYGCGAGCAAGAGGGGCAGGAGCAGGACAAGGCAGCGCATGGACCAGGAGCAGGAGTGTTTGCACGGGGCAGGGGTTCTGGGCTACCAGCATCCGCCTTGTCTTGAAAGACTCCCCTTCATTTCTGCCTCACTGAAGATGTGTCAGAGAAAATAATTCTGCAAAGTCTTCCCTAGCAGAGCTCTTGTACTCCTTCCAGTGGTGGAGTATATTTCMCATTATGTTTTTCCCTCCTCCTCTTTGCTTGTTTTTCCACATGAATCAGCCTCCCACTCCATTTTAACTGATCTTAATGCTCCCTTGTTTCCTTCAAATCTCTCGTTTCTCTGTGGTACTTTTCACTCTGCATTTCTTTTCAGGACATAAACAGCAGTGATGCTTTGGTCAGAAACTCGAAGCTGCAACATATATAAATGTAAAGTCTGATCATTGCAAAAGTGTTTGTAATTAAAGTGTCACAGAACATTTCACAGCTGATTGGGCCAAATGTGCAAATTACAGCCAAGGGAATAGTTTGTAATAACTTGCTGAAATGATTTCTCATTCCCTCCCCTTTTTGTTTGCCTAATGCCCATGAAGATTTTCCTAGACTCACATTTAATCATTCCACGTTTTTTCACTCTGTATTAGCTACTCAACACCTTGCTCATGCAAGTTTGGGAATCCTGATGGGCTCTGCAAGGCACGGTGTGTAGCGCCTTCTCCTGCTGCAGCATTACATTGCTCATGCCAATCCTAGCAAAGTTATTTACTTTTCTTTTTAATCTGGGAGGGCAAGTTGAAGGCTAATAAAATGTGAAAGAGGTGTGAAGACCACAGAAAGACTCTGTGTATAATAAATGAGATTGAAAGTCCAGGGACAGCATTTTTTTTWWTTWTTTTTTTAGCATTTACCAACTTCTTATCTAGGGTCAGCCGAGTTCATGTACCAAACRTGCACACCGGATACCAACTTCAGCGTTTTTTGGAGGAATTGACACCCAGAAAACTAATCTCCAAATAGATAGAAGTTTAACTTCTTTGATTGCTTRCTTTATTCAAGAACAACTCAATCCTGCATCTTTTCAAATCAACAARTGAGTTTCATAGCCCTAGAGTTTATACATTGAGTACGGGAGATCATTTGTTTCTGGTCTCAGTGTCATCCCTGTGAAATGCGTCACAGAAAACACATGGCTAGGCTGAGATTTCTGACTGGCAGAGAGGATTTAACGCCCAAAAGTTCAAGCACCCACATCAATCCACACCTTTTCTGAAGGTGTTTGCCTTCCTTGGCGTGGTACCTTCCTCGTTCCTGTTTGCTCCTCAAATAACTGCAGGAGAGTCAACCATAAAAATTCTGCAAAGCTTCTCCAACTGCCATCATACTCTGGATGCAAAACTGATGTTAAAACAAGATGAATTATGAATTTACCAGCACCCTGGGATCAATAAAATTTCTGATTCAGGTCAAAGCACTAACCAGACAAAGGAAATAGGAAGGCTGTGATGTGCTCGGAGCGGTGAGTGCAGCTGCAGGAAGAAGGCGCCGCAGAGCTGGAGCGGTGACCAGCTGCAGTGCAGGGCTTGCAGCAGTGCCTAGCAGGTAGGAGGCAGCTAAAAGTCTGTGGGATGGACAGGACACTCTGCACCACTCTGGTACGACTGGTCCCGTGCACCTCTTGAGACATCCGTGAGACTATTGGAAAGTATTTGATACTCAGCAGGGTGCCCGAATGTCAGACAAGCAGGATAGGATCGCAGTAGCACAACCCTTCAAGCAGTGGTTTTGCTTCACTCTCAGCAAACTGTAATTGGCAGATGATCCATAGCATCTCCGATTACCTGGGAAAGTGGGAATTGCAGCAATTATGCCTGGAGGTTGCAAGTTATATTTATTCACAGGATGCTATCCAGCCCGAGCTGCTGCTTTTGTTCTCCTGCAGGCTTGGTCTGCAGCAGTTGTGCCTGGAGAGCTCAGTTTTATCAAGGAGTCTTTCAGGTGCTGCTGTTGTGCTTGAGAAGAATGCCGGCAGAAGCCATATCTATACATATGTATGTGTTTAGATTTAAGCAAACACTTCAGAAAAAAAAAGTATCCGTTTGCAAGCAGTTACACCTAAGGTAATTTAAAAATATATCACAGATGATACCTTAGGAGAAATAGTGTAGTAATAAGATTAAACGCTACCACTAAGGCAGGCGATATAGGACTCGTACTCCTATAGTAATGATCCCTTCCCACGCTCCAGTACTCCGCTTGTGGAAGGAAGGGAAGGAGCTTTGCTCCGAGCAGGCGTTTGTGCAGTGCAGAGGCCTCTCTCTGGTGCTTGTCTGGGCGAGGGATAAAATGCTAAAGCTGCGTTGAGTCCCGGCGAGGTGATTAGTCCCAAAGGCTGAATGAGCCACGCATGGCTCATTAATGTGGATGTATTGGTGACATTTTTCTTAATCTCTTCAGCTCTCCTAGGAATATCCTTGAAAGATAGGCAATGATCATCCTGTGCTACCTGGATTTGTGGCATTTTTTTCAAAGATCCACAGAACACTGTGTGGATTTTTCAAGAATCCACACAGATTTGAGGCTTGTGCCTTGTTCCCAGCGTGTTTTTTGAGGTTTTTTGTGGCAAACTGTGTCAGGATAGAAATGTAGCAGGGAATATGTTAAATGTAAGTTTTCTGATACCAGAAAACATCTGTAAAGACAGTTGAGAGCATTCAGTCACCAGTATAGGTTCTGGGAATTGTATTTGCCTCAGTAAGAGAGGGCCTGGTCGTTATTAATGCTAGATAATAAATTGCGGTAATGGGACAAAATTGTAATTATAGTGGTAGCAATAGCTTGCAGGCCCTCAACTAAGACAGACAACTCACTGTTGTAGGTCATACAGGGCAAGATGAGCAGCGTGACGAGCAGCTCATCTGTCCGCACGCTGTCAGATTTTTGGACAGTGCTTTTGGGAATTTCTTCTTCCTTGTGCTGCCTTGTCCTGGCTATCTTGTAGTCCTGCAGAGGAACCTGTGAGCTTGTGTTTGTGGGGGGTACAGAGCTTGCGGAGGCACCCGAGGCACCCCTATTTATTTACTTTTATTTATTTTTACAGCTTGACAGGTACCACGGTTCCTGATCTCATTGTCAGCACACACCACCAGATGTGGCTCCTCTTCCAGACAGACAGTGTCAGCAACTTATTAGGATTCAAAGCAACCTATGAAGGTAATTCAGTTTTTTTTTTTTTTTTTTTTTTTTTTTTGAGATTTTTGCATATTTTAAAAGAATCAGGGATGAGATGGGTCCTGTTGTCAGGGGGAAAGGAAGCTTTACCAAATGCTAAAGTTCTACAGACATTTTCTTAAAATATAAGCTTCACTCCAACGTGACTAGAAGAATTTCCTTTATATCTTTTCCAGGGGAGCAGCTGAAATGGTTAAGGTTTCAATGTTTGCTTTGTTGGAAATGAGCTGCTGAATTTCAGCAGAGATGGCAGCTGTACCTGTGTCTGTCCAAGGAAATGAGAACAAGGGATCAGTGACATCATTAGATTATTGATATCGACTTYGTTAAATATTGACTGATCTAGAATATTACAAATAACACGAATGAATATGAATTATGTGATGAAATAATATTAATGATGGAATTTTCGAAAGAATTGGATCCCAGATTTCTTTTTCATTTTATTGCCACCTTCAGGTTCTCTTTTCAAAGTGCTTGAATGTCTTTCAGTTCTCTATAAAAACCTTGCAAGAGTGGCCATTTCTTTTTAGCTCTRGTACCTAAAACTAGGCACACAGATCTTTTCCTGGACCTGATCCTGAAAGATCTGAGTATCCACGCTTAAATCGGACTCTTCTTCTCTAGGCCCTACCTGCATCTTAGCAGTCATTCATATTTAAGTGTGTTTTCCTGGCGCTTGCTCAGGTTCAGGGAAGTGTCATATTGTTCTCAGGCCGGGACCAGCTCATGGTTGTGTTGCTGACTGACACAAAAATACCAGTTAGGAGCCTCAAGGGACTTGACCTACCAGAAAACCTAGTTGAACTACAYGCTGGCATATCCAGGCAGTCGGGACTAGTTCATGGAGGGCACTGGATCATGATGCTTGGGTATTTACAGGGTGGCAGGGCCACATCAGCAGAAAAGTCATTAGAGAGACACAAATACAAGATAATGGGATTAAAAGAAGAAAAGGCAGTTACAGCCTCACTGTCGATAAAGTCAGTGTGACATTCAGATGCTGTCTGTTTTCCTGGATGTCTTTGCAGTGTTCACCTGCAGCCTTTTGGACTTTGCAGAATGGATTTGTGTCTGAGCAATGACCTGTGTTTCTGTTCCTGAGGTCCATSCTGGTTCTAGCCTGAAATGAAGCTAACCCCCATTCCTCCAACTCCATAAAATTCTTTTAATTTTGCAAATGCTTTGAGCTACAAAGCGAGGGACATTTAAGTAAGAGACAATTAGCACTTGCCAAATACATTATGAAATTATATACAACTTGCTAACAAGTTTCTGTATCAGTTTTATGGGCACACTTTTTCCTAATTGTGAGCAGAAAATTGCGGCTAATGGAGCTATATAAAGTCAAGACCAAAAGGGTGCCTAATAGAAGGGCAGAGTGTTACTTACAGAGTATGTTTAAATAGCCATATATYCTAAAATACTTGTAAGTTTTAGTGTACACTTTAAGTGTAATGCCATCGTAAAGCCTCCTGCTAGTGCTGAAATGAAATGGTTACGCCTAAGAGATTTATCGACACAGATTCAAGGACCAGTTGGAAGGAACATGCTGAGGAAGGCAATATGCTGTCAAATTTTTAATGCAGAGTTCCTGCGAAAGAGGAACCAACCTGGCCCTTTAGCTCCTCTTGCAGCTAAAGGGAGAATGGATTTCGACTGAAGCCAGTATATAAAACATGAGGCATCCAGGCTCAGTTTTCTCCAAATCCGTACGGCAAGATTGGATGACTTGGGAACAAGGGTTCGGCTGGTGTAAATCAGTGTGACAGCATTGATTTTCAATTAAGCTGTGTCAGTCTTGGCCAGCTGAGGATCTCGCTCATTAATGTTCATGAAGATTACTTCTAAATCTCCTATGTCTCAACTGCAGCCGCTTTTATCCTTTTAAACAGACGTTCTCTCATAATAACGAACAATGTTTTTGGACTTCGAATGCTTGTCAGGAGAAATCTGTATTAAGCTCCACTTTGCTAGCAATGTCTTTTCTTTCTTACAACTATAGCAAGCTGATTGATACTGCAATTTAGTGCTTGACTTGCAAGAGGGCTTTGCAGCCTCCTGGGGTCCTTGGTCTTATCTTCTCCCTTCTTTCCTTTAATCTAAGACAGTTCTTTTGAGAATACCTTGCATTTAGGGTAGGCTGGTGCCTTCCACAGCCATCACAATGGCTCTTTGAGTGCTCTTTTTATACACGAAAGAGAAGGTATCTCTGGTGGGGATAAATTTGATTGCCAGAAAAGAGCTTTGTGAGTGATAAGAAAATCCTATTGCCATCTGAACCTCTTTTTTTTCTATTCACAGGGTAGGGTTCAAGCAGGTAAATGCTCTCTGCAGCACATACTTAATGGGAACTTTGAATAACTGACTTGACATATACTTCTGTTGACTTCAGTAGCATCTTTGCCCTATATATGATGTGTCCATGAATAATTAAAAACTAAATAAGATGCATTTTTTAGTAAAACAAGCTTGACTACATAGAAGAAATGCAAGTCAGAGAGAGGCAAAGCAGATCCAGAAAGGTTGGGAGAGGAGAAGCCTCATTTCAATCAAGATGCAGAAAATTCCATGGTAGGAGATAGAAATATTAAAAGGGGGAGGGGAATAGGATCAAAGACAGATTTTAGCTTATTTTATRTTTAGTTTAAATGTATTTTGATAAAATCAATTAATGATTCAGCTTTAAAACTGTCCGGAGAGAGTGAAGCTGACCCCGGCCTGTGTCCGAGCGGCCGCGCGCTGCAGGCAGGGGCTGGTTAAGCTATTTGTTGGTGCTCAGTGCTGACTAAGTGCTTGGCTCTGGAGAGCTTAGCCGTAGAGCTCAGACTTAGCCCGTGGCGCTAAGCGGCTTAGGACTGACTGCGGCCGAGCCGCAGCCTGGAGATTTCCTCCTCCGACCTTGGGTTTAGTCGGAGCAGCATTGCCCACAGCGCTTGCACCCGGCCACTCCAGGGTTTCCACGTCTGTTCATGCATACACGCCATGTGGAGATATGGTCAGGCTTATATAGATGCCCACAGATGAGCTGCATTGAAGGTGTTTTACACATGCACATGTGTAAAATGGGCAACAGATAACCTCCTAAGCTGCTGAATCCTATATTGTTTGCAGCTTCCACACTCCGTTCCATGACACGTGTTGAGTCACGTCATGCAGCGCAGTCCAGGGTGCTGCTGACGCAACACACGGGCCTCGCTGTGTCGGCCTGCGCTGCTGCAGGGTCACGTCACCTGTAGTTCGGCCTTAAAGGCCGCTCTGAGCCTTAGCACGAGCGATTTGCCGTTACGCCGTGCGTTTTAATGAGCAATAGCCTGGTACATGCTCTCATTTTTCTCCTATAGYAGTGGTTTAGATGAGAGGGATGTGATCAAAATATGCAGGATTGTCCTGCCCTTCTTGTTGTTTCCTCTTCAGATCCTATTTTTTCTTATTTTTGCTGCTCTGAGCCTCAATTTCCTGAGATTGTGGCCAAGGTCTAGATTTGGGGTGTAGCGTTTGCATGTGCTGCGKGGGGGACCGCAGCGTGGGTGCCTGCACCCTGCAGCTGGGTGCTCTTAGTCACTGGGCAATACAGGCTGCCTAATGGTGCTGTGCAAAGGGATCCCCACCCACCACCAGAAGACAAATAACAAAAATAGCTGACAGAAAAATTTCTGGTGGAACATTGTTCATTAGAAAACTCTGTTTTGTCAAAATCTCACTGTTTTGTAAGAATATGTCTGCATGATATAATATTTGATGAAGTTTTGAAAGGTTCCTTTCAAGTTGTTTCATTTAAATAATGTCAAAACATTTGCTTTTAGTTGTCCTTGTTTAGTTTTGACTTTTATTGTTCTAGTCTGGAAGTGATTTTTACTTAAACATTCAAATGAAATGTTTCACTCTTACTCAAGTAACATGTTTTGATATTTCTGAATCATTCATTTTTGAATTTCTTCTCTGTGAAATATTTTATGAATTTTACTCTGTGTGAAAAGAAACGTGGAAACGAGGGAGTTCTCCTGAAGTCAGAAATGGCATTTTCTGACCTCTTCAGCACGATAAAATGTACTAGTTTTGCATGCAGGCTGCTCACACAGCGATCACGTGCACGATGCCAAATGTGAGCTCTAATCCTTCAGTTCTCCCTAATTCYTAGACCTGTGGTTGTGCTGCTTGTCTGCAGAGAGATGGCCCGGGTTCCTGCGGTGTGATGAGCGAGGACTGTGGGCACTTGGGCTAAAAAGCTTTACTGCATTCCCTGGAAGAGCCCCTGCCCATGGAGGACCGTGTCTGCCTGCTGCCCGAGGTGCTTCTGCTCCTCAAGCTCCCAGCAGCGTGGGGCTGTGTCTTGATCCCCTCAGCTCGCACTGCTGCATGCTTAAAACATGTATTTTCAGAGTTTGCTTTTGGTTCTTGAGTTTTGAAACTCCATTTTTTTACCATAATTTACATTATTTGTCTCCTACTCTGCTTGCGGAGTAGCGAACGGTTCAGTGTGACTTCTCTATCCAGCCTGTTTTATTTGGGCCCTCATAGGCAAGTACAAATCTTCAACATTTGGATTTTCAGACTCTGCAGGAAAGTATTTAAATCTTGGCAAACTGTTCTTACTGGCAGGCAGAAAAATAAACCTAATTCAGGAAAACTTTTCTATTAATATTCATTTATGTTAAATTATTGTTGGGACCCTTCATTACCTGCCAGTGACTTCTTAGTTCAAGATGCACGTAGCAGTAACAGAAATGAGGTGCCTTGTCGTGACTTCTATTCAAAATACACCTGTATCTAAATTGCCTGGAGTCAGCATAATAATGAGGTGCTTGTTGTTATTCAAACCAAATTGGAATATTAGATGGATTCATGCAAATTTGGGATTATGCAGTTTTCCTCCGTAAAGAAAATGTCATAAAAGAAGTTTCCACTTTTGTGGTAGAAATTGAAAACTTGGGGAAAAGACAGTGAGGATGATCTTAGATGATGGGGATAAAAACTAAAGAAAGTAGAAGATGAGATGAATGTGGAGCAGATGAATAGTGCTGGAGCACGGAGGCAGCTGCAGAGGAGGCAAGTTTTGTAGCTAATAATGATACAGAGAGAGGGGCTCTTTGGAAACGGAATTGTAGGAMGCAGAAGATAAGGGAAGATTGTGTTCAGGATTTGCTTGAAGTCAAAATACATGCGCTGGGAGACATGAACGGGATGTTTCCATGCAAGGAGGCCGCCTTTGGATCTACCTGGAGAAATCAATATGGAAATAGGGCTACCAGGGAGAAGCACCAACCAGGCAACCCAAGCTGGGTGCCGTAACAGTGTCCCCTTTCCCAGGGCTGGTCCCTGTAAGGATCCCAGGGAATTGCATGCAGCACTTGTGCCTGGTGACCAGGTGCATTTTCATTCTCCAGAACTTGGTGCYAGTCCATTCTGGACCTAAAATACCAGTTCTCGCATCAATTCCACATAAGAAATTCTTGCTTTTCTTGCTTTTCTTTCCTTGAGGAGCAGCTGGAGAAATAGGCTGCTCCCCAGCACGTGGTGGCCGCGTGGCGCCGGCGGCTGCGGAGGCCGGGCCCAGCTTGTGCTTTGCTTTCTTGCAGAGATCGACCAGGGGAGCTGCGGCGACCCCGGCGTGCCGGCCTACGGCAGGAGGGAAGGCTCCACGTTCCGCCACGGCGACAGCCTGCGCTTCGAGTGCCAGCCCGCCTTCGAGCTCAAGGGCCAGAGAACCATCACCTGCCAAAAGAGCAGCCAGTGGTCTGCTCAGAAACCAGTCTGTGTTTGTAAGTGGGAGAGCGCAGGGCTCCGAGACGCTGTGGGGGTGTGCTGAGGTGGCAGCTGGGGTGTTGGGACCCCCCGGGATGGGGCAAGGCTGTCGTGGGGGGCGGCGGCGGCCGGCTGCAGTTGGGGCCCTCCGGAGAAGGGGACACGTGGCGGGAGCAGCACCCAGCGTGGCGGGCCTGGCCTGCCGTGTGCCCCTGGCCTACCGGGTGCCCCCTCGGCTCTCCTCGCCTTTGGGTTTAGGCTCATTTCAGAAAGAAAGCAGAATATTTTTCTGTGCAGCAAAGGAGGCCTGGGTGCAAAAGAATAAATTGGAAATACATTGAGCTTGATGCTATTTTGGGCCATTTAATTTTCTTTTGTTATCTGACAATACTCAGGCTCCCTGCTACCAGACCTTGATATTTAATTTGTTGTGCAAGATCTGAGCAGGAGGGTGTCGCAGACTTGGGAGTGACCAAGGCAAATTTCCAGAGGTGTAAATTGGAGTTGGGTGCCCAGTCCTCACGGGGTTTAATTGCCAAGTGTCCTTTGGAGATGCTCCCTTAACTCGTGGCATTGGGCAACCTGAACGTATGTAGTGGTTGAACCATTGCTCAGGATCTGTGTTGTATTTGAACATCACCAAAGCTCATGAAATCATGTCTCTTTTCCCTAATTAATGTTGAGCAAACTCTTTTCTTTCTGTCTCATCTCTGCTTAGTTGGATATGCTAAATTCCATGTCTTCAAAGAGATGCTGTGCTCTAATGGAGTGAGACCAAGCCTAGCAGGAAAATAGGAAAGAAAAAAATAAATTGAGCAACAGACAGAGGACAAAAGTGTGGGGAAGATGGCTGGAGAGAACACAGAAATGTTCATATGATGAATTGAATATTCACTGTGCTACTATATATACCATTATTAGGTACTCTACTAAAAAGTGCTTGTTTGTAGCAGAGTAGGGTTTTGTCTGTAGCAAAGACACTGCAGTTTGGAAGTAAGTAAGTAAACCTGTTCAGCATTGAGTCTGGGTTCCTGGGAAGTTGGGTGTACAAGGTTTAGGGTCTCTACACCGGCAACTTACAGGATAATACTGGAAAAACAGTTTCAAATAAGGGCCTTTCTCTTCAAACTGTTACTTAAGCTCTGAACATTCATGTACAAAGCAAGTAAATGATGAAAACTGAGTTTTCCTGGTTATCTTTGAAATGGAAAGTGTTAGACCATTTCTGTGCTAAGCTTCAGAAACTTGTTCCTTTCCAGAAATTCAAATGCATTTGTAGAAAGCTGATGATTTGGTCAAGGTTGTTCGTGACAGTTGGCAGTGAGGCTGAGTGGGGTGATTTGGTCACAGTCTTCTTAGAACAGAAGCTTAAGTTATTTTCAATAAAAAAGGGTTTATTTTTTTCTGTAGGTAAATACAGAACAGGGGCATCAAATTCCACCAATGATCACCTCATCCCACCAATGACCACAAGTGTATGTGAAGCATAGCCCAGGCATTTTTAATTTTCATGATCCTCTGTTTTCTGTGGCTTCCAACGTTGGATGTTAATGAATCAATAAGGCAACACAGGAAAGTAGTGCAGGAAGTATTTCATAACCCTCTGTACTCTTCACTCCCCTGCTTGGGTTTGGTTATTCTGGACAGCATCATATTAGCGTGCATGATGCAGAAGAGATGACGTGACAAAACGTGTAACTTGGCGTGAAATTTATATTGGGGTTAGCAACAACTCTGTAAATGTTGGGAGACCATTAAATATATTGGGCATCAGGTGGAAAAATAAGGTAACCTGATTTATGTGCAGCTTGTTGGAATATGCAAACAATTCTGTGCTTCTGATTCTGGTTACAAATGTGTGACAAATGCAGAAAGAGATTAAACAGTGCGCTATGGCATCCTGAGCAAATGATTTATGAGCAGACAGTATTTATTGTGGAGAATTCATTTCCTGGGGCCTCGATGATGAAGCAAAACAAACCATTTAAGTAATGCATCTGCTTATTGCAACGGGTTCTTAATTTGTGACCGTCTGTGCCTTCATGATAACGGACCTCCCATCTCCATCCTCCTTGTTGTCACGGTACCCCTGACCCATCAGGGTGGTGAGCACATGGGACGCTTGAGAAACTTGGCCAGGCCCTCTTGATGCACATCTTCTGGCAACCCCTTGCTGAGCAAGGTGTCCCCAGCCTTGCTGTGTGTGTTTAGATTCTCTGTGATAATCTGAGGTACTTGAAACAACATCCTTGGAGCTTAGGAACCTGTGATTCTAGATGGGTAATGCAGTTTTCCTTCTGCACGTGTGCTTTGAGCTGTTGTGGTGTCTGCTGTATGGTTGGGTACCAGGGATGCCTGGGTGCAGAAGACTTCTCATTCTGTAGCACCTCCTGCTGCTCAAACCAGTCTTGTAGTTAACTGTTGTTCACTCTGGCGTTTGTGAATTTACAGAATTGTAATATCAGTCAAAGGTAATGCCGTTCTCATAACCCAGCATAACCACAGTCATTGCTTTCTTACAGAGTCATCAGTTTTCTGGAAGAGTCTGAGGAGGACAACAGGGGCTTAGGAAGTGCCTTGTGGAGAAGTGCTACCTAAGGGAAACAACTGTGCTGCTTAGATGAAGTTTATACCCTGATAGTAGAAACTGGTAACCAATATGATAACCAAATTGAAGTCTGCAGTTWCCTGTGGCTGAGCAGATTAAGTTCTCAAAGCTTGTGGCCCCCTCCAGCAGCACCTCATCCCTTTCCTCCTCCTCAGCTCCCAGACCTCAGCCTTTGACATGCGCCAAACAATTATTTTATACGATAAATAATTCTGGACTAAACCATCACAACAGCGTATGTCCCTTGCAGCCCGTCTCACCGAATAAAGGCAAAATTTGTACCTGTTCTAACCATCCCCTGCAAGTTACTCTGGGAGGGTCATTTCTGAAACCAGCTTGTTTTTTGATATTATTAGTTCTTAGATTTGTGAAATTTAAGGTTTTTGGACCCGTCAAGTGTKTTAAAGGTAAATAAAGCTTAGTAAAACAAAACAGCACCTTGGTTTGGGTTGCAATGCATCGAGTAAGGGAGATGGCTGAGGAACTGCTCTTTGTGCATTGAGCTGGGGTATCTGCTCGATGTGGGATGACGGGAACTTGGAGAGGGTGGAGGATGGACATGTACAGCCACGTGTGCTTCTGTTTTATTTGCTCATTTCAATAGAGGAGTTGCATTTAGGTCGTGCTTTCTCAGGGCACTTCTGGAGTCTTCCAGAGCTCACTTCCCTTGCTCTGAAATACACTGTAAGGTTCGTTGTGTCGCTGTGGTCTCTGATCTTGCGTGAAGACTTCCATTAGTTTCCAGTAGCTTTGGCATATCGTTGTCATTATCTTTATTTGTGTTTCAGACCTGCTTAGAGCCGTAGTTATGCAGAAGGTTGCCGTGTACAGAGCAGAAGACCGTATCCCAATATCTCCATTTCAGTGGAGACCTCATTAAACTGTGTGTTTCCGTTCCTGGCTTTGGAGCAGCACTGTTCTCTCCTCCCTTCTTGGTCGCTTTGCCGTCACAAGGGCAGGTTCTCTCATCAGCAGCTCAGCTCACAGTCGCTGTGACCTGCGTTCGTGCTGTCAGAGCGGCCGGGTGGCCGTGGGTCCTGGAGCACCGGCAGTGGGATATTTGGAACAGGGCGTTCGCTGATGGATGCCTTGGAGTTTGTTCCATGCAGGTCTCCTGTCCTTCCATGTAGATATGCTCCACTAGCACCCTCCTCTTTGGAGGCTTATTTTTCCAGTTCCAAACATCTGTTTTTCTTCAAAATCTGCATAAAATMTCCCTCAGTTTTCTCTTTTTTTTTTCTCTTGTGATAATTGCTCTTCTTTGTTAATCCCGTATTTGTCTGTTATACCTAGGGAATAATGTTGGCTACAGGACYGGTTCAGAGCTGAGCAGCTCACTGTCTGTGAGTGCTGCCTGGTGCAAATCTGCAGGATTAGGAGCCAGAAGTGCAAAGCACGGTGGATGTTTTCCCTGCAATGTACTCCACAGAACCATGTAATTTTGTATCCCTTGACAAGTTTTTAATTTAGCTCTAAATTAACCTGCCAATTGGTCATTATTTTCTTTCTTTCTTTACTTTTCTTCTTTCTCTGCCCACTATTCACAGCGACCTATGAACCTCCTCCCTGTGAAGAGTAATTTGGAGAACAGTGTGTCTTTTGATACAAGCATGGAACAAAACAGCTTGTCTTCTTTAAAGATAATAGATTTTTTAGCAGTGAGATTAGTTAACCCATGGAGCAGTGTACTGAAGACAGTGAGGGCTTCTCCAGATGTTAMCATTTAGAAATTATAATTGGATATCCCTTCCTGAAGAGGATTTCCTAGTCTGTGTTAAGCAGGTGGCTGGATGGGGTGTTCAAAATGATCCCTGRTTGTCCATTAGAGATTCCAGAAAGCTTCTTGTTAAATGAATTGAGATTTTTTTTTTCAATACAATACTTTTAAGACTTCTAAACTGCAATAGAGAGGCTCCTGTTCTTCCACTGACAAAAAAGTGATACCATGTTTTCCTCATATTGCTTCCCCTTTATTAGTAAGTCTTCTTTTTGCAGTGCTGATGGAAGATGTTCCTCCCTCCTCCTGCAAATGCATTTTCTTTCAGCTATAACATGATGTTGTTTACCTGCTTACAAGTGCAGTTGCTTTCTGGGGACTTTTGCAAGTATAGGGATTGCATTAATTCTTACTTCCAAGCCGTTTTGCTGCTTGGTGTCTTTGTAAAAGACTGATATAACGTCCTGTGGAAGCACAGCTGCTCTGCCAGGCCAGTCTGAAAAGGGATTTAGCAGCGCTGAGTGCAGCCTGCCAGGCCCTGCGAGGCAGCCAGGGGAGCTCTGCTGTTGGGCAGACAGCAGAAAATGGCTCTTTTCCTGCTGCCACCGGTTCCAGGGTTGAGGGGGTTGGTGCATTTGTGAGCTCCAAGTAGAGACGTGTGTCTGTCGTGACCCGTTAACATCTTTGCTTGCCCTTGACCTGAGATGGGCTCAAACAAGTAAACCAGTGCTGAAGTGCTCCTTATCCTCAGCTTCTCCCCTGAGCTGCAGAGACCCAGAGAAGCAAATTAAATGAAGCAGGGATTACCATGATCTCTCAATGCCTAAGGGATTTGTAGCTTTTGTTAACAACCTTGTTTCATGGTTGCAGCTGTGTAAGACCATTCTGCTCTTAAAATTAAGCAGGCCACTTCCCTTCCAAGTCCTTGTTCTGCATTACAGCCTCAGTTCATCAAAGCGCTGAGATTTAAATGTTTGCTTAAGTGCTGGGCTGGGCAAGGAAGCACTTAAGTACTTTCTCAATTAAAGAGGTGGTGTTATAATTGCCCCCTTGCTCTCCCTAGCCATTCTTGGTATAGCGCCCATGAAATTTTCCATTTCTGTGACTTCTGGGTGTTACAGGCCTGTGAACTAGTCCCTTCTGCCCTTCTTGGAGAGGTGTTGAGCAGCAGTGCTCCAGTTCTGCTCCCACGGGGCCTTGCCCCCAGCAGCAATYCGGGCGCCTTCCCGTGCAGCATTCCTCCGTTCATTTGTCCCGTTTTGGTTGGCATCYGTGTCTGAGAGGAGCTGAGGTTTATCTGGCTCGATGAGGAGCCCATCTCCTCCTCGGTGTCACTTGGTCCCCGAGTTCGTCAGCAGTTGTAGAACCAGGAAAATGAGGATATCCTGGTGAGCTGCTCGGCCCCACCGAAGCCCTTGTCCCTCAGCAGCAGTGAGGGGCTTGGGGAGGTCTCTGGCCCTGGTGTTAGAGGCTGTGGGAAGAAGCATATCCAAAAATGGGAGAGAAGTCATGATTTTATTGTTTCTATGGAGACTGAAATTACTAGAGTGACTCCTTGCTTTGTTTTCAGCTCTGAGCGTGCTGCCTGTCCCATTCCCATGCACTGCAGGTATGTTCTCTCCCCAGTTTCAGCCCTGGTTTTTCATGCGCAGGAAGAGCAAAGGTGACGTGTCTGGGGAGAGCATGTTCCTCCAAGGAGGCTTGAGACTYTGTGCGTGGAGGCAGGAGCTGCTGAAGGCGGACAAAAGGAAAGAGCAGCAAGTTGGGCTTTCGCTAGGTGAATGCAGAACTAGCTCCTGGCTGCAAACGCAGGCTCAGRCAGCTGTGCTGGAGCAGAACAACAGTCCAGCTGCCCATTCCTGTTGGTCGCGGGCATCAGTGCTGGGACGATGGGACACTTGACTTTACAGGACAAGCCATGAGCTGTTCCCTCACTGTTTTCCTGCTCCAACTAAAAACAAATTCTTACTAATGTTTGTGAAGACTGGTTAAATATCTTGCGTTCCTCMTGTAATGATGTGTCTCGTTGGCTCTTCTGGGTACTCCACTGGTTCTGCGGACTTCTGTTGTGATTTATCCCGTTGTATTTGATAAAAGCATTTTTCTTGCTGCTTTGCATTATTTGATCAATAATAATTATCGACAGCGATTGCTTCATACCCATRCACATAGTAGAATGACTTCTTGTAACATTTAAGAATAACCATAATATTTAATTCAGTGGCCTAGCTTTGAGGCTTTCAAGTTAGGTATATTCCTAATGCAGGGGCCCGGGCTGCTGCATTGACCCCTGTGTCTGGTGGTTGTGTTTGCAGTGACCGCTGGCTCCTCGGGCCGCTTTCCTCCGCGCCATGTGTGACATCCATCTGCCACGCAGCATGAGAAGGACAATGCTCAGCTGTCTGTCACCTTTTTAGTTCAACTGTTCTCTCRTATTTCTCTAATCTACCACTTTTATAAAACCACAGGAGGTGCCTGTCTCCGGTGAGGCACCTCCTGCTTCCATTTCTCTGTGTGCGAATGTATTTGTTTCCTAGGCAGGTTGTACCAAAATGTATTTGACAACATCCCTTGATACTTTTGTGCCTAGTAAAGAGCTAAAATCCTGAGGATGTTCCGCGGTTTCTGTCTTTAAACCGACTGTGCAGCGCGTAGCCTTGATAAAGTCTGGCAACGTCTGTCTCGGTGGATCTGAAACCAATGAGTGTTGAAGCTAAAGGAAGACAGAAAATAACAGAGGGCCGGTGAATGTTGAACCAAATAATTGTATAAATGCCRAAGTAAAACCAGTCTCAGCTTACTTGTAGTGTCTTTTGGCAGAAATTAGATTGTACAGATGCTACTCCGAGCATGTGTTGGGTGCGTGGTGGGGAGATGAGTAGACCATGCGTGCTTAAAGCATCAAAAGCGCCRTGTAGGTACCACTTAGATGGTAGCCTTGTTTCTGAAACTAATGGACCTTGTCAGCTGAAATACAGTATATATTGAAAACCCTTGAGAGCCAAAGATTTGTTCCCTATGCACTTTTCCCCTCAACTTSATTTTAAGACCACTTTTAATTATGTTCCTGAGAATGATGGTCTAGTTTGACACCTCTTCTTGGCGCCATGCTAGCGCAGCAAAGTCAGTGATTTATTTGTAAAGGGAAAGGGAGCTGACCGAGTGCTCAAGCTGCAGATTGCAGCCGGCCARATCACAGTGGAGAGGCCCGAGAAGGTTCTCCTGCTGTCACTGCACAGAACAGCAATGTTGCTTTCAAAMCCAAATATTAATATGCATTTTTCAGGACTCATATGGCACAGGCCTAAACAGCTGCCCAAGAAGATGGACAAAGATGCAGATTGGCTCACAGCTCCTTCTCAAAGAAGCTGACAATTTATAGCCATATCATATAAATACCTAATGCACAGTAAGGATATTCTGTGTATGAGGAGTGTTTCTAAATTCAATGGGACTGCCCATGTGCACAGTTGTGTCTGTTGAGCTTGAGCGAAAATGGCTTTTAGCAAATAAATTTTAAAAAAGTGCAGATTTGTGCATGGTTTTTAACTCCACACAAGTCTGCACTGCCTGCAAAAGCATCTCAGCAATTTATCTAGTGCTTGAGATTCAATAACTTGGACACTGTTAAAACAGAGAAACCTGGAGCTCAGCGTGAAGCAAGCTGAGTTATTTGTCACATCCAGTTTTTAGGCTGTGCTGAATTCTAGCCACCACAGAAAACAGCGTTGATGCTAAAGCCAGCTTGCTTCATGCTAATTTTATTGTGCGCTAGCTGCAGTCCCATTTCAGTTGCACTGGTGTCTGTGCAGCCTTTCTCTTAGTGATTGGCAGCAGAATTCACCTGCACAGCACCAAATTCCCACCTGAGTGACAGTCTCTATATTAAAACTGTACAAATATCTATACATAGGTATGGATGTACAGCTTTATAAGAGGGGCAGTACTCTGCTGGACTGGAAAACTGCAACTTGGCCATAATTGGAAACTGGAGAGTTCTTTGAAGGCGCTTCTTCCCTTTGCAAACAAATCACTGACAGCCAGCAGTGAATGGAGCACTGAGACCTTCCTTTCTTTAATTGTCTTTGAGAAGCAAAGTGATTGTGAATTTGCGGGAATTATGCAGCTCCAGGGATAAGAGGGAGGGGGGAACATGATAGATCAGCTTGTAGGAGCACTGTGCTGCATGATTGATGGTGATTTCTCATTGCAGTTTCCTGCTTTTTCAACTTCACCACCCCGTCTGGGATTGTGCTGTCACCAAATTACCCTGAGGAATACGGGAGCAGCTTGCACTGTGTTTGGTTAATTATAGCTAAACCTGAAAGCCGAATTCACTTGGCTTTCAATGATTTTGATGTGGAGCCTCAGTTTGATTTCCTAGCCGTGAAGGATGGTGGGACTGCAGAGTCTCCGGTGCTGGGGACCTTCTCAGGAAACCAGATCCCCTCTTCCCTGACGAGCAGTGGTCACGTTGCCAGGCTGGAGTTCCAGACCGACCACTCCATGGAGAAAAGAGGCTTCAATATAACATTCACTAGTAAGTGCAGAATCTTCTCTTTTGGCTTGCACTTCAAGCTCCAATTTCTTCTCAGGAAAAAAAAACAGACAAGGATCTAATCTCACTGAAATCAATGCAAATCCAGAGCATGTCTTAGTATCAGGGAAATTGCTTTGTATTTGCAGTTGGGTGATTAAGCTAAAAAACACCCAGTGATTTTAAGCGGAGAGYTTGTTGCACAAGTTTTTCTTTAACTGTGCAGTTTAGTTATGCAGTGGTGACAGGTACTATTTGTCCCTAGATTATCTGTGCTTGGTGCAGYTAGGATGTCTACCCTCAGATCTAGCACCAGCTTGCTGTGACACAAGCTTTCTGCTTCCCCAGCCTGTGTCGTCTTTCTGCCCATGGAGGTGAGGATCCTTTGTGGGCTTCTTGATGCAGGTTGTGAGGTGCTTTTAGATCGTGGATGGYTGTTTTAATCAGCCATCATTTACTGACATGCGAAGGTATACAAAGCCTTSAGAATTGGTATAGAAATATCTCATAAGTATTGAAACTTCCATGGATATATTTGGCTTCTTGTAAGTCCAATCTTCAAATCTCAAAGTGAATGCTATRGTAATTTTATCCTTGCATTGTCATATAATGTTTTAAAGGGCTTTATTAAAGCTATTCAGCAGAAATGATAAATGACTTTATTATAACAGCCTTTAGTGGCACAGCTAAATTAATAGCCTTTCTAGTTATGATTGCAAATCTGCTATTTTTTTTTAAAAAAGAGGTCTTGAGAAATAATTTGCCACACTCCAGTGAGCTGAGGTCTCATCAGATGAAGTGGCTTCTGTGTGGTAGTATCACATACCCGGGGTTAAGTTCTAGAGCCTATAAATTAGGAGGAGAAACCTTATGCAGAAAGCTGGTGGGTGCTCTGCAGGATCAGCCTRTGGAATGTTAAATACCTGTGGTGGGAGCTGTGGTCTGTCCCCAAAGACCACATTTTTAGGCTTAATTTTCTGCCTGTGTAAATGACTCTTTAAGTACACATGGGTTAATCTGTTTGACTGCTTGAAGTACTGAAAGGGAACCCCTGAGCCCTGGTCAGACACCTCGCTGTCCTTTCCTTTGCAATTGAGGTATGAGGCAGGAGACCACGTTTGCTGCAGGTCAGATACAGGAGCACAAGGAGTGGGTTCGGCAGGTTAGGGAAGGTGTGAAGGCATCATTTCTGCCATGGGCTACCTTGTCTGTGCAACACTAGATTTGCCCCGGTAGTCTCCATAGCAAGGTTGGGAAAATATTATTTAATTCCTAAGTTTGTGGTCCCACATGTTTATTATCTGAGCGGGCAGGAGGAAACCAGGCGCTCAGCATCCTTTCCTCTTTTCCTCCTAGCGTTTAGGCATAACGAATGCCCTGACCCCGGGGTGCCGGTGAACGGCAAGCGCTTCGGTGACAGCCTCCAGCTGGGCAGCTCCGTGTCCTTCCTCTGCGACGAGGGCTTCATCAGGACCCACGGCTCCGAGACCATCACTTGCATCCTCAARGAAGGGAACGTGGTTTGGAACAACGCAGTGCTCAGATGCGAAGGTAACTTYTAATATGCTGCTTTTTGGTCTGCACATGCACTCGTCCTAGCAACTCTTGGGAAAAACAGCAGAACAAGGAAAGGGAGATGCATGGAGATAACTTTTTCAGTCCTGATTTTTGATGTATATATAATATATTATATAATCTTCATATAATAGAAGAAGCAAAAGGTACAGATTGTTACAGTGAAGAGAACAGTGAACTCGTTGCTGCAGAAATTCATACACAGAGTCATCTTCAATGTATTTTTGTCACTGTGGTCCTTCAGTCCCTTTTAATGGATTCTGGCAGTTGAGAACCAGAAATTTTGCCGTTTACAGCTCTTTGCAGCTACAGCTATGAGTTTCCACCCAGAGATGGGGGAAATGGGTTGAATTAGATGCTTTAATACAATTTTCAAAGCTTCTCCTAGTCCTTTAAAGTCTTTAAAGCTTCTATCCTGAAAAACAGAAGTGAAATGAAAAGCACTTGTTAGAAATGAAAAATCTTGCTCTGCCTTCTGTTCTCAGAGAATTGATGCCATGCACTGATATTTACAATTTGAATTACAAATGTACTGTAATACTGAGAAATAATCCTGGTAATTGGTCATCTGTTCTCAAAACAGATCAGCAGAAAGTGCAGGATCTATTCTGTTGTCTTCCAAATTAAAAGCAGATATCCCTTGCACTCAATAACTTTTAACAATAGGAAGTTGGTTTTTATATTCTTGTATAACTTTGCCTTTGAAAGCAGTTGATGATATCTATAGGTTGGATTGGAGTTTCCTTTCCGCTCGCTGGTGGGAGCCTTTAAGTTTATCTCCAGTAGAAAGGAAGCATATCTTAAATAATACACTTTTTATCAGCTTTTATCTTTGAAAGCTTTGATAACCTTATGCCATTAACTTGTGCTGTTCTCTCTGTGATCATAGTGGTTATCTCTTCGACTCACCCCTCAATGCGCACTCAATTACGTGTACATTTTAATTAGCCTTTTTTACAAAGAAGGAAGTATATGGATCTGAAATACTGTGCTTGAAAGAAATTAATGGGAAAGAAGCTCTGAAAAGGAGTTCAAAGAGGGATGGAAGTCCTAACAGGAATTTACAGAACTTTGGGGAAAGAAAGGAGCTTCTTACTCAATATTGCAGATAGGGCTCTAGGATTTTTTAGCTGTGGTCCAACTGATCCAGCGTCCTTTCTCCAGGAAGGATAATAACATTCTTTCAGCTTCCACTGATGGCACGAGGGACTGCAACGTGGAATAAACACCACAATCTCATGGTGTCCCTTGTGGTCAAAAACCATGACTCAATTACCACAGAGGTGAAAGATTTTCGTGCACCTGCAGCTCCTGAAATCCACACTGACCTTGCAGTTTTCTCTTGTTTTATATCTAATAATTATTGTTCCGCTTAGAGCACAAGGTCAAGCGGCCGGCTCTCCCGCAGTTAGGAGAGCAGTTTGCTGCATCTTAACTTTAATCTGAGCTCCGGCTGCTTTCCAGCCAGTGCTGAGTTCAGCTGCTCTCTTTGGTTTTAACCTCCAAGAAACAACAATGCCCAAAAGCTGCCGCGTGGCAGGACGGCGCCGTGCCCAGGGCCGTCCTCCTCGCCCGGTGCCTCTGCCCTGACTTGTTGTCCTCTCCGCAGCGCCCTGCGGGGGCCACCTCACGTCTCCCAGCGGGACCATCCTGTCCCCCGGCTGGCCTGGATTCTACAAGGACTCCCTGAACTGCGCGTGGGTCGTGGAGGCGCAGCCGGGCTACCCCATCAAGATCACGTTCGACAGGTGGTCACTGTGGATGTTGCAGATCGCTGTTCACGGGTTTCACGATTGCTTTCAGTCCTTGCACGCTCGTGAGCTATGGCCGTTCCCCTGGGAGAGGGGATGAACCAACCCTTGTCACTGCTGTATTTTGCATGAGTTTCTCTCTCTTCTTTTTCTCCCAAATTGCTTGCAAGATACTTAAAAAAAAAAAAAAAAGTGGGAAATTATGATTTTCCCTTGTTGTTTTGACTGGTTCCTGTAGATTTGCAGTGTTGTTCTAGACAGAGAGACCTCATTCACCCCTGTGCCCAGTCCAGCAGGGAGGCAGCAGCCAAGAGGGCTTGCCCCGACCCAGGGGTCCTTGGTCTCCTGCCTTCCCTTGGCTTTCACAGCTCGAGCAGGCTGCACCTCTTTGAATGTGGTCTGTATGTTTGAGAATTAATTATTAGAAGGTACTGTTGTTAGTGCTGTCATCCTGGGAACACGTCTGCAGGAYGTGGAGGACAGTTTGCACTTGCACAGTAGATACAGCTCCCGTTTTGGTCCCTCCTAGAACTTGAAGTAGAAACGAGCAGAGAGGCAATAAAGGCTGTGACAGAGAAAGCAACCTCTCCCAAGTGGCAGGAATTGAACCCAATCCATTGCATCAAACCTGTCTTAAGCAGCATAAGAGAGATTCACATAGGGTAAGATACTCGTTGACACAAAGGCCTTACTGCATCAGTAGATGAAGCAAATAAAAGATCAGAAAAAAAGTAAAATGTATGGAAAGGAAATGATTTCTGCRATGCTCAGGCAAGCAAAGATCAAGCAGTAGAACTGGGCCTGTATATTATCGTGTGACCCATGCTGCTTCTAGTCTTTAGGACCCATTCAGAATTACAAGATTAAAAAAAAAAAAATTAAAGATGTCACTTCTTCACAGTCATATTCTTGTGCCCATTTCAGATTTAAAACTGAGGTGAATTATGACACCCTGGAAGTGCGAGACGGCCGGTCCTACTCTTCCCCGTTGATAGGTGTCTATGATGGGACTCAGGTGCCCCAGTTCCTCATCAGYACCAGCAACTTCCTCTACCTCCTCTTCACCACGGACAAAAGCCACTCTGACATAGGCTTTCAGATCCGCTATGAAAGTAAGTGCAGTTATTGCTGTAATTTGGCCTCTCCCGCGGCACAAAGGGCTCAATCAGGTGCCTCTCCCCTTGCAGGCAGGCACCGTTATTACAGGGACGTGTGTGGAGAATGCAAAGCTGGTACAACTCAGCTGCAGCTTCTGCCCTGTGTCTATCTTGATTATTTAGGAGGGGTTATTTTTTATTTTAGCATCTACAGAATGTAATTAATAGAAGGAAGCAGAGTTGATTTCCTGTGTCCATGCCATCCTCGCTCCTTGGGGATCATSAGTAGGATTTAGAGGTTGTAGGAGGAAAGAGCTGATCAGAGGCTGTAAGGGCACCTTGCAGCGGGCTCTGCCRCCGGGTCTCATGCGAGGGGTTTGTTTGCCGCAGCTGTGAAGCTCCAGTCCGACCACTGCTTAGACCCGGGCATTCCTGTAAACGGGCAGCGCCACGGCAATGACTTCTACGTGGGCGCGCTGGTCACCTTCAGCTGCGACTCGGGCTACACCCTGAGCGACAGCGAAGCCCTGGAGTGCGAGCCCAACTTCCAGTGGAGCCGCCCGCTGCCCAGCTGCGAGGGTGAGGAGCGGAGCGGGGAGCGCGCGCGGGACGCGGCCGCACTGCGTGCRCGGGGCAGAGCCTGCAGCTTCCTGCAGCCTTTTCCCTTGGTTTTCCCTTGGTTGACATTCCCTTGGTATGTCAAACACAGCCAGAGCAGCAGTTCTAAAGGATGCGAGAACATCTGCTCAGGGTATCTTCTTTATGATGGGGTTTTAATTCTTTCTGTCTGGTTGTTTTGCAGCTCTGTGTGGCGGTTACATTCGTGGTTCCAGTGGCACCATCCTCTCCCCGGGTTTCCCTGATTTCTACCCCAACAACTTAAACTGTACGTGGACAATAGAAGCGTCACATGGGAAAGGTGAGAAAGCTTTAGCTTCAAGCGAGTTCAGAGGTGGTTTGGGGGCTGGAGAAGGTAGTCTATGGGAGGCCAGTCTCCCTGTGCAAACCAGGAGTTTGTCTTCAAGGCAGTGATGATTGGTGCCAGCAGCCAAACGTGGATTCTGGACAAAATGAAAGGTTTTTTATGGTTGTATCTCACTCCATTTAAAGTGGAGAGAATTAAGAGGGCAAGATGGCTCCAGATTTGAGAGCTGGTGCCCGGAGTTACCCTCAGGCTCAGAAAGAGCTTTGTGACTGTATTCCCYGGAATGTTAGACGATGGTTTGGATGCTCGGTGTCACTAGTAATGCCATCCAAAGGAAGGGAAACAGCCAGCGATGGTACTGCAGAARTATTTGGTACTCAGTTGTACTTTCACCCACATTGTTCTTTGCATCAATRGTCCATTATCTGTATAACATTTTACAGAGGGAAGCATTTAGTAAATCATTTGCAAACATAGGACAGAATTAAGTTTCTTATTTTCCAGCTCTGTCCTAGTTCTGCTGCTCTCATTTGCCTACTAGCTAGAAGCATTGATGTCTTGTCACCAGAGCAGGTCTATTTAGTTGAGTCTCCCAAAAGAGTCCAGTCTTGCATGTCGTGGTGGAAAATTGCCAGATACTGYATCATGGACAATTAGAGTGCAGGTTTTACATGTGAGGATGGGGGATATTTTCCTAATCCAATGAGTATCTGCTTGGGGTGAGCATGAAGGGTTTATGCTCTTTATGTAATTTTATGCTCTCTTATATAACTCTCCCTCTTCAGTCGTACCGGATATCAGCACAATGGGAGCTATCATGAACCAATTTTGCAATACCCATTTGTATTAGAGCATATAAACTTGTCAATGAAGAGCACAGTGCATTAAGGGAACCATCACACGCTGTGAAAAGTATTCTGTTGAGTAGCAGCAATCCACTCTTCATTAATCTGCTCTGCCTCAGACTCAGCTCTTCCGCTGAGACACTGCAGTGTCCTGTTGCTAAGCTAAGCACAACACAGCAAACCAACACTCTTTTATAAAGTATAATTCTGAAGGCGTCTGCTTTTATGCCAACATCAAAAGAAAATCTTCTGACCAAGCTAAGCAAGGCTTCAGGAGAGGTGCATTTTCAAGTAGGGGGGGATGTCTGCACAAGCCCAGGGTTTTTTCCACTGTCCTGTGAAGAATCCTGCTGGGGCCAGTTAAGTAGCACAGGGAACAGCGTGTTGTTTAGAGCGCTTTCATGTGACACAGTTTCAGATTATGCCAAGATTTTGGATCGGAACCATTCTGAAATGGACAAATTTCTTTTTCACACTGAGAAAAGCTTGATACTGAGCACAGTGAGCACAGGCTTTAGTACTCTGAGGTCTCTGAGGAACTCCAGCCTCAGCTCCGAGTACTGAATATTAACAAACCAAACCATGAGCTTATCCGTAAATCTGGCTAATTGTAGCTGTGAGAGTTTTTTAGCCGCTGGGTGTTTCAGCTATTTTTACCTAGCAGGTTTTGCTGGAAAGAGGGAAGAAAAGGTGCAGATGAGATTCTGAGACAAGGAGTTGAGTACTCAAAGCAAGAGACTCATCTGCACCAACGCAAGGAGCCTGTCAGCATCCTTGTGCTTGCCTGGATGTCTGCATCGCTCTCCTCGCCCACTGCTCTTATCAGGGACCTTACTCAGGAGCTGGTTGGGAACCAGCTGCAGCCCATAGGACTGGTGGAGCTGCTGCCCACGTTGCCCAGCGCTTCCCAGCTTCCAGTCGAGCCTCCGCTGGGAGCAGGGGAGTTCCTCCTGCTCCTGGAGCTTCACAGCAGTGGGAGGAGATACAGAGGACCTTATGCAGTTGTTAGAAGCTGGAACATCAGCAAGTTTCATGCCRGAAAACCTCTCCTTCCTTGTCCACATGGTTCAGGCAAGCTGTTTATTTACCAATATCATGAAAGAGGGGCGCACACAAGGAGAGATGTCCTCATCCCTGATGCTGGAGTTTATCTGGGGCTGGGCAGGCGCACAGGCAGGCCCCTTGCATGCTCTTCCTCAGGCAGCAATGGTCTGTTTTCCTCCCTGCCCCGTTTCCTGACCCCCATCTGGAGCGCTGTGCAGTGCCCACCCTTTCCAGCATTGGTGCAGCGTGGCCTCTTGATCCCAAAGCACGACGGAACAGAGTCATCCTGCATGGGTCACAGCAGCAGCCCTCGAGAGCAAGTTTAGTCCCCAGACGACAGGACAGGCCTAGATCAGGCCTCTTTCAGGTCATGGTTCAGCTTCTGCTGAAATACTCAACTAGTGTATTTCTTATGTATTTTTTTCCTCAATGGGGCATCCTACATCTTGACCAGTGTTTTATTCCAGTCCACATCTAACCTGTGAGCTGCCCGTGTGCGAGGGCAGCGGGGCCAAGGGGGAGGCATCCACAGGCTGCCCAGGGAGAAGGRCAGCGCTTGGTACGAACAGGCAGCTCTTCCAGGCTGGGTCCTGGCACCCACGGCATCCAACAAGTCACAACTCTGGAAAAAGTACTTTCCTACAAGCTGAAATGATTCAGCCCAACCTAATTTGTTTCCCTGCTGTGCTGATCTGGTGTCTTGCCTGGCATTTGGAAGCTCCTAATATTATTCTCCCGCTGAAGTCCTCCGGTATGAATGCTGATGACTCCTTTTCCCTATTGACAGCAGGACTCCGGGTTTGACTGATGGATTGATTCGTTATCCATCTGCTGCAGTTTGAGCCACAGATCCGTGATGCTTCCTGTGCCAGTGTCGTTGGCGCGAGGCGCCTGCACACCTCTTTCCTGGGGCTTGACACTGCCAGGGGCAGCTCYTTTCATCTCAGCGTTGCTGAGAGGCTTAGGGACTCATTTTCTTCACTTGCTGAAAGAATTGATAGCCCCACCCCAGTCTTCTGCCTTGATTTTTCTTTCTAAAATCTTACAGCCTTTTTTCCTTTGTCGTCCTTTTTCTTTTCCCTCTATTTTTCAGTRCATTTATTATTCCTGCCCTATTGTATAACCTTTTGGTTGGCTAGTTTGGGCCAAATGTGATGAAAGGGGAGATGTCTAATGTGTCAAACCCCATGAAGAGAGACAGCCCCATCCTGCAAATGCTGCAGCTTGCGTTCGGTGGCAGCAGGAGCCTTCCTCCCTGCTCTGCCACACAGCGCGGAAATCTCCTCCTCACCAAAGCCCCTCGTGAGTCGCTCCCTTCGAGATCTTTGTGAAGTCCTTGCACGTGAGCAGCACGCAAGTCTCCCACAGGAAACAAGGTGGTGGGTACGAGAGCTATTTTTATGCACCTGCAGCTTCTGATCTGCTTCATGGACTAATGGGCTGTACAATTTGGGTTTAAAAGCAGCTGGATTTGAATGGTATTTCACTGCTGAAAAAGAGACTTTGATTTTTAATCTGAGAAATTCTAAATGATTTCTTTTACCTATTATTTTTGTTGTTTCTGGTACAGAGACTAGAAAAACACATTTGCAGAGACATTTTGTGCTACAGTAAATTTCAGAGCAGRGTAAAGGTTTAGTCACAGTCACAAATCCTTTAAAACATACTTGCAATTAGACCTTAGAGCTGAGGTTAGAGGGCCCTTCAGCAGCTCTGCTGCCGGAGCCACGAGATTGGAGTCGTTATGTGCAGAGGGCTGGAGGTTGGGCTCTCCCCTAGGCTTGGGAACCAAATTCCACTCGTGTTCCCCCAGGAGTGGGATTCGGGCACAGGGATGTTATGGCAGTTTCTGAGATTGCCTTTTGCAAAGGTGAGGATATAAATCTACAGTTGATAAACAGAAAGCTTAAAACATTTTGCATTCACTGCATCTCAACAAGTCTTCAAGCCAAAACAGGTTGTAGCTATTTTCTATCAACCTGTACTGCTGGTAAGAATAATAAACATTTGAAAACTTCGCAGTTTCCTTCCTTTCTTCCATTTCATATTTCCCAGAGAGGAACAGCAGAGCTGAAAGAGCGGTGAGCCGCACAAACACYTGCCCGGGAGGGGCACCTGGGTATCAGCAAGGGGCACCAGACTGGGCAGAGATCAAGGGGGAGATGCTTCCTCTGATGCTTATCTGCAGGTTTCCTGTGCTTGCTCTGGAAGCAGCAGAGATGGGATGCAGAGCGACACAGCCCTTGGGTCTCCCCAGGCAAGCAGTATTTGTGGTGTTAATCATTACTTTTAAGCCAAGTAACTTGGTCGCCGCGCCGGGCAGCCCTGCTGCGCCTGCAAAGAGGTAGTGAGCAGCGTACGAGGAGTGAAGAGCAGCTCCAGCACTTGTGCTCGCCCCACRGATGTGATTCCCGGCACGCAGCCCCGTGGAGTCCAGGGGGCTGAGGAGGGCGGCGCAGCGCGAGCCGGGCGCTGGGACCTGCCCCGCGCGCCGCGATCCCTGCGTGAAAGGGGCCACATAAATGCAAAGAGGATTTGCTGCTGCTTCAGCTCGCTAACTTCGTGTCACGGGGCTTCTGATCCAGGAGCCTGCCTCGCTTTTCTCACCGAAAGCTCTTGCTGGCATTTTTGTTGTTGTTTTTCAAAGGCAGAATTATTTTCCAGGGAGTAAGTGTTTCTAATTGCGTTTAAATTCTAGTGTGGAAATCGCCTAGCTTGGAGGCTTTTGCAAAACCTTCAARTACTTACTATTCCATGTCGGTAGGCGTGAAAGATGCTTTTAGTAATCCATTACTCCCTCCTTGCTCATTTACCAGTGCAGGAACCTCGGGCTCCGTTACAGGGAGAGGAGCGGGAGTGGCTCCGGAGCCAGGGTGCTGCAGAAACGCCTCTGAGGAGACCTGTCCCTCTTGTTCCTTCCCACAGGGGTGTTCTTCACCTTCCACACCTTCCACCTGGAGAACGGCCACGACTACCTGCTCATCACCGAGAACAGCAGCTTCGCGCAGCCCCTGAAGCAGCTCACGGGCTCCCGGCTGCCGGCCCCGTTCAGCGCGGGGCTCTTCGGAAACTTCTCCGCGCAAATTCGCTTCATCTCGGACTTCTCCATGTCCTACGAGGGTTTCAACATCACCTTTTCTGGTAAGCTCAGAGTGGACAGAGATGTCATTTTTGCGTTTCCTTCCCACATCAATGCAAGTCTTGGAAATCCTTTTCTGACAATGCAGTGCATGGGATTGAGGTTGCTGGCTACACCTCGATAATCACCCTAGTAGTGCTCTACCATTAAACCATTGTGTCCCTAGAAATGCTCTCTTTGCAGATTCCATACTGACAGGAGTAGCAATTTTGTCTGCCTTAAGTCCTAGCAGATAACAAAAGCTGAWCAGTATTTGTTCCCCAAATACCTCTTCTAAATACAAGTATTTTTATGTGTTGCTGTTGGTATTGCACTCATTTTTTGAGTGCTTCCTTCTGATTGTTAATTTTTCTTGGACTTTCAATCTCTGGGAGTCCAGCAGGAATGAACATGACTCTGTAATAACATTTTTCTTGTCTATCAGCCAAGCACAGAACCCACTGGAATTAAATACCACAGCAAAGGTGTTTATTGCCCTCTCACCTACTCATTTTTTTTGCCCTGGACATGGTTTCTTCTTGCATTTCCTTGGGGTATGTCATTCCTCTTCCATTTACATTTCTCCCTCCTGTGTTTACCAGAGGAATATGTCTGCAGTAGGTACAGCATTTCCCGTGCCATGACGGGAGGCTGTGACAGATGGGATCTTTTGGAATGCAGCTTTGAGCAATCTGGACTTCTTGGATAAAGGAGAACAGCAGCGCTGGTCACTCCCGTTGTCCGTCTGGTCTCCTCGTTTCTTTTTCTTTTGGACGCCAGCAGCCGCTCAGCAAACTGCTCCCCCAGCGACCCAGCCTCTGCAGACCCGGTGTCTGGAGGGCATCGAGGCCAGCAGGGTTTGCTTAGGGCAGCTCTTGGGCCTCATGCTGTATCCTGCCCCATGTCCCACAGGTGCTGCCTCCTGCATGGCAGCAATTCCCCCCTTCCCTGCCCGCTCTGCCAGGGATGCTCGGGCTGAGCACGAGCCCTGAGGAGAGGCACTCCTGCCCTGAGCTTTCTGTGGAGCCGCAGGGCTGGGAGCAGGACCAGGGAGGGGATTTGGTCTCACATTTTGAGGCAAGAATGGAGCCAAGGTCTCTAAGGTTCAGTCCTGCCCTGACTAAACTAACCCGTTTGCTCTGCTGGCTCCGGCTGTTTGCTACTGTACAAAATAGTGGTGTCTTCGCGTGAAGTTCCAGATCCTCTGAATTTGCAAGTGAAGAGTCACTGTAAGCATGGTACATTTGGAGAGAGACTCGTGTAATGGCACATTTGCGATGCAAAATAGATCTCACGCTTGCAAATAAACACTTTACTTGCATAATCTCTGCCTGAAGAGTGCAAGTGCAAGGTGTTTCGTGTCCTTTAACCTGAGTTCCTACAAATAACTGCTAAAGTGTTTGCCTGTGCACACRAATCAGCAAACTATTGCCTGAGTACCCCAAAAAGCTGCTCAGTAAAACAGACACTTAACAAATAGAAACTTAACCACACTCTTGCTCCTCTTGGCTGTGTCTAACCTGCCTTGTCCTGAGGGCAAGAGCTGCAAGTTCTGCCTGCTGATGTGGAAGGGAAACGACTGCTCTTTAGTGCCGAGCTCAATGCTGATGTGCTGCCTCTGCAACGGACAGAGCTGTTGCCATAGATGCAGATAAAACCTGCTCTGCTCAAAGCACTGGCTTCACATACCTTTGTTCTGGCCTCTGAAGTCAGAGATTCACATAGAGACCCTGCAGAAGCTAGTTGGACGATTTTCTGTTAACTTAGACTTTGATGGGGGAAAATGGCCTTTTGCCTTAAAAAAACATACTGAATTGTAAATTATTTTCAGTGTTTTTAGAGACTACTTTCTTTTTTTCTTTGAGAGAGAAGAAAATGGAAGCCGGTTATATTTTCAGTTTCCTGCTGATTYGTGTGTATCTACTTTGTACTTGGCAGTTCTGTTATTTTTCAAAAGCTAACCCTCAAAAGAGGTTTCCTTCAAAATGTTTTGTGGCCAGAGACATTTGGCTATTAGCCATGATGCTACATGACCTTTTGTTAGCAACTTAAATATTCTCCTGCATTCCCGAGCAGGATGCTCTGTGCATTCATTTTCAGGATTAGTAACGTAGAGGCAGCAGAAATCCCACTCGGATCAATCTGTCTTCATTTGACTGTAGCAGACAGCAGACCTGTGAGCGTGCTGAAGGGGGCTCTTTTATGACAATTTTAAAAGCCAAGTCCAGTATAAGGAAGTAAATAATACATTCTTGGTTCCCCAAGGCGTGTTTTTCTCTTTTTCTCCTTTTTTATTTTCCCTTTTCAAGTTGCAAAGTGCGTGGCAGCTTAGTCACCTGTCAGGATTCGCCCTGCACAGCTGGGTGAATTTAATTGCTTTCTAATATCGTTAGCACCAGGCTCAGGGGAGAGGATGACAAATTTTCGTCGCTTTTTGTCACCACTGATGTCACTCTCTTATTTGTCCAACAGAGGTGTCAGAAAATGGGATCTGTTGTGCTTTGGTTTAAATCCAGATCCTGGTGACACCCAAGTGCTGTGTCTTTAGAGCCAAAAGTGGCTGGTCTCCATGGCTCGAGCAGGAGGCACCTCCTGGGTGGGAGCAGGACCTGAGCTGCAGCGGGTGGGACCCCAGCGCACCCTCCTCCTCCTCCTCCTCGGGGCCAGGGCCTGGAGCCCTCGCTGGTGTCCCCGGGCTCAGGCAGCGCCGCTTGTCCCCTGCAGAGTACGAGCTGGAGCCGTGCGACGAGCCGGAGGTGCCGGCCTACAGCATCCGCAAGGGGCTGCAGTTCGGCGTGGGCGACGCGCTCACCTTCTCCTGCTTCCCGGGGTACCGGCTGGAGGGCGCCGCGCGCATCACCTGCCTGGGCGGCCGGCGCCGGGTGTGGAGTTCGCCTCTGCCAAGGTGTGTTGGTAGGTGGTCACGTGCTTTCATTTTGCTTGGTTCACTAGTGCGCTGTGCAGGACGGGTTCGGCGGGCAGCGGCCCTGCGGGGTGTCCCCACGGGGAGGCTGCGGGGTGCTGGCGAGAGGGAGCTGTCCCCAGCCCCCGGCATCGCCCGCGCTGGAGAAGCCCGAGCGGTGGGAGACCCAGCGTCACTTTGGGGCTGTTTTCTGTAAACCAGCCTTTTAGGGCTGTCCTTCCTTCCAGGGAGAGTGCTTTCAAACTTAAWGGTCTGGATGCAAAAGCTGCTTCTGGATGGGCAGTCCTAAGCAGTGCAAACGTGGCTTTAATGGGGAGGACTCTGGGACGCAGAGCCTCAGGCTCCTGCTTTTCTTCACCCTCCAGAGGTTCCTTTCTTAGACCTYTTACATGCTGTCCCCAAACCATTGCAGGTCCTCTTTGCAGCCACTCTAGCAATTATTCATACTAAACAGTAATTCAAGAAATAGAGGAGAAGAAAAGGTCATTTGCAAGAGCGAGCATGTTTCTTCCTCTTGTTCCTCATGCACATGGGCGATAGTTTTGTCTGACCAAGGTCTGCAGAACATCCTCCTTTGCCCACAAAATCCCCTGCAAGCCTAACGGTCACTATAAAAGAGCAAAAGCAGTAACGTGCTACAGCAGGAAAGGAGGAAGGATATTGCTAATTCCTCAGGTCTTTGGGAAAGGAAAATTGAGTGCATTTTTGTTGTGTAGTTTAGTTRCTAGGAGAACAGTCTATCTTGCTGTTGGGTTGCTTACCTATACCATCAGGAAGGATTAATTTGGACCAGGTTCCCTGCCTTTTTGCACTCTAGCAAGCCCTACTAGGAGGATGTTCCTCGGTGGTAGTGGTAACCTTTGAGGGCTGTTTTAAAGACGGTGTCGCAGCAAGAGCTGCGCTGCCTTCTCGGTGTGCTGAGCTCTGCTTTTGAGTCCTGTCATACTGAGTGCATTTCCTGGCACTGTTTAATGCCTAGGTCAGAGGGTCGCGTCATCCTGCTGTGACAAGTAGTCTCTGCAGGGCATGAACAATAATCACAATGCAGAGGAAGCTAATCAGAGGAGTAGGAATCAGAAAGGAATTGTAGCACAGCTTTAAATTCGATGTTCAGAAATCATCCCTGAGCAGGCGCGGTGCCTTCCGTTTGCCCAGCGCTCTGCTGCSTTGGGTTTTGAATTAGCATGTGTGGCGATGTGCACAAAGCCCCGGTGACAGGGTGACAGCCCGTGCCAACATGCACRGCCAGCTCCCTGCTAGCCCTTCTGCAAAGGGTACAGAGGGGAATTCGAGACGTGCCCGTGAAAACCAAGGGAGATGTACTTGTTTTTGCCAGCCAACCCAGGCACTTTGTATTCAATTCCTGTCCTCCARATGGACCTAGAGAAAAATGGGAGAGCGTTGGCTCCTTTGAGCAGCCTCTCTCCAGGGTCAGTCGTTGCCTCCTTCAGCCCCGATCCCCAGTGGTCCTGCCCRCAGCGTCCTCCTGGGATAACCCACACGCTGAGGGGACAGTCACGCTTTCCATGCGTGGTGAGAAGGCAGCAGGGAATGACCTCTGCCATGTTTCCACTGTGCCCGTGTGCTGCTTTACCTTCCTGCCTCTGCGGCGAGGGGCTGCCAGAGGCCCCAGTGCGTGCCGAGAGCTGCACGTGCACCGTGACGCTTTCCTGCACCGCAGCAACCCGCTGTGCGAGGGGCTCGGCAGGCTGGCGCAGGAGTTGCTCCGTGGCACCTTGGAGCGGCTCCCCGCTCTCGTGCATGCAGAACGGCACCGAAGGAATGGGAAGCCACCGCATTACAGCTGAAAGTCTTTCAGGGTAAATAGGCCGAAAAAATGACAACTCTGTGATTTGCTCATGGGAGCTAATCAGGGAGGAACGGGAAATCTTAAATGCATGGACATTGCAGAGCAAGTTTACGTGTGCTGGGGGACTGGATATGTATGGAGCAAACAGGCTGCAATAGCCCTAGCTGAAACCAGGCATCTTACGAGACAACAACTGCTGCTGAGATGTATCCTCTGCAGAGGACATCCTGCAGGTGCCTTCCTGCCATTTGCAAGGGGACCCTCAAAGTTTTGCTTCTTCCCTGTGGCAGTGGCAGGTAAGACCTAATTTTCGTGTTGTCCTGGGAGCTCTGGTGCAGCTTTGTGCTATTGCTCTTGTGGTGCTTGTTGTGCTCAGATGCACTGGAGTATCTCTTCACAGCTTTGTATAGTGAAGGCATATCCATAGCAATCCTATTATACTCTCAGTGGCAGGATGTCATAAGAGAGAGACTGTGTCCTTAAAAGCTTGCAGTCAAAATATGTAAAATTGTGAGAAGTAAAGGGTGGTGGTTCCTATTTTTTTGAGTGTTAAGCCCAGATCTCCTGACACCCAAGATAGGTCAGAACTCCAAAGCTATCTTCCTCCTCCAGCTCTAAAGAGGATCGTTCTGCCAAGCTTTTGAGTCACACAAATCTTCTAAATTCGAATTTGGCTCAAAATCAAATATTGTTGATTCATACAACTCAGCGTTGAAAAGGAAGCAGGAATGTTGAAGGAGAAGAGAAGCGTCCCTAGAAGAAAGTGAAGGAAAAGCAACAGCCGGCGGCGCAGGGAAGCACTCACTCCTCCTTTCACAGTGAATAAAATCATTGCAGGTTATGTCCTGTCAGTAGTTCCAGGGAAAGGGGAAACAGCTGCAGTAACAGAACTGCCCCGGGCATTCCTGGATCCCCCCGGCTGCTCCTGCGCTGCCCCAGCCCCCTGTTTTGGACAATAAAGGTCAGCTGCTTTCTGCAGCCCCGTTGGAGTGACGTTCCGAGGGGAAACGAGGTGTGTAAATTGGCACTAGCTTTTGAGCCTGGGCACCAGAGGTTCTCAGCTCCTCTCCATTTCAGTGGAAAGGGCTGTTTGCTGCAAAGCTGGGAATGAGAAAAAARAGGAGAGGGAGGCAGAGGGGTCCTTAAAGTGAAGACAAATGGGGAATTGAAGAGCTGAGGGCAAAATAAACAAGCAAAAAAGGAAATGTCAAGTTTTACCCTCTTCACTTTCAAGAAATTATTTTGAGGAAGATTTTTTTTTTTTTTTTTTACATTCCCAGAGTGCTTCATCATTTGTAATTACGTGCGGGTTTCAGTGAGCACGCCTTGCTGCACTGAGAGCTCTTGCACTTGCAGCGCTCTGTTACCWGCAATCAGTGCTGTGCCACGCTGACTGTTAAAGGAAAAAAACTTTGTTTTATATACCACATTAAATATAAAGCTTGTGTGTCTAGGTGAGCTTCGTCTGAACAGCGTGGCAGAAGGCYTTGCCATATATCAGTCTAATAATATTTTAAATGTTGCTTCTGGTTCATGAATCAGAGAGGAACACGAGTACATGCCCCCTTTCAAGCAGGTGGTGACTTTCCCTGGCTTTCAGAATGTCTTTCTGAGTTTGGATCCAAGACAGCATTTGGGAATGCCAACTTCATGTGACTTAGTTTCACTGTCTGTGCAATGAGAGGATATTAAGCCCTTCTCCAAAGGATGAGGGGTTTAATGATAGTAACAATGCAAGTAAGGACTATTTTGTTTACTAACTGCACTTGGAAATAGATCCATGGATATGGTAGCAGATGGGTATAGAAAGGAATGAGCATCTGTGACTATTTGGAGGAATTACCTGCATGTGCTGCATGACTAGACTGTGCATGTGGTTATTAAAATATGTCTTTTTGTCATTTGTGTAGCTGAATGTGGTTCATCTGTAACTGGAACTCAAGGTGTTCTGCTGTCTCCCAACTACCCCATAAATTATAACAACAACCATGAATGCATCTACTCCATCCAGACCCAGCCAGGAAAGGGAATCCAGCTAAAAGCCAGGACTTTCGAACTGGAGGCAGGAGATTTCCTCAAGGTAATTCTTCTCTCGTTGGCAGTGAGGGGTAGTGCTGCTGAGAAGCAAGAGCAAGATCCACAAGGGAAGTGATGTTCTAAAACTGCAGCAGCGTTTGCTGTAGCTAACGCTCTGGAAGATGCCAGCCAGGCCCAGTCAGTGCTGAGTTTAGTGGTGGTTTTGGCAACATGGGTATGTCCTAATAGTAGGAATTGGATTGATGTCCCCAAAATGTCCTCCTTGCAGCAGTGATTGGTTACAACAGTCATTTCTGGGTCATTTGATGACTAATGTGCAGCATTTTTCAAGACAGCAGCAAGGTTCCTGGGGACCAGGCAAGGCAGTGGAGCTGGAACAGGAACTCTGTGCATCCCCTCTGAGGCTGGAGCAAGGCTCAAGTGGTGACGATGATGGTGGTAGATGTGYGAAACAGTATTTTTAAGCCCATGGACATGATAGCTTTTACCACTGCTGTGCATCAGTTTGCTGTGCTTGAAGATGTACCCTGTAATCTCAGGGAATCAACTCTTGTGAACCTCACTGACTCATGCAGGTCTTTGCAGCTAATCAGGGGACATCAGTCCCCTAATGAGGGGATTAAAAAAAATCCATATCCTTTAGAAATGTAGATGTCTTGGCCATATCACTGCAGCCCCTGCTGTGAAATCCTTACTGAGATGGAAGGAAGACTTCACTCTGTTATATATATTGTGCAGAGATGTTTGTTCAGTTTGTTGAGCATCTTTTGAACTCAGTAAAGGTAATGGAAAGAGGCCCTATGGAAAATAAGAGATTATTTTAAAGCAAAATACTTTGCATGTGAGTAGCTAGGTAAAGACAGGCTTTAACCCAGCGTCTTTGGACACTGCACAGAGTGACAGAAACTGTGCAATTCAAAGTGCATAGAAATACCTATGAACCTCAGAAGAATAACATCGTTTTAGAGATTTACTAGAGCACCAGGCAGCCCTCCCTTGCAGCTAAAATTCTGTTCTTATCTACACGGTTGTATAGTGGAAACTGTTAACACATGAGGAAGCATGAGGTTCTTAGCATTATTTTTGTGTTTTTAAGAACCAGGGATGATTTGCCCCCAAAAAGGGATTATTTAAATGCAGAACTCCATACTCAAGCTCTTCAGCATTCCCATACTTCGTCTTAGATTAATCTGCATTTACAAGTTTCAGGATCCTGTATARGAGGAGACAAATCTGGGCTGAATTCTATTAACAGAATCACAGAATTAACCACTAAGAAATGTCTTTTGTAGGAGGCATTATTACAAGATTCATGGTGCTGTGCTAAGCCATCTTCCCAGGAAATATCTCTGTCCTTATTTTAGTGCTGTATATCTGCACTGTGTAATCCACATATTTTCAACTTGGAATCACTGGAAAGAGAGATTTCCAGCTAATGCAGAGTATGCTAGTTAGGAAAGAATGGGTGTTTTCTCAATGGTGTTGTCAGCAACTTGGCACGTATTCCCCGAAAAGGTAGCTATCAATCTCCACTAGTGAGAASTTGTCCTTTATTCTTGTAGAGAATCATTTTATTTGCAAGATTTTTTTTAGTTTGTTTTTAACGATACTGGAGGCAAGATGCATTTGTGAGACTTTGCAGAAGGGATTGTTTTTCCCTGTAGCTGTGCCGCACCTTAGGAGAGAGAAACTTGTTCAAAAACCACAGCGGTAAGTGCAGCATAAGCAGAGGTTTGAGGAGAAATACACGGATCTCCTCCAGGATATGAATCCTGCTCCTCAAACGAGCAGCATCATGAAACATTGGAAAGCCAGAGTCTTAGCTGGCATCATCTCCCTGGCTCCAGAAGCCGTTTGCACTTTTGGGAGATTTGGCCCCCGATTTAGCAAATCAGGGGTGTTTTCCAGGGTGTGTTTCTTGTTCCTCCTAGGTCTATGATGGCAGCAATAGTTCTGCTCGCCTGCTGGGCTCCTTTAGCCGCACCGAGATGCTCGGCACCAGCATCAACAGCACTTCCAGCACCATGTGGCTCGAGTTTATCACCAACAGCGAGAACACGAGCAAAGGCTTTGAGCTGCAGTTTTCTAGTAAGTCTCAGGCCCATAACCTTGTGAAATGGGAATCCGAGTTGTACTACTATATTTCTGCATTACAGTTGCCTGCCTAGATAAAACAGCCCTTTCCCAAAAGGTGGTATTATCTGGAGTGCATTGAGAGCAGGGGAGACAATATTATGTTGGTAAACTCACCCTGCTGTGATTGAACTGGAGGCAATTGGAGGTTGGGTCAAAGCTGACATCTCTGGGGTCTTGCTTAAGCCTTGAGGAAAAAATATATTTCTCAGTATAGTCCTTCTTCTTCCTGGAAAGATTAGAAGAAAATACTCATACTACATGTAGTAATACTGTATTTTTTTTTTAATATCTAGTGAAAATTGACACTGTTTTTCCTGGCCCAGGTTTTGAACTCATCAAATGCGAGGACCCTGGCATCCCGCAGTTCGGCTACAAGGTCCACGACGAAGGACACTTTGCTGGCAGCTCCGTATCCTTTAACTGTGACCCTGGCTATACCCTGCGAGGCAGCAGGGTGCTGGTCTGCCTCACTGGCGAGCGGAGAGCTTGGGACCAACCCCTGCCCACGTGYGTAGGTGAGGCAGCACTTTGCTTCGGCCTTGCGCTCAACGCCCCTCTTCCTCCTCAGCTAACACAGGTGACGGGCTCTGGTATTGATTACACCCATCTACATCCAAAAAGACAGTGCTAAGGATTCCTTGTAAGGCAGCTTCAGATCCAGAGCACTGATCTCTGCAAAGGTCTGCTGGCTTAACATGAAACACCGTGCGCAGAGCCCTTCAGCGTGCTCTTCACAAGGTTTTCTGCTTCATAGCGAGGACTTGACTCATTTTTTAGTCCTTGTCCTTTCACTTGAATTTGTTAAATAGAGTGGCGCTTTCTGATGATGGCAGATAGCAACGTGTGTCTGGGTTCTTGACAGTTCAAAGTCAGRCTTATTTGAGAGCTACATGACAATTGATTCCAGATATTTTAATTCCTTAAGGTAGCCTCCCCTTTGTTAAGTCCTGAGTCCTCCTTTTCCAGTAAGTCTGCAGAAGGAYGTGCTCTTGTCTAGAACACTGGAATTGGGGTTTGAGTATTGAAATGAAGTGCTACTGGTCTCCTACTCATTAACCACGTAATTAGGTAGTGTTTTCAGGTCACAGTGATGTTCTTAGAGGCTCGCTCCTCTCAGATCTCRGCAGCCACCAAGCTGCTTTCACGGTTGTGAGCAGTGTGCTCAGACATTGGTGCTCTGAATTCTCCCATGAGTGAGAATCTTCTGTACCCTGAGCCCTCCATTGAATTTTTGCCTTAATTATTGAAGTTAAAAAGGCAAAATTTAGTGACTAAGACATCTTTAGTCTGTTTGCTCCCTGTTTATTTTGTATGGGAGTCATGTCTGTGTGAGTATATAGAAACTTGGAGAATTTTAATGGACATGTTATGAAAAGATTTAAGAGCCTCAGTTTCTTTGGAAATTCATTAAGCATAGATATACATATATGTGTGTGTGKTGATCTAGTTTTGTCACACGTTTCGCAGGATTTGCAGGGTCAGAATTACTGAGGGTTTTGACACCACGTGTGTGATTTGGGGAAGGAAGTACACTGGCTCTGCCTTTGTTCACGGTGAAGCCAAAGGATGGGAGGAAGTTGTTCTTCACTCTGATAACAAGTCAGATTTTAGGAACATGCACAGGAGTGCAGAGCTCCTCTGATGACTCACTACTTTAGCTGAATTAAGTGATTCTCCTTATCTTTGGTTTGTGAGGTTTGAGAATCTCTTTTAAGCAGCAAGAAATTCTCTTTCCATCGTAATCAAGATGAAAYTTGCATTGTGGCCGAGTGCTGTAATAGGTAATGAGTCTTCTAACTGAACTATGTGTTTCTTATAGCTGAGTGTGGGGGAACTATCAAAGGAGAGTCGTCAGGACGGATCCTGTCTCCCGGCTACCCGACACCCTACGATCATAACCTCAATTGTATCTGGACGATCGAGGCAGAAGCCGGTTGCACAATAGGGTGAGTTGGGGCTTCAGGGACTCTTAACCTCTGCTGTTCCTTGGGGAGGTGGTTGATGGTTTGCTCTGTGCTTTCCTAGCTTGAGGTCAGAGCTAGCTGAAATGTAAAACTCTRTTGTTGGGGTTCCTAATCCCTTAGGTGCCCTAAAATCTCCCAGTAGTTTTGCTGTAGAAAACCTGACTTTGATATCTTAAATKAGCTCAACTAAGTTTTCCTTTGAATACTTCATTTTCATCATTATAGGAATTTGGTGGAGAGAATACAGTGTTGCTTTGAGACTCTCAAATGAGCGAGCCAGTGCTGGTGTTACCTCCTTGCCAGATGGAAAGCATCACTCCCTCCCCTTTGCTTCTACTTTTGAGCCATGTGTGGCCTCTGCTTGTAACGTCTATTATATCAAGTGATGGTGACCCTGAATTACTTGCTATTTCTGTCTGTGATACTGCTATATTAAGTGAGCATCTAAAAGCTTTCACGTGTGTATCTAGTATAAATGCCCTTCACTTAAAGGCAGAAACAAACTCTTTTCACCATGTTAATGTTGAGTTTCCAAATAATATCCAGCATATGTCCAAATGGCATAATCCTAAAATGAGGACATATATGTAAAAAAAAAAAAAATTACTTGGCAGATCACATCCAAGCGAAGGATAATACAAGGCAGTTATGGAGCTGGTTCATCTCCCATTCCTGCAGCCAGAGGAAATTAACGCTGAAAGGGGTGAGATCTGTCAAATTACTTTTGTGTAAATGATTAAACAGTCAGGCGTAGGGTCCCCAGATGTGAGTGGACAGCCGGAAAAATGGGACCTTGCTTTTCATCTTCTAATTGCACTATTTTATGGTTTTAATAATAAAAAGAAACAGATAAAATGTAACGACCCTCCCAAAGGGAAGGCTCAAGATAGTTTCTAAACATCTGGTCTGTATGGAAACCCAAGACAATTTTCTCTTCCTGCTCTTCTGCCTTTTCTTATTGTTCTGTTGCCACTTTGCTTTTGGAAAATGGCATTTTGAAATGTTAATTTGTTTATAAGTTATGTGAACTTGGAGGCAGTTAGGTAAGCATGGTATGAGAACATTTGGCTCATAAAGTTAGTGCAGCCACCAGCAAAATTCAAGCAGTTTTCTACTTCGTGATGCTTCATCTSTGATCTCTGCTGCTCACCGTTATTCCCATGCCTAGGATTAGGGTGCAGTAGTAYCGGAGTTTATATCTGGGCAGGTTTTGCTGGGTTGAGTTAATCCTGAGGGCAAAGGAGGCGTGAAACCCCTCACCCTGACACAGGAGACCCTGCCAGCCCCACGATGGCTTTGACACAACCGTAATGCTGTCCACTCGTGCAAGGRTGCACAAATGCATGGACTCATGCGCTTGCAGCCCCAGGCAGAGGCTTGACAGGGGCCAAGCCTGAAATGAAATGATGCCAGGCAATAATCTGGTAATATACCTTGTGACCCCTCCTTTCATCAGAGATAGAAGTTCYCTTTTTCTTTATTTGGCAGCTCAAACAGAACAGATGATCTCTGGGCTGTTGAGAGAGCACATTTTCAGCAACTTCATTTTTATGGTAATCCATTGGAAAAATAATCCTCTTCACGCATGATACAATTGTATAAAGGCCTCATTTATAACTTGCATTAAAATTAATCACCAGAGCCTTTTGAATAAAGCTGTATCTGCACAGAGAGATGGGAAGGAAAGGAAGAAGAGAACGCTAGAAAAACGAGTATGTCCCTTATTGACACGCATGTGAACGGGCTGCACTTTGAGAGAGGATTAATCGTGTGCACGTGCGACCACGTGTGTGTGAACACAGGTAGCCAGGGTTGTGCTCACAGAGCCACAGAGAGACCCCACGGGGACGAAGGGCAGCGAGGGCTGTGCTGGGCAGTGCCTGAAGTCGCCTTCGAGGGCTGCGTGCACAGCGGAGAGCGCGTCTGCACGTAGGGAGGTCACATTTCATTGCATAGCAGCAACCTCGGTGTCATCAGCGAGTTTATTGATATTGCCAGTCCTTGTCTGGTGAAAGGTACTATATTGACAGGTGCATTTTTCACGGTCTCATGTAGAAATGCAGGTAGAACTACCCAGGCCTTCCAGATTGCCTCTGTGGAGACATGTGGGGGTGCAGCATTTATGGCTTTCCATTTGGGATCCCCTTTCCTGGGCAGGCACGTGCAGGGGATGCTCTGCACATCGCCTGGAGATGCTCTCTGGAGAGCCAGGACTAAATGGCTCAWCAGAGTGCCCAGACTTGGCTGCCGCCTCTTCCTCTCCCTTCCTTGCTAAGCTGCAAGCGTTGCCCTCTGTCACCTATATATATAGCTGCAATTCCTAATTTGCTTTTAGCTGCATTTTCATGCATGTAATTGCGATTGTCAGAGTGCAAAAATAAAACCCTCTTCTCTCCATTGTCTGCTGAACCGGTTGCTCTGTCTTGTCTTAAATTAAGCCCTGCTGGGAATAGAATCAGGCTGATAGAGAAATCATGCTGTAGAGTTACAGATGTGCCTATTGAAAAGATTGATTTGCTCCAGAGAACACCAGTTTTTCTTAATAAAATCAGTTCTCCCAGTAGATACCTGAGTCAACTGACATTGGACAGAGAGCCTTGCACTGTGTCACCTCCTTACCCTGCTGAAAGCATCCTCCCGGTGGGGAWATCCTGTCTGCAAATGGCTTCTTAAAAACAAATTGGGAACGAGCATCTCTRTGGCCACAGTCGGCCCCGGCCCCGCAGTTGGGCTGGGATTGGGCTCTGTTGGCAGCAGGATGAGCTGGAAGRAGTCACGGGCACCAGTCCCCCCTCATCTCTCCCCTTGTCTCCGGTTACTCCAACAATTTCCACGGTGAGTTCTGGCCATTTGGGCTAACTAGCACTGGGGAGCCCAAGCATCAGCAGAAGATACAAGCATCATCTGACCAAGGCACCTGGAGAGAGCGGCTCTGCTATAATCCCTTCTTATTTTCCTTGAGTCTGGCTTTTTTCACTTCGCTCAAGGTCTCTGCTAGGTAGATTTATGATTCAGCTCTTTTGGATTCTGTCAGATTCTGGGGATGTCATTTTGTTGCTGAGTACATTGCAGTATATATATTTTTTTTATGGCTCTACCTTATTTATTTATGTCTGCCCCGGATAAATGGGAAAGCAGCCAAGCGAATGCTTCCCTGTTTTCCTCAGTGGATTCTCTGTCAGGGTTTTAAACCCAGTATCTGAATGTTTTATTTTCACAGGGTTTCTCGGTACAGTTTATAGATCCGTGTCCCCGTTTCAGAATGGCATGCCTGGAGTTACCCTGCATTAGCCTGATTTCATTGTGTCAGGYGGCGTTTTCCCCAGTGATAATGCCGTGATGAAGAGCAGAAGCAATTAAAACGCCTTCCCACCGCTTGGTGCTTTAAGGGCAGGCCGGAAAGGCACCCTGATGTATCCCAGCCTGGAGCWGGGAGCTCCCCGAGGGCAGCAGGARCAGCCCTGTCTGTGCCGAGAYGCTGCTCCTTGTCCTGGAGCACCCCAAGGGCTCGGCCGGGCAGCAGCCGCTCCTTGTCCTYGCGCCACCGAGGTGGCCCTGGCACCCTCGGGGCTCGGAGCAGGGAGAGCCCCGCTTGGGCTCAGGCGGGACGAGCGGTGCCGCTGCAGGCGCCTCCGCACGCGTGCCATGCCGGCGCTACAGCCTCGTGCTCTCCCTGCAGGGCAGGCAGAGCTATGAAATGCACGGTAAGGAGATGGCATCTGCATTCAGCGCATCGTAATAAATACCAGGTGAAGACCATGGTGTCATTTCAGTGCTGCTGCCAGCTTCATTTTTGCTTTCTGTCCCTCACTTTCCCACCGTGTGTTTGGAGAGCTGGCTCCTGCTACCTTCCTGCTCAGGTTATTTTGCTAGCTGAGCTCCATAGAGCTTTGCAAGATCTGGAATTTTACAAAATGCATCAAAATCCGCTCCAGCGTGGAAGGCATCCAGGAAGGAATTGTGCTGCACCTGGTTGGCACTGGATTTCTATATTCTGCTCCTTCGTCCAGGAGACACAGGTGCCCTGATGGGCTCCAGGAGCTTCCATGACCTCTTTCTATTCAGCCCGAAACTGCTGCATCCCCAGGCTTTGCTTTCCCTGTATTCACACAGGGCTTGTTGCGTTGCTGGCGTGGAGTTCCCGTCCATCTGTCCTGGGACAGGTTTGGGGCTCCCTGGAAGCGTCCCAGGTGTAACGTCCCTGTCCCAGCACCCTGCCCTCAGCACAGTCCTGCCGTGCACAGGCGTCTTCCCGAGGTCGTGGTCGTTATGGATGCTCAGCCCGTCCTTCCCTGCATCCAACACATCCCTGTTCTCGTGTCTCAGCCGTGACTGCTGCTGCCACCTCCATCTGTGGGCCACCCTTCCCTTGTTATTAACTTTGGGGACAGTTAATAGCACTGGCCTGTTCCAGGTTTCTCTTCTAGCAGCATCGACAGGGTATTTTTAAATGGGAGTTGGTGTTGGTTGTTTTCCTTTCCGTTTTTTCCCCTGTTACACAAGATTAGCTTGGTGCCAGGAGCAAATTCTTTGATCTTAGTGCAGGTAACAAAAATCAATGCATTTTATCAGTAGATGCTGGCCCTTGACAAAAAGCTGTTCCTTGCAGGACACCAAAAAGCAAAAGGACAGCCAAGGTTGTTGCTGTGTGCGACACAGGGGCACTGTGTGAATTAGATGAATTTACATTGGTTGTCTTAAGGGACCCTAGCTCATTTCCTGCTCGTTTTCCTTTTCGAATAAGTTTCTCAATATTTCTGTGTTTATCTATAATAGAGCTCAGTAAAACCAAGGACAGACCCCTTGTCCTTCCCTTCCCAGGCTCTGTGCCTCTCCACTGCACGTTTCCTGCATGTCCTTGAAGGCTTTTGTGYGTGTGACAGCTCCTCATTGCCATGTCTGAGCCCTGCCAGCACCGAGGCAGCAGTGACAGGCCCAGCTGGGGACATTTACACTGCTCACGGAGGTCTTCTGGACCTTTACATTACATTGAGGAGAGACTGGTAATTCCACTTGCTTAGGACAGAAAACAGGAAGGGACTCAGATGTTCAGCAGACACTAATATCTGTGACTTGCTTTCCATTTAAGCACATAAGTTTTTTATTAAGGAGCCATATGACTTAGGAGATGTTTTTTTGTGGAGAGATGGAGTTAGGTGGCTGCGATGTTTTGTCCAAGGTGAGTGGCAGATGTTGGAAGAGAACATGTTTCTTAGTGGGCCATGCTGCCCTAGGTTGATACCTTCCTAACTCTTTTTAGAAGAAGACAGAGCTATATTTGTGCTGTGACCTCCAGTTGTTTTTGTCCCACAGGCTCCACTTCATGGTTTTCCACACGGAGGAGTTCCACGATGTGCTGAGGATATGGGACGGGCCGGTGGAGAACGGCATCATCTTAAAGGAGATAAGCGGGTCTGTCTTACCCGGTGACGTCCACAGTACTTTCAATTCTGTCATTCTTCAGTTCAACACGGATTTCTTCACAAGCAAGCAGGGCTTTGCTATTCAGTTTTCAGGTAGGCTTTATAGTATTTCTTCGGTGTTGTCCAGACTTATTTTTCAAACAGTAATGTTTTTTCAAGTATTCACGGTGAGGAAATGCCTTGTCATGAGGGGCAGCGTTGAGGGTGCTGCAGGTGGCTTTGCCTTTCTCGCTCTTTGCCAGCTCGTGTCTCAGTGGCAGGGAGACCAGAACAGGCTGCTAACTTGTCTTATCTTTAATGGCACAGAGAGCGATTTTCTCTGATTCTTTTAAGAAGAGCTTGCTGTAAACTGGCTAGGTGTAATGGACTCGTATCAACTTAGCAGGAAATAAGCTCTGCTCAGCAGCCTGATATGGAGCGGGTCTTTATTGACTCCTTGCTGCTCCAAGCCTTTGTTCAGCAGGTGTGACTAAGTAGTCAGGCCTAAGCTCAGGAAGGGACAGGTTCACATCTTGTGAACTTTAATGATCTATATAAGCTTACAAAACTTCTCTCTCCGTGATCTTCCATAGCGTTAAACAGCTCTAGTGTTGACGGCCTCGAGCGCAGTCAGCGGTGAGGTTGGTGTCTGGCCTCCAGCTGGGATGGCAGAGGAGTTGGAGGCTCATGGGGGGCATCGGATACCTCCAAGAGCCACAGCAGCGCGACGGGGAGGGAAACACCTGCATTCCTGGAGGATCTGGCTTGATGCTTCACAGGCTGAATTTCCCTGCTTGTCAGTGGAAGTGAGAAGTGCTAGCAGAGTCGTTTCTTTTGCAGCATGTGTCTGACACAGAAGTCTATAAAAATGCCATGTAAGATCAGTGGATGGCTGGACTTGCTAAGTAAACATGCACGTGCACAATTACACATCCAGCTTGCACTCTGTGTAGTGCTCTTGAACTTGCCATTCCCCAGGGCCTTTCCCAGCTGGAGGAACAGATGCTCAGTGCGAAGTAAAAGTTGGGTTTTATGCATGTGGCAACTTTTAAGGGACACCAAAGGGGCAAAGATGGAGAAATAAAGTCACTGTTTGGATGTGTGTTGAGGGACAGTCTACGTGCAGCCAGTGGTTGGCATCTGCAGTGTGAATTTTTGGGTTCTCTCCCTTTGCGTCTTCATTACTGTGCTCTGCCAATGAGTCAGAAATAGAAAGAAAGAGGCTGTTGTGGTGGGTATAGGAAAATATTTCAGATAATAGTGGGAGGGAGATTTGAAATTTTAATATGAAATTTAATGTGGTTGAAGTGACTGGAGAAAAAAATAAGGAATAATATTTTTCTGTGGAGCAGATGGGTGTTAGCCAGGAGGAAATTCTGCRAACCTGTACTAAACATCTTTTAAATACTCCGCAGTTTCTACTGCCACTTCCTGCAACGACCCAGGGATTCCGCAGAACGGGAGCCGAAGTGGTGACAGCAAAGAGGCGGGCGACTCCATCGTCTTCCAGTGTAATCCGGGATACGCTCTGCAAGGGGAGGCCAAAATCACTTGTGTGCAGATTGAGAACAGATTTTTCTGGCAACCAGACCCTCCCTCCTGCATCGGTATGTGCCGTGCATGTCTCCTCTTGTTGCACTAAGCTCCCTGCCCTGATTTCATTGTGAGATTTCTGTACCTGAAAGGGACAAATCCCTCCTGGCTGGAAGAGGAGATGTTCAGCGTCCCAGATGGCTGTCCCACTGCTTGTTTGGGGAGAGCCTGCAGCCGCTGCGTAGCCCTGTGCGTGCAGAGCACCCGGAGCTGTGGGGACTTAGGTGATTTCTGCCTACAGAGGTAGCAAATTCTATGGCAGGAAAGAGCTAACTGGCATTTTCTTTGAGCTCATAAAGAGATAAAAGAAGCTCATAAAAAAGATCTTTTTAATACATCCAGAACATATGAAAAGAGTCATGCTAAGCACATAAAGCAATGAATACTGAATTTGCTGGCCAATTAAATGCTAGATAGAAATTACCTATCCTGTAACCTTCATTCCTGTTTATGCAGTGTTATCCCAGGAAAAGAAAACTCRTTAATTCTGTTCCAAAGATCATATTAAAAGCTAGCTAGGAAGCTTCTGTGGCCTGCACAGGATGACTTGATTTCTGAATCTAGTCTAGTGCAGCACCCTTTCAGCATGATGGGGACCATCCTTTTAGGCTTTCTGGAGATGTAACTAAGTCGGGTGGTTGCATGTYCTGCCCATGTAGCCATTGAGTTCTTCGACATCAGAAGCTGGGCCCTTAGTACTTTATAGAGACACAGCCAGTGCCTTAATCTCAGTGCGAGGTGAACTGAGCTGGGGGAATTCTCATGGGTTATCTTTGTTGTAGGCTATTTGACTTGGAGATGCTGTGTTGAATTCTTTGTGAACAAAGGCCTGGCAGCCTTGTTTTAGGAGACATAAGCCCTGTGATAGACTATGAAAAACCTGAAAGCAATTTCTTGCTCTTTCGCTGCCTTCAATCACAGAGGATTTGGGGGAATAATCAGTGGATAGATAAAGTCAGTTTTACAATGACTGTGTAACAGGCTGCCTAGTTAGAGCCAAATGGGAAAATGGATTTTATTTAAGGTTTGGATCTTGTGTTTGTATTTAGCATTTCAAATGCATGTTCCCATCTTTACTGAAACACTTCTGCATTCCCTAAATAATGTGGGCAGAACTGAATCCTCAGCTGAAGCAATCCCCGGGGATTTGGGGCAATTGAAGTCTGGATCCAGACCCAACTCCAAAAGGCAATAACTTGAACCAGATTCTAGTTTAAATCCTTTGGAGACTCTGGGTGGCATTTTCAAAGCAATCGGAGGGCGTTAAGCACTCAGCTCCCTTAGGCTTTTCAAAAATGARTCTGTATACTTGAAGGTTTCTTGGGAGTTTTCCCTTGGCTTCAGAGTCTGAGAAAGGAATGCATCCTAAAGGTTAACCCGAGGGTTACTTCCAGAGTGTTCGAGCATGGTGTTGAGCTGAGCTCTTCCCTGTTCTGTGCTGTGATTTCCATGCCTGTTCACAGGTGGTGCCAGGTCTTGTTGTCTGCAGTGGGGAAGATGAGTCTGAGCAAGAGGGCAGGTCTGACTGGCATCTCTCGTGCAAAGACTGCAGAAAGGCTCACTAATAAATCAATCACCAACATTTGCCACAGTRGAAATGTGTGCAGTCACTTTGAGCCTTTAAAAAAAGTAATAATTGATTTTTCAATCAGCTTGGCATTTAATGTGCTGGTGACTGTAGTAAACACRAACAAATCATTAGTCCCAGACATTATTTTGCAACAAACCAGCTTCTGAGAGGGAGTTATCTGAATACATACAATGGGAACACACGGAGCATCTCTCTTCCTTCCTCTATATCCTACAATCTTATCTCCCAAAGATGGTAATAGCATCCACAGCTCTTTCCCTGCGTATGTGTCCTSCTTACTACAAGAGAGTCCTGCTCTCCATTAGAGCCACAGCCAGCTTTGCAATATGTGTCTTAATGCCTATCTGATGACACAGTCAACTATCTGTCCCCTTATCTACCCCTAYAGCTTGCTCTTCCTTCCCGTATCTCATCGGCTGTTTCCTTAGTTTTTGGAAGAGCGAGCCTCACCCCTGCGCCTCCTCTCTCCCCAGCTCCCTGCGGAGGTGTCTTGACGGGGCCGTCCGGCGTGATCCTGTCCCCGCAGTACCCGGAGCCCTATCCGCCGGGAAAGGAGTGCGACTGGAAGCTCACGGTGTCGCCCGACTACGTCATTGCGCTGGTGTTCAACACGTACGTGTGTCCCCGGGGCGCCAGGCGGCCCTGCGGGTCTGCTCCTCTCTGCAGAGAGAGCCCTGGAAGGGTGTCCCATAGCGAGGAGTAACCTCACGTGGACCTTAACATTGGAGAAGATGCATATATTTCACCTGCAGCTTCTCTTTACGTGTGGCTTTTAAAGAGAATAAGTGTTTAACTCAGCAYCTTAGTGGTGCTGTAGCCCCTACAGCACTGTCAGCTTGTGCCATCAGCACCAGGCCTCCTTCCCTTACGTGCAGAATGGAGATAGAAGTGTCCTGTTCTTCTCCCTTCATCCTACTTAGCTTAGAAGGGAGCAGAAGCAGTTTCTTGGCTATGTGGTTGTGCAGCCCCTTGAGACAACAGCCTGTTGTTCCCCAGGGGCTACTGTAGTGTACTTAATTCACTTTAATTACACTTSAAGCATTCCTCTTCTGTTTTTTCAGCTTTAATTTGGAGCCTGGGTATGATTTCCTTCATATCTATGATGGACCTGATTCACTCAGCCCCCTCATTGGAAGCTTTTATGGCTCCCAGCTGCCCGAGAGGATAGAGAGCAGCAGTAACAGCCTCTTCCTCGCTTTCCGAAGCGATGCCTCCGTGAGCAACACTGGATTCGTCATTGACTACACAGGTAAAATACATCCGGGTGGGAGCACCTGAGCCATCTGACTCAGCAAAGTACTTGGGATTTTGCCTGCACTTATCCTTGGGTTAACCCATCTAATTGAACCATGTRGAAGAAGCTATAGAAATTGTGGGAAACCTCTGTTTTGCTGAGAATCTGGCTACCTTTGTGGCTACTACCAACTCTGATTCATGGGCAAGGTACGGAGGGCTGGAGGGTAGAGGTGATCTGTAGGCTAGCTCAAGGGCTGCAATACAGAACGGTAGATCAGAGCAGCATAAAATGCAGCATAAAAGCAGAACATGGCACATAGCTCCAGATTTGAGCTTTCAGAATTGTGGGGAGTGTTGAAGCGTTAACTGGAAATTAGGAATGTTCCACGTTGCCWTGGATTAAAGATTTATTCTTAGCAGCAGAAACAGCCAGGTCCAAAAGAAGTTGGTGCAGACATACGTCTCTAATATGGGATCTGTCTGCATTCTGCATTGTTCGCACTGTCATTTGAAAGCACCAAATTCTTGGGCTGCTGCCTTCAGAATTAGGGATCATGGAGGTGGATTCCTGCCTGTCTGCAGTCAGTGGAGCTCTGCTGACGTTGATGCATTTTGCTCCACTTAAAATTCTAGAGCATCTCCTTAAAAAAACACTGAAGGAATGGTAATCAGCAAAATGAGCAGAACAGTATGTTCACAAGTATCTCRGTTTATTACAATATTGGCTTTTCTTTCTTGCATGAGGAGGGAGTAAAAGTTTCTGGTGGCTTCAGCTCTAATGGGCAGAGACAGGGAAGCGATTAGAGTTTTCCCTGAGTGCTTTAGCTCTCTGTCGATGGAGCAAGGTGGGAAGTGACAAACCTGGCACGGCTCTTCTGGAAGATGGGGGCAGAAATCCCAAGGACTTTGGCAGGGTTTGTGTCTTGTTCATGTGTCATGCAGATAAAAGAGCAGAATTGTTACAAACGGTAGTAAATAACGTACTTGGAAAAAAGGGGCCCAATGTGCCAGGTTTATGCAGAAAAAGATTTTTTAAAAGATGAGAAAAAAAGGAACACATTCTGGTCTGTATGGGGCGGTTTGCGTTATGGAAAAGAAATGTCAATGACTTAGCTGACCTGGGTTTAGCTGGATGTGTGCCCTGCTGCCCAAGCCTTCGCTTGTGCAGCGGTGTCAGCTTGTGCTGGAGCTGATGGACTCCTGCCACTGAGCCCTCCATGGCATCCAGGGATTTTCTTCTCCCATTTCCAGCTCTCATCTGTGGTTTCTGCTTGGAGATTCACCCGGCCAAAGGCTGCTGTTCTTATCTGAAATGGGGAGTCCTGTTGGTTGCACTGGACAGGCGGCCTTACCTCTAGTACGGTTATAAAATAACAAGGAAAAGATAATAATGGCTAAGATTCTACAGATTTAGTTTTCTGCTCCCACTAGAATTAATTTTACTGATAATTCAGTCTTGGACTTCACTGCTTTTCCCTGTTCTTTTTGGACAGCCAAAAAGTAGTTAAGGAATGAAATCTCATTAAATTAGGGTTGTTGTGTGATGCATTTTTCTCCTAAACACTCCTACGGTGTTAATCGTGCCTACACACTTCCCACAAAGCCAAACTGCTGGGAGAAAAGAATGAGGCTTTCAGTTTGCTCATTAATTTCCCCGCACTTTACAAGGAGCCCAGGATTCAAGTCTGAGAAGCTGTGGAAAATAGAGCTGTGGGGAATTGCAGAAGAAGAAAGGAAGGTGGGGAGGGAGTGTGTGTGCTAGAAAATCAAATATCGAGCTCGGCTCAGCGCCAGCGAGTGGAATCCCAAGTACAGTTCAAAGACACCGTCTTCTCTGCAGCCTCCCTGCGCCCGGTGGCCACGGGTGCCCACGCCGGCCCTTGCCCCTGGCTCCCTAAATGCCAGACGTCACCTGTGTCCGCTGTGCACAGAACGCTGCTCGTTACCAGGGGCTTTGTGGTCCTCTTTCAGGAACGTTCGGGGGAAGAAAACAAAGCAGCCATCTGTCAGTCCCTCCTTGAACTGCTGCATCTTCTCGGGGACTGGGATTGTAGCACTAGCCTGAAGCTACAGCGTGTCGGATGAATTTCAAACAGCCTCAGCTCTTCGTTTGAAATTGTTTCGGGGGCAATGGCTCTTCAAGAGCAAGTCCTCCTCTGGGGTGAGGAGGAATGGAGAAAAGGGAGAGAGGAGAAAGCTTTGGGCTTTTATTGTGCCGGGCTTTGTGTAGAGCAGGGGAGGCCCAGGACCGCTGCAGTGCCACAGGAAGGTGTGCGAGGGCACGGTGCAGCTAGGCAGCCTTCAACCCCTCGAGATTCCTAATAGCTGGACTTAGCTCTTAGCTCTGGACCCGTGCAGCACCGACAGCTGTGCAGCAAAATGAAGAAAATCAAGTAAGATTGCTGGAAAAGAAATCCTAAGTGGATTCTCCCCACACACTTAAATTTCCAGAGGGTCGGTGTGCTGTCTGCATAGAAGTTTAGGTTGTTTCAAAGGGCAGGTGCAACTGAAAAGCAATCGTTGGGAATTTCAACTGGAGAGGATTTATTGTTGGGGAGGATTTACCAGGAGCGAGTAGATGTTGGTTTCGAGCTAGTTCCTGAAAGGGAAGACGTGCTCTCCCCATCGCTCTGCGAAGATGTGCTCTCCCCAGGCATCCCATTGCAGCTCTCCTGAAATGATCATCATCATCCTGGTTCGCAGCAGCAGCTTCGCTAATGGCACGTCTGCCAAAGCAGTGCKCTGGGCTCACGGCAGATTCACTGGAACCCAGCAAGTGTTAGCCTAACTAATCCAGAGGGTGATAAGTTGCTGATTACAGGATACGAAAGACAGTTCTAAAACAAAAGCATAAATACAGGAAAACAGATTGCTTGCTACATGCCTAAGATTGATGGCCTGTTCCAGTTGTTGCTTAAGAATATTTTATGGATATCCTAGCTGCAGAAAGCTAAGATTTCTCCTCAGGAAGTCATCTGTATTCCCCTAATCAGCTTGCACAGCAGCATCTTGCAAACCGTGCGTTTTATTGAGCTCCCCTTCACATATTCATTCACCGTGATGTTTTTACGCAGAGACTGACCACGCTGCCGTGGCAATGTGCAGGGCAGGTCTGCCGCTTGCTGGGTTGCACTGGGCCACCTTCGCCCTCCTCATCCTTGGCACATGCTGGGGATGCCATTCTCGTGGGCACACAGGCAGGTCACTGTCCCTGAGCCCTCCGTGCATGAGCGGGGTGTCCCAATGGCTTAGTGTCCCCCCAGGTGCATGCTCAGGTTTGGCTGCTCATTTGCAGGGCGCGAAGTGGGAAGGAATTTCCAGGTTGGATGCTCCAAAGCAAGGAGGATTTTTAGCGTTTCCTTTTTCTGTTGCAGGGCAGAAGTGGAGAGGCGTGAAATTGAAAGCAAATGAAGCAAAACTGATTACTTTTCACCCTTCCAAAGGAAGAGTAGGGGGGGRAAAAAACTTATTTCAAATCCACTATTATTTCAGCAGAATTATTTTGCCCATCTTGAGCCTATAAACATATACTCAGCATTTCTCATGGGGTACTTAAGGTGGAAATTCTCCACAAAAACACTATCCTGTGTTGTTGGACAAGCTGTTTAAAAATCCAATGTTTTACCATTGGAATACTCAGAGATAGGACATGAAACTTGACCCGAAAGCAATTAGCATTTGAAAATACAGACCTGTTCTTTGGAGAAGGCAGCCCTACTCCTGGCTGGTGCAGCAGAGCTGCTGATGGTGCCAGAGCTGCACCTGGGCTGAGACATCCTCCTGTAATTTGTCCCTTCTTCCTCAGAGGGTGATTGCTGTGGAAAAATCTGTCCTTCAGGCAATTGCTAAGCCTTGCTTTAAGGCTTAGTGCCTGTTGAGGGCTTGCTGTAGCTCACCATGTGCAGGGAGGACCACGGCTCTCTGAAGCTGCTCTTGAAGGTGCAGATAAAAGCCTGACCCCCTAGTCTAGGAGCTCATGCAGGATTTGAGTTTTCCTTGGGAAAGGAGAGGAGAAGCAGAGGATGCTTCTTTCTATGGGCTAATGAGATGATTCTCATGGCATTTTTGTCTTGACTATTCTCCAAACATTTGGCAGGTTGGGTCCATGTTAATTGGGACATCAGGCTAATTCGGAAGTATCCGAGTGAAATACAACCTTAATTCTAAATGGACAAGCAGTGAAGTTCTCGCTTTGTAGCCCAATAAATCAAGGCCTTGGGAAGCTGTGGCTTTCCCCCATCTCCCTCAGGAGTCTTTAGCTGTCACCGTGCAACCAAATACTCCCCAGAGTTGAGCTCCCTTTGTAGCCTTCCACCGAGGATCACGGTGGCAGCGAAGAGTGTTCAGCGATGCCTAGGACTTGCGTGTCGGGATGCGCTCCCAGCCCCGGTGAGCAATGTCCCGGAAGGCAGGGACCCTCCAGGGAAAAGAGAAACGCTCAAGGATGAGGAAAAGGCAGCAGAAGCTGAGAGGCTCCACGCAGCCATCAGCTCACCCCCTGCTCCGCAGCTGGCAGCGACTCGAGCGCTCCACATCATGATTTTTCAAAGCAAGAGCAGAGGCTGAGATCAAGCGTGCGGCTACGCCGCCTGACAGCTGGGTGGGAGGCTGACTGGCAGGTTGAAGCCACATCAACTCTTCTACATGAAAGGCAGTGAGGCTGCTCAAAATAACAAGAGAGGCATAAAGTGGCCGTGAAGAAGCTGTTGGGCACAAATTAATGTTAGTAGTTCAGAGGAATAAAGGCTTGTAGAATGAAGAAATATTTTGGAGGAGTGAGTGGCGCATTTACTCCTGCAAATGGCTTGTGTGCTGCAGCGGACTCCGGGCAATTGGAACATCCTCGTTGCTTTTGGGGACACCACTGGTGGTTCACTGACCACAGCTAACCCACCAGAAGCTCCTGAAGTTGGTTCATGGAGTCGAGTAGTAATTTTCTGATGTAAGTGTGTACTGGTCACAGAATCACAGAATTGAGATTGAGGTTGAGWTTGGAAGGGACCTCTAGAGATCATCTAGTCCAACCTTTCTGCTCAAGCAGGGGCACCTGTAGCAYGTGGCACAGGGTGGCATCCAGGCAGATTTTGAAGACTGCCAGAGAAGGAGACTCCACGGCCTCTCCTTGAGGAGCCTCGACTCCACAGCCTCTCCTGGTCCTTGAGAAGTGTTGRGCAGTCCGTGGCCCAAGAATTGGGAGCCGATGTTGCGGGAAAGAAGTAGCTGCTTCYCTTGCTGCGGTTCAGGGCAGTTCCTCATGGAAACATTTCACGTTTTCTTTGTCCCCTCTCTACCTGAATCACCAGCTAGTGGTCCAGCTGCTGTATGAAGGAAGCCATAGAGCTAATCCTGTTTTTCACTGCAAACAAAGAAACAAAAGCAAGATCTGGGGCCTTGACTCTTTCTCCTTCTCCACACACCCCCATACTAAAAGCCTATGATTTAATGCTTAAACACATTATAATTGTTCACAGACCCACTGCTCTCAGAAAAGCCCTCATCTTTAATGAGCAATTTCCAAATGACAAAAGAGCAGGATTAATCAAAGCCTCTAATTATTTCATGGAGGGGAGGAAAAGGAAGAAAAAAAAAAAAGGAAAGAAAAGAAAAAAGCCTTCGGAAGGAGAAGGAAAGAAATATCCATATCCTGACAACCTCGTAGTCTTTACTGGAATTTTCTTATGTAAATGGGGTTTTTAACTCTGCTGGGCATAGTGAGCAGCGAGAAAAATGTCTTCATTTTGTCTAACTGCTTGTAATTATTTTGCAATAATTGCAGCAATGCTGCACATCTGGAGAGTCAACCCTGTAGCACATCGTGCTTGGTGTTTTCAKGGCGAGAACAGGCAGCTCTTAGATCCTGCAGTGAGAGGTGCCCGGCAGATAACGCACTAGGGGAAGCACCTCCAAAATAGGTTGCATGTTCAGTCTGTGCACGCTCGTGGTTGCAAACCTTCTGCAGCCTTTCCTTAGGGCAAAAATGAGTGTGGTTAAATCAAAGCTTTGTCTAGCTGATTGGATTTTAGGTACCTGTAAGTGTGTGTGTGAACTGAAGCTTTTCTTCTTCCAGTGTGCTTGAACTGGAACTGAGCATCTTGGTCTGGGGCAGAATCTGGCCTGTTTAATTCCCCCAATTCAGCAGCATGGGAAAATGCTGGAAACCTGAATCTTACAAATGGCACTAGTCTTTATAATACACTCAGGTGGAATCCCACAGGAGAAAAGCCCCCAAATGTGCCATCATCCAGACGTCAATTGTGTCAGAGCAGTAAAAATCCTGGCAATTTTACTTTGCAGAGAATCCCAGGGAGTCTTGCTTCGATCCGGGCTCTATTAAGAACGGCACGCGCGTGGGGAYGGATCTGAAGCTGGGATCAACCATCACCTACTACTGCGACGGCGGCTACGACATCGAGGGGGTCTCCACGCTCACGTGCGTAATGGGAGGCGACGGGAAGCCCACGTGGAACAAAGCTCGACCTACCTGCACAGGTGAGGCTCTGGGGAACAGGGAGCACCGAGTGCTCTGCCAAAACCGAATACTTGTGCTGTTCAGCTGTACCCAAAGTCGGATGCTGCTGTTGTGTGGAGGGACTTGAAGCAGAGATGCTTTGTCATAATTTTTCCTTTATTTTTTTAACATCCTGGTGCCAAGAAGAGCTCGACTCTGTGTGGATAGGAGGCTTCTTGAGCGTTTTTTGAGAGAGAGACAGTGGCGTGAGGGCTGCGCCGGGCTCCAGAGCCACCAGGGAGGAGGCTGAGGGTTGGAGCAGCCTTCGGCAGCGGCTCACGCTGTCGCCCCTCTTGCCTTTCTCGTGCAGCCCCCTGCGGCGGGCAGTACACGGGCTCGGACGGCGTGGTGCTCTCGCCCAACTACCCCCAGAACTACACCAGCGGGCAGGTCTGCCTCTACTTCATCGTGGTGCCCAAGGACTACGGTAGGTTTGCCGGCAGAACCTCATACCTGCGCATCAGTCCTACTGTCTGGCTGACCTGTTTTGGGTTATTAAACAAAMCAAGAGATTAAGTGAACATACATGGAGAGAAGGAAGGTTAGTAGATGGTGCTGTTACACGCTGGTTACATTCTGTTGTAGTCGGTAAGGATGATGGGAACTTCCTGAATTTTAAAATTCCTCAAGAATAAGGAAAAAGAAAACCCACAAACCTAGCAGAAAACACAGTCTTGTGATTTCCCTTCCAGTTCTTCCACTGTGTCCAGTAATGCAGAGGTGAAAAATCAGCAAGAAGTAATGTAATGATTAATACTAGCTGCAGATTCAGAAGACCTCAGAGAGTACAAAATATATTCACCAGAAACACCTGCTCACTGTGGTGCTAAATAATCTGTCTGCATAGAGAAGCACATGCACATTCATTTTTCTGAACGTGCAGCTATAGTTCTTTTCCCTTTTGAATTTAAGCTAAATTTCAAACAACAGGGGTTTTTTTTGTTTTTTTTTTTTAATAATTGGAACATGCTTTGTTCAGTGGCTAGGACTGAGCACTGTGAGTTAGCCCTTTCCTAGTGTTAAATAAGCCGAATGATCGTCATCAGTTGACAAGTTGCCCAAACCAAAGAGTTGGGGTCTTTTTCCAGGCTTTTTAAGATGCTTTCTGAAGAAAGGCAGTCTCTCATATTCTTTCTTATGTCTTGTCTGAGTAAGGCTTCTTTGTAGAGGTTATTTTCCTGTATGTTTACCATGACCAGTGCATGATATCTCGCAAAAAAACAATTACAGATCAAAGCAAACCTCCTTGCGAGAGAGGAGGGAGATGCTTGCTGGTAGCTGCGATTGTGACAGCACCAAATCTGTGAGGCAGTAACATGCTTGAAGGAGCAGACTTGGAACTCCTGCTTCTTTGAGTGTGGAATTGAGGCTTAAATGTGCATTAAAGCCACACACTGAAGCAGTCCTGCTTTTTGTGGGCTCTGATGCTGCTTAATTTTGGTCAGTTTGGATAAAAGAATGATGGGCGTTCTGGAAACCCTTGAGACCACTTTGGGATGAGTATTTGTATAGGCTAATATATTTTCTTGTTGAAAGGGAATTTAAAGGTCCTTGGGAGTTTTTAACATCTCTGACAGCTATGACTAGTGAAGGTCTCTAAATTCTGCTATTCAATAGCGCTTCTCAGTGTGCTATAGAGCTCTAATGCTAGTCGATCCCTGCGGCCCTTTGAGCTCTGATTTCCTTTGCTGAAATAGCAGGGTGTGAAACGGGGCTGTTGGGACTTGCAGCAGACCTGAGTTACCAGCTCCCCGCTCACCTTGTGCCCCTCTGCCCGCACAGAGCCGCGGTGCACCCAAGTTGTTGCACCAGAGCTGACCTTGATGCTTGTTTAAGCAAACGCAGTATCTAGCGGGCTAGACAGGGAGTCTTGCTCTGCAAGTCTGACTTCTGCCCACGGAGGGATGGCAGCTAAATTAGCTTTCCTTCTCCACCCGCTGCATTTCAAGAGCTTCGTTGAAAGCAACCGGGAAAACTGTTAGTTGCAAATGTGGCTCTCCYGTCTCCTTCAGTTTTGTGATTCCGAGGACAGCCGGGGTCAGGTTTTCGCTTTTCCCAGCCTCGAGGCTCTGCTGAAAAGCTGAGCGCGCGGGAAGCGAGTGGTGGAGCTTGGCGGCTGATGGATTTCACCGCGGGGAAGCTCCCAGCGTGCGAATGTAACTCGGGGTTACAGGCTGGAGGTTTGGGAGGAAAAAAACTGTTGCTGTATTCTGAAAAATACAGCTAAATAACAAAAGTCTCCTTGCTCTAGCTCTAAAAAATACTGCGATCTTCTTGTTATTATTTTCTCCCATTTATAAGCTCTGCCTGTTTCTCGGTGCATTTGCAATGCATTCGGTAAGACCCACAGCACTGAATGGCTCCCTCGTTAGCAATCTCCATGGATAGGCTTAGGATTGACTGTTCATAAAAAATGTGAGCGTCCTCTAGCCCTAGCCGTGGTCCTCTTGACCGGAGAGGCTCCGTGAGGAAATGAAGCTCTTCGGAACAAGCCCTGTTATTTTGTTCAGCTTTTATGCAGTACCTAGCCCAGTGGGAGCCCGGTTCATGACAGAGGCTTGATACAAATAATAAATAATAATTATCCATTGGTGAAATTACATACCTTGTGTTAYGTGGGTGGGCAGGCAGGATGATTCATGAAACAATCCCTTGTGGCCTATGAATCAGTGTTGAAGCATGGCGGCAAGGAGGCGCTGGGGAGGCTGCTTGCTGCCCCTGCTKCGGGGCTAGAGAAGGGGCTGCCACCGCCTAGGGCTGCCAGGCAGGCCCGTTCGGTCCTTCCAAGCCCTGGAATGCGATGGATGAGTGTCTGGGCGTCGGGGCCGGGCTGTGCGGTGGCGCTGACGCCGCGCCGTCCCTCCTGCCCTCCCTCCGCAGTGGTCTTCGGACAGTTCGCCTTCTTCCAGACGGCGCTCAACGACATCATCGAGGTTCACGATGGCCCCAACGAGCACTCGCGCCTCCTCAGCTCGCTCTCGGGCTCCCACACAGGTAGGGATGTGTCCTCGATGCCTCTGAAGCGGGGAGCTTTKCGGGGTGCAAGGGTTCCTTCCTCTCCAGAGGTCACTGCCAACCTGCAAGATGCCAGCCTGCACTGGCTTTGTCCAAGGCAGCCGGCGAGGACGCCTGGTAGTAGGTAGCATCCACCTCAGTGCTCAGTCACCTTTGCAATTCTTCACTCTRGACCATTATAGCTCATTGTTCCATGTGAAAATTTGAAGGCACATTTCTGGAAGAAGGGTGGGTAACAGCACTGAGCTGCCCCAAGACTTGTACTCCCAGAAATAAGGTTGGCACCAGTCCCTTTTTACAGCTAGAGAGCAGGATTGTTTCTCATGTTCTTGGTTTCAAAGGTGAAACTTAGACTGCTCAGGGCCCTGAGCTAAAATGTACTGTCTGCCATTTAGCAGCACGCTCTGTGCAAAACAGTGCTCCATGCAAGCCCTGGAAAGGCCTCAGGAGGCCATTCCTGTAGCTAATGCTGTGATTTTTCTCTTCTGATTTTTTTCCTCATCCAGGTGAATCATTACCGCTAGCTACCACCAACCAAATTCTGATCAAATTCAGTTCCAAGGGTCAATCTACAGCCAAGGGTTTTCATTTTGTCTACCAGGGTAAGTTGTGTTCTGCAGATGCTCTCAGATTGGTTACAACTGGTCTAAAACAGAGCAGTGTCCTGAAGTGTCCTGCGCACCATCAGCCGCTTTTGGCRTATGTGGATCATTGCCCGCTTTGTGTCTCAACAGGAACCTTCAAAGGAGATTATTTTGGTAGCTGTGGACTTGCAGCTACCTCTAGTTCCTTTAGATACTTGATATTCAAACCTACCATTCTGTCTCAGCCTCAACCCTCACACATCCCAAGATTAGTATCAGAAGTAGCTCATGGAATTATCTCCCAAGTATGCCATGAGTTCTTGAAATGTATACCCAAGCGTTTTTCCCGGTGGCATTTTAGCACATTTCTCAGTGCAAGCTGAGTGCTTGTCTAGCACCTTTGTAAAAACCTTCCTCGCTGCCTGTCGGAGGCTCAGGTCTCCTGCTGTCAAACTTTTACCCTTTGATACTTCCAGTAACAGCTTGCCTTGCATTGGTGGATACCACTAAGAGATTATAGAGTGGTAAATAGAAAGTGATACACAGAATAGAGGGAAGACAGAAGGGCTTTCTCGCCCGTGTGGTTTGTATAACTCCTATTGCTTTATCTAAGCTTTTGCATGTACGTTATTTTGAAAGTAAGGACAGAAAGGGGAGGTGACTCGGACCGTCTTTAGGGAAAAGTGGGACATGGTTAGGGWTTTGTAGTGCTTGGAGATCCACTCTTTTGTATTTCTACCTAATTATTGTAAAAGAACTGTAGTTCTGACAGTAACAGTTAAAAGATTTCACCAAGTCAAAGATTTTGATGAGGTTAATAAAGATTACCTCCTCCCTCCCTCGTGCTAATTACGGCGCTGGGCTGTATGCTTCTCCGTGATTACCGACTGCATGGAGAGCAATGGGGGAAAAAGGCCCCTGTTCCTGACCTGCCTGTCCAGGATCTGGTGCCATTTGCACTCACTTTTTCCCACAAACAAGGATGAGTTTTCTCTTCCTGAGAGCCTCCCATCCAGGTAACACGTTAACGTGGAGAAGTTGCATTTTGGAGCCCTGCACAGAACGGGGTCAGGATGAGCATTCTCTCTGTATTAATTAGCAGGAGGCACAATAAGGCTGTTTGAGCTAATGTGGATGTAACCAGTGATAGTAAGTGGTGGGTGCAGAGAGCTCCAGGATCTCTAATAATTGAATTAACCTTAAAACAAGGTTGACTCAGCAGCATTCAATAGTCCTGTGGAGCTGCCAGATAAATCAAAACTGTAGAAAAGAGCTTTTCATGCACAGGAAAACTCTCTCCTCCCTTTCTGAAGCACCTGCCAAGGAACAGGCTTTTGCAGAGAGCCTCGAAGAGCACTGAACGTGCTGTTTGGGTTCTCTGCTTCGGGGACATTTGCATTGGCTGTAGGGTATATCCCAAAAATTCGAGTCATAAGCTCACTGTCAGGATGCTTCTCTGCTTGCTGCAGTGCAGAGGAAGTAATCTGGCACCCATCTTTAGCTGCTTGCTGTAAGACAGGTGTTTATGTCTGTACAGAAAGGCAGTCCATGGAAACTGCCTCCCAAACCAAACACTGCCCTTGTCTCCTCCTTGTTTGGTTAGAAGAGCTTGGGGTGCTTGAAGTTGCAGCTTTGGACTTGGCTGGATCCAGCCACTCTTGGGGGTGTAGGTGTCACCCACCTCTCTACTTAAATTCTCAGCATGTTTTTATGGCTCTAACAAGCAAGAAGTGGCCCCAGGATCCTGCGTGGAGCAGAGGCTGCCTGGGCTCATTGTACCCACAGGCGTCCCGGTGCCCGAGCGCACCTTGTGCTGTGCAAACCCGGGAGCGAAGAGGAGCCTTCCCTCACCGAGCTTACAGCCTGTTTGCTTAAGGACTGTGTTTTCCTCCTTTATTGATCAGTGTTTAAGCTCGGAGCCCTTGCTCCTTCCCAAATATTTGCTCTGACTTGTCTTTTTTCCTCCCCTGCTCTCCCGCSGGGCGCTCGCCCGCCGCCGCCGTCGCAGCGGTGCCCCGCACCAGCGCCACGCAGTGCAGCTCGGTGCCGGAGCCGCGCCACGGCCGCCGCCTGGGCAGYGACTTCGCCGTGGGCGCCGTGGTGCGCTTCGAGTGCGGCGCGGGCTACGCGCTGCGCGGCTCGCGCGCCATCCAGTGCCTCGCCATGCCCGGCGCCCTCGCCCAGTGGAACGTCTCCGTGCCCACCTGCGTGGGTAGGTGCAGCTCGCGCGGAAACGCCGGGCGGGCCGTTTGGGCTGGAAAAGGGTGGTTTGTTGGGGTGCTTTGAAGGTTCTGGGAACCAAGTTAGTGAGCGCTGAGTGTCTGGAGGTTCCTTTTCCACCCAAAACTCAGTCCTAGGATCTGGACAGCATCTTTGGTAAACCAGGGCTGTCTGAAGCTGCTCTCATTCCCTGGGACGACAGCTGCTCCCAAGGAGCTGGTGCTAGAAGCTACATGAAAGAGTAGCTGAAAAGGGTATTATTCAGACAAATTATTTCCTTAAATCATGAGCCAGTTCTGTTTACTGTCTCTGTCCCTGGGCAGATGTTTTAAAGGGTCTGACTTACTCCAAGGCCGAATCCTTCCATAATCAAGGCGGTACTTTGCTTCTTTCAGTGCCCTGTGGTGGAAATCTGACTGAGCGCAAAGGGACCATCCTGTCCCCCGGCTTCCCGGAGCCGTACCTGAACAGCCTGAACTGCGTGTGGAAGATCACGGTCCCCGAAGGAGCTGGCATCCAGGTACAGTACCCGCAGTTTGGAGACGAGCGGCACATGGTATCTCACACGCTTGCAGCGACAGTGTCCTGGGGCTTTGTGGCTCTTCCCAGGAAGGAGATGAGCTGAGTGTGTAATTCTTCCCTGGAATCAGATAGTCGTGTACTGATTCCAGAGAAGAAGGGAGAAAACTGACTCCCTGCCAAGAGTGGGAAAGAGATGAATGTGTTTTTTCTTCCAGGGAAATACTCTTTACAGAAAATCAACTGGAACCACGTGGATGTTCTGGTGCAGCAAAATAGTGGTGCAATTTTGGGCATATATCTTTATACCCCCTAATTATTCCATGTTGCAAGCAGGGTAAGCTCTTCCAAGGAAGTCCCTTGTGCCAATGGCCTGCGTGGATTTGTTAGGCCAGCGCGGTTGCGGCAGCCTGATTACACAATCACAGCTCGGCTGCTCAGTGTCTCCAGGTAAATGAGCGCTCTCGTCAGGTTTTTGTGGTCCTTATCATTCCTCTGCAGAAACAGTCCTGCTGGCTAGAGGAYGGTGAGAATTAAGCCCAGCATCGGAGACCAAACCTTAGATAAAGTTCCCCCTGTGTGCGTCGCTTTTGAAGAACCGCGTTCGCTGCACCTTACCCCGGCATCAGTTGCCGCAGAGGAGATTGATGCTTAATGGGCCCATTCATTGCACAGGCCTCATTATCGGCGGGTTTTTTTTTCTTCTTTGCACCACTTGGTCTGCAAGGGTTTTATTCATAAATGGCTTTTATTTCTGTATCGTGTGTTTGGCTAATAGACGTGCGGGTGGTGCCCAGGGCCCGGGCACAGGTGTTAWGCTCTGCCGGGCTACACGGCAGCCACGCTGGCTTGTGCCTCTCCTCTCCTGTGTTTTCTGAAGCCCTTTAGCAGGGTGTTTTCCAGAGCTTCAGGCTCATTGGTGGTTCCTTCCCGTTCGTCTGAAATTACAGCCCTTCTCCAAGCCCCACGTGGCAAGAGGCTCCGTTTAGCTCCACAGAACATTTAAGCGGGCGAGATGTTTTGCAAGCTGCGTGGGACTCCAGGGATCTGGAGGTGCAAATTCTCTTAATTTGCAGAGCGCTGTGAGGAGATGTCGGTGTCGGGCAGGGCGGGTTGCGGGTGCAGCGCCCGCCGCAGGCTCGCGGCCGCCGGGGTGGGAGGCGGGCGGCGCGGCGGGCTGGTAAAAGCCTGTCCTTGCTCTCGAGCACTTGTCTCTCACCTCTCCGTTGTGCGAATGCATCTCTCATGTAAACCTCAAAAACATAATGGCAGAGAAGTGTTTAAAGAAGCGTCTTTTTATGTGGTTTTTTTTTTCTTTTTTTCCTTCCTGCTGCTACTTGGGACCTCTTGYAATAGAAATGGGTATTTTTGGGTCTAAGGTGCGTGCAGGCCGTCAAAAAAGGATCTGCCAGGACTGAGCTTGAGGTTCAGTGCCCACGTGTGGCACTGTGCAAGAAGCACCGGGACAGACCCTGTCCACAGCCAGTAACCGGCCTTGGGGACAGGGACACGGGCGCTTGGGGACAGGGACACGGGCACTCGTGTCCCCTCCCTCCCTCCCTCCCTTGCCCCCTTTTGTGTGCAAAAGGTGCCGAGTTATTAGATACTAATTTAAGCATCAGTTTACCCTCGTTTTGTACAACAATTAAAGGTTAAACAACTGTAAATCAGAGGAGGAGGTGAAATTAAGGCTTTCTTAGTAGTGGCAAGTCAGTAGCAGGATTTTTATGTAATCAGTGTAGCAGCTAGCACTTCTGCCATGAATTATTCATTCCGGTAGCAAACCTTCCTGAGTGAATTAATTTATATACATGGCAGTAAATAGATGCAGATCCCTTGTGAATCCACATGTCAGACTAGAATTAGAACCTTAAAAATGTTTATTCCGTTAAGTCAGAGGGGGAGGGAATAAATAATTTAAAAAATGTTAAAGCAAACAAAATCCACATTCTCAAGCCACATTCTCTTTCCATGATGTAAATCACAATAGGGGTGTAATTACGCAGGCTGAAAGGTATCGACTTGGTCAGTGGCATCGGTAATGGCTCTGCAGGGGTCGTTACAATTTCTGCTAGATGAACTCCACTTATTTTTTGGAAAAGAAAAAAACTTTACAGGCACTTTATTACCTGCTTTATTATTCAGAATAAAGCAAGGAGGAAAAAAGGTTAAAATGCCAGAAATAATGGTTTGTGATTTATTATTTTTTTATGTGTGTTTTATTTTATGTTTGGTACAGCAAAAACAGGATAGATATTTGGAATGGATGTTTAAACATGCAACAAGAACATTGCAGAAATAAATATATATATATATTTATATATAATTTCGTAGAGAAGGGAGGTGCATGTGGGTGCATGCAATCCAGGTTTGCAGTGCATTGAAGTCTCCTCAAAGTGCTCAGTCCAGCAAATGCACCCTGCTGAGCCCCACACTCAGGGGGATCATTCGACTGAATTCAACAGGACCACTCCAGATCAGAAGCATTAGGCTTGGCAGGAGATCCTTGTCTAAAGAGACCTCAAAGAACTGAGGCACTGATGTATGAAGGCTGGAAACAAATGGTAATCAACCTACCAGAATTACCGAAGTTGTTACTTTCCCCTCAATCCCACCCAAAATAGTGCCAAACAAGTGGGGAGCAGCCACTGCAGCATCTACTCTGCAGGTACATAYGGTATCTTTGCTCAAGTGTAAGAACTGCACCTAAGCATGAATGCAAATTTATCAGATCTTAYGATACTGCTCATTTCAGAATTGCCTCAGTTTCTCCTGCTGGAGTCAAGTGACTTCCATAAGACTCTTAAGCTTTTGGGGCATGGCAGAGAAAGGGAGAAAACGTGAAAATGCAACTTGAGTAATTCAATTAAAAGCTGAGAAGCAAAACAGTTAAAGACCTTCACTGGTTCAAAAATCCAGGATGTTATTTTTAAACATCTTTGTGGTTTAGCTGGAGTTCTTTGCTTTTTGCTTTATCTCTTGCACTGGCATACGAAAGCATTGCCAGTCAGTGGGGATTTTCTAAAAGAGAAAATAAAGAGTCCAGATTCTCTGTTGCTGTAAATTAACTATGTGGCTGCAAACTCTGTGCTTGTGTTTGGTAGCAGAAGCTCTCACCCCACGGASAGAGGTTTGGAGAATGGGGTTTGCTTAGGCTATCTATAAAGGCCAAGCATTGATAGTCTGAGTTAACAGGTGTCCAGTTTTTGCCGGTGCATCTGCACTTATATAGCAGCAGACTTGAGTGAGCTAAAGTCACAGGAGAAGTTACTGTCTTTATTAAATGGCCCTGTTAATGAGTCTATGAGCATGATTTCAGGAGCTGCGCTGTCATCTTTCTCTCTCTTTTTCCTCCTCTTCTGTTACCGCTTCAGATTCAGGTGATCAGCTTTGTTACGGAGCAGAACTGGGATTCCCTGGAAGTGTTTGATGGAGGGGATAACACCGCCACCATGCTGGGAAGTTTCTCTGGTAGGTGTTAGTCCCACGCTCCCATTAGTGCGTGCTGAATTCCTGTTCACGCTGACTGCGCTTCAAAACATACATAAAGCTAAGCACATKCTTAAGTGCTTCTACAAGCCACAACTGCATTTAAGTATGTGCTTAAAGCAATCGTGTGTTTGGTTGAATTGGGAATTTGACTGCTATCTGCCTGCAGAAAATGAGAGTCAAGAGCCTTAGGCACAGAACCAGCTGGTTTGGGGTTTTTTGGACAAGATGCTGCAGGTACAAAATGAGCTGCTTAAAGTCAAGAAACAAAAGTCTTACCAGGGAGTAGAGTGGGTTTGTGTCTCTAACATTTACTTTGTCTCTTGGATGAGACTTGTTCTGTGATTTGATGACCTTGGAAAGGTCTTTCAGTCTCCCTAATGCACATCCAGGCTGGAAATCATCATTATCTTTAAGTTCTTGCAGCAGCAGTGAGGAAAATGATAGTGCAGGTCGTGCTCAGAGTTTGTCTCTGTCATGCAGACTTACTCCAAGCTCCTTTTTAGTGTTTCCACCTTTGCTAAAAAGATGTTGTGCCGTAAAGGGAGCCTTTTCTCTTTCACTTTATCCACCTCCCCAGTGCTACAAAGCTCTGGTGTTCTCCCGGAGCTGCTCTGACACACGAGCACTTCCATAACGCAGAAGCTGCAGTTCCTGCAGCTCTGCTGGGGCAGGGTTAGYCCAGACCTGGGCACTGGCAGATGGACCTGACCTGGCTGGTTTGCAGCTCTAAGTGGATGGAAGGATGTGGTCTCTGCAGCTCAGCTCTGAGGACTGTAGCCTGTAGCAGAGCTGGGAAGAGGAAGCAGCTCAGTAACACTGCGGAGCTTCCAAACAGCACAGCCACTTGCAAACAGATGGCCCCGATTCTTGATTACTTAATGAGCAGATGCGTTCAAAGTGCTCGGAGGTGTCAGTAAGGAGAAAGGTCATGTGTAAAGACTGGCAGGCTCGGCTTCCAGAGCCGCGTTTCAGATAGAGCTGCCTCGACCTGCTGCTGCAAGACCTTCCAAGGAGCAAGGCAGAACGAAGCCTATCCCCCTTGGGGGACTCAGCACCATTTCCCTCCCCAGTGCTTCAGCCTGACTGGCCTGTAAGCGTTAAGACTTCCCATGATGAAATTCATCATCAGACTCTGAAAAGGCCATTGCAGAGAGGCCTTGGGTATTTCTTTATTGGCCTCATTAGAATGTGATCAAAATCAACAGAGCTTGTTAAACTGAAGGACTTCTGCTCTCAGCCTCTCCTGCAGCAGGTCTCTGAAGACAGAGGAGGAAAAAAGAATCCTCTTCAGTATCCTTGTGCACCTCTTGTTTTCCCAGGAACTACAGTGCCTGCGTTGTTGAACAGCACTTCAAACCAGCTCTATCTGCATTTCTATTCTGATATCAGCGTCTCTGCTGCAGGCTTTCACCTGGAATACAAAAGTAAGCGCATGCCAGCCTTGATTTCACATTTCCTCTGGGCGCTGGGGAAGTGGTTAAAGAGCCATTGCCTTGTGCAAGTGGAAGCTGTGTGGGGAGACCCAGGGTCAGAGAGGGGACAGTAACTTAAGAATCACACGTAYGTGGTTCCCTGTTCTGCAGAGAAGGAATGAGCCTGAATGGATAACGGCTGTAGCAAAGGAAACGTGGCATCACACTGGGCCCGTCATCTTGCTGCTGATGCACTTTGCTGCTCTTTGGTTTCACTGCTGTGATACAGCAAGAGTTGGGGAGGCTGAAGTGTTAAAAATTCACAAAGGATTGGCCAGTTCAACACAATGCTCTAAGGTCAGCTCAGGAAGTGCCTAAAATAAGCCTTGCTTGTGGTTGGGGTATGCCTGTTCTCTGCACTTTACCTAGACGTTCAGTATTGGTCGTTGCTGGAGAGAGCAGAAAGGGCTGTACAGACCTTGCTAGGATCATAAGACAGACGGAAAGGGATTTCATGAGGTCATCTCAAAGCAGTGTTAGATCTGAGATAAAATTACCTCATTAGGGCTTTATCCTGTCTACTTTTGGAAAACACCAGGGGTGGAGATAGCAGAAACACTCTGGGCACTCTGTCCTCATTGGATAAGTGCTCCAACCCCCTGGCCATCCTGCTTTCCCTCTGCAGAGCTCGGGAGCCCAAACTGAGACGCAGTACTGCAGGTGCTGAGGACAGTCACCTCCCTGCAGCTACTGCCTGGGCTCCTGTCCATGCAGCCCCACGTGCTGGAGCTGCCTTGGCTGCCGTTCCGCTCCGTGCTGGCGCAGGGTCTGCGTGTGCTCCGCGCCCAGAGGCGCCGTGTCCGGACGGGGGACAGTGGCATGTCCCCGGTGTGTGTGATTGATACGAGTGCGTGGCTGTCCTCCAGACATCGCTGTCATTCAACACTGCAGCAATTACTGCCGGGGACATTGCTTTTTTTAATGACACCTGTTGCTCGCTGGAATGACATAGAAGAATGGAGCCTGAGCTTTTGAACAGCGCTCATCTACATTGGCCTGACACRTTTTACAAAGCGACATGGTGCATGTTGGCAGAGCAGCGATGGTGCAGGTAATCTAACAGGTATGGAAGACACTTGGCAGCACCTTCTGCAGCCTCTAGCTGAGGGAGGCATTTTGGCATGAGCTAAATGGGAAGCTTTGAGATCATGTTCCAAAACAAGCACTGCCTGACGTGTGGGCACCTGCTGCTTTCTCCTTCTCTGCTGTGTGGAAAGTTCAGCGTGTTCATCGGTTACAGACCACGCTGACATCCTAACGGAATGGCAGTCTTTGTTTCCAGCAGATCTAGTGCAAGCACGAGTCCGGTTCTGGGGTAGCCAGATGTGATAGATCACTGATATGAGAAGAAAATACTAGAAAGCACAGAGAGAGACCTCAGAGGCAAAAGAACAAATGTGGCTGAAGCCGGGCCGGGGGCTGCGCCGGGCCGGGGGCTCCGCTGCGCCCTGCGGCTCTCGGGGGGCTGTGTCTGCACCAAGACGGCCGGGCTGCCTTGCACTTTGCAGCCACCAGCGGAGCTGCTGAGGGATGTGCAGGGGCTGCTGCCTCTGCTCGGGCAGTCTTCCTTGGGGCAGCGCGGACGGAATGGTTCCTTGCTGGACGCAGAGCCTGACGGTTACTTCTGATCACACTTGGGTCTCTGAAGCCAAGCAATGTTCTGATCGTGTGTTCCGAAGCAGCAAATAGATTTGAAAGTGCATTTTGTTTTGTAAAATGTCCATGAAAATGGCTTCTAAGGGGCTGTATGCAGTGCAGGAGCGCCAGGAAGTGCGGAGCTTTCCAGGTGCTACCCTGCTTGCAGATGGGAACCGATTCACATGAACGGCTCAGACAAAACAACGGCAACCAAGAAGGTTTGGGAGCAGGAGTGTGTCCCGCTGCCCTCTGCAAGCTGGGGAGATGAGGGCTGCTGTATAAATCACTTGCTGTGACTTTTTCATTTCTGTTGTAATCAATGATATTTTTTTGAAAACGAAATTACCCTGCTGCAATAATCATCCTCAGATTTCCTTATGTCTTGGGTTTGTCTGATTTGTTCGGTTTCTTTGCTGAGAAAATTGGTAGGTGTTGATGTCAGGGCAGCTTGAAGTAATTATTTGTTTTTGCTTTGCTTGTCCAAGTGGAATTTCACAACTCTGGGGCCCACATTTTGTCTCTGTTCACTTAGAGATGCTGCAAGGAAGTTGCAAGAGAGAGAGAGAGAGCTAAAACACGAAAGTACATTTACCCCCCACTTTCTCCCTTATTGGCTTCCTCACGGAACAGCTCTTATCTCGACGTGTTCAAAAGCCACAGCAGAGCAAGAAGAATTTAGGACTGCGTGCGACTCRGTGGCCACTGATCTGAATGGGAAATGATTTTAAGCTGTTTTTTTTTTTCTCTCATCTCTCTGAAGGTCAAGCAATACAGCCATGTGTGGGGAGGAACAACATGGTTTTTTGCTAGGAAGCATGACTTGGATTTCCAAGGAAAGTCACACGCACACACCCTTGGTTCTTGTTTTTCCATCTGCCTTAGGCTCRGTCTCCAGCTGCCACGTGCAAAGTGGAGCCTTAGCCCTTGTGCGGGTGCAGGGGGTGTCTGCAGGAGGCAGCTGCTGATGGAGAGAGGGAGGGAGGCTCTGCAGGAGGCCGAGCTGCGGAGGCTGCACCCGCCTGGCGTTGAGCTCCAGTGGGTGCAGCACAATGAGAACGTGGCAAGTGCAGAAAGGAGAGTCACCTGGCGAGTGACTTTTGAGGGTGTCCTTTAGGTTTGTGGCAGGATCTTCTTGGTTATAATTGTAGCTTAGAAATGAATGAAATTTTCATAGACTTTTCTATAGGGCACTGTGAAAGAGTGGCCTGTCTTCCTGCTGTTTTTGTCACACAATAAATTCCTTCGGTAATTGAAAACAGGGTAGAGAAGCGGAACTGTGCTGCTTCTGTCCAAAAAGGACAAGTTGCATACAACAAGTAAAATAGGCTCTTCATATTACAAGCATGACTCAAATAAAACGGAGTTCATCTAGCAAGAGACAGCAGGGACAGTTTCCTCCCGATTGCTTTCTCTTCTTTTATCAGATAGTGCCTGACTGATAAAGGAATATACAATATAACCTGAGTGCAGACTTCCCACGGGTTGATTTGTGAAGGTGTGAGAAGGAGACGGTCTTTGCTTGGCGAGTGGCCGCACTGTCACAGACAGCTCTTCCATCGAGTCATTAAGGTTCAGTTAAAAACATGAATTTCCATGAATCACAAAACAATATTTGACACCTTGGATATTAAAAATAATGTGTTCCAGGTAAAGTGGAGGTGCTAGATATGAATACCCCCAGATTCTTGCCATATTCTATAAAACACAAAGGAAAACAGGGTGGTTTGGGGTGCTTTCCTGTGGAGAACCCGGACATCCAGATGAACTGCAGGTGTGGATTTTCACCCGTCCTGCTCTTGCTTCCCACACCATCCTCATCCTGCTGTTCCCTTCCCAGCCGTTGGCCTGTCCAGCTGCCCGGAGCCCCCCGTTCCTGGGAACGGCCTGAAGATCGGAGAGCGGTATTTGGTGAACGACGTCGTCTCCTTCCAGTGCGAACCAGGCTACGCACTTCAGGTATTGAAACGGCTCCCGCAAGAAAAAGGAGAGCAACAAGTGCTCGGRAAGGGAGGAGACTCCGAGTGTGTCTTGTTTTCTTTCTCCTTCAGGGCCACTCTCACATTTCCTGCATGCCGGGGACCGTCCGCCGCTGGAATTACCCCCCTCCGCTTTGTATCGGTAGGATTCTTGCTCTTTCTTAGCTCATAGGTATTTAAAGCACCTTCCTAAAAATCAGTATAAATTGCCTGCTGATTACATGAGAAAGTTTTGAACCAGTCAGGTTGTCGCTGCAAAACCTTGCTGCTGAAGTGACAGCAAGGACAGAAGTTCTGCTTGCAAAAAAAGTCTGAGAAATTCAGGTTTGTTGAAAAAGCAAGATAGAGCACGAAAAAATCCTTCGTTACTTGCATGGGAAATTTCAAAGTCCAAGTGGGCTAACTAGAATCAATTTTTTTTTTTAAACTATAACCTGATTTATTCCTACTAGCTTTAAACTATCAAACTTTGCTCTCCTCGCTTGGATATCACACAGGACATCTAACATGTCCTGTGTGACTGGTAAGCGAACAGCTGTTAGTCCGTGACACGCTTAGGAGGAGGGCTAAGGCTGCCAAGCATCTTGTGCTGTAGGAGAACAGAACTGGACAGTGAGTTTCCAATGGGAAAGGAGGAAGCCCTGGGGGAGTTGCAGGGATGTGGGAAATTTGCTGGGAGTTTTGGGATTGTTTTCAGGCAATATTTTCCTTTTAGCAAATTCAGATGTTTAATATTCATATTCCACATTTTACAGCTTTGAGAGAGACATTTATGCATTTAATAGCTTTAGTTAATGGTTATTTCAGGCTCCTGCTGTTCTAGCTTACATCATTTTGCTTTAAAGTAATTATAAGAGCTAACGACTCTCTTATCCTATGATCTGCAGGCCAGCAATAAATATGGAGATAGTTACAGCCAGAATGACTGAGCCAAATAACTCATACCAACAGGGTTTGCTGTGAAAGACAGCAGCAGCCCTTCAGCTCAGCATCAGGGTTCGGAATTCCATCACAGAGCAGGAATCTCGCTGTTATCTGTGTCCTGGGGGCTGATGACCAGCTCAGCAACTGCAAGTTCCAAGTTTTCTTCTCTCTCTTTTTGCAGCTGGTGTCAGTCACGCAGCTCAGCAGGGTCTGGCTCAGTAGGCTGAGCCCCTTAGGCACTACCTCGGTRTAAACACTTAGTGGGACTTGGCTCGGATTATCTGATTTGGGGCGGTTGTGACAAGCGCGGGGTACAGACACCCYTCCACCTGGCTGTCCACTCCCTTTGTATTACACATTTTGCCCTTGCCTGGAAAATGTAAAACTTCAGGAAAGCAGAAGCAGCTCCACGTGGCTGAGTCGCTGGGAGCAAGCGGCTGTTCTGTGGGTGCAGGAGCACCCCATGCTCACAGTTTGGGGTGGCCCTACCTCACCGGAGCCCCGGCTYCAAGAGCCTCACGCTTCCCCTGCGCCTTGCCCTCCCTTCTGGTCTGCTTCATCCAGCTGCCTGGCTCCTAAATAATTTAGGAGGAGTTACATTAAAGAGCCATTAAGAGCAAAAAGGGAAGAGAGAAGTTCTGGGAAAGCCTCATTAGCAGCGAGGACGTGTCTAATGAGCTACTGGACAAAGGAGGCCTGGGCCTCCGCTGCCAGCAGCAGTTAGGAGCACGAGCGCATGCATGGCAGCAAGGTATTACTCCCAATAGCAACACAGAGGTCGTCCTGATAAGCCTGAGGAGATGCTATCTGTGTTTGAATTTCATGTGATACTTTCTGTAAACATAGTTTGTGCTGTGGCATCTCTGGATTGCTTTTTTTTTTTATAGGGAGTTAGGGTGCAAACGCACTGTTCTGTATTTATCAGTAATTGCCTGGAGAATGACAGGTATAACAGTGAAGGCAGAAGCGTTAGCCAGAAAAAGAAGTTGAGGTTACTGGAGTCAAAGAAAGATCAGYCTGTGCCTTTGCAGTAATTTCGGTGGTAGTTAAAAATTCAAACAATTGCCATGTGCATGATCTGWACTGCTGCAATGTCAACGAGCAGAAGAGACGCCGTCGCTCCTCTCACATCTGAGCAGCTTAGATCTCTTGCTCCCGCTCTGCTGGCCGAAATTGGCTCTCTAGATCAAGGCTCTCGAGCTCCAGAGGGCAGGAGAAAGGCACATGCATTAGTAATGTGGCCAGAGCAAAGCCTGGCAAACTTTGTGCTCATTCCCTAGCAGGCTTTTCTTCTTCCCCCATCAATTTTTTAACTGTTTATTTCCCAAAGGGGTGATYGGCTGCAGCTGTCATCCTGCAAGGGATCCTTCCCACTAACACTGTTGATTTTTCAGCCCAGTGTGGAGGAACGGCAGAGGAGATGGAGGGAGTACTGCTGAGCCCTGGCTTCCCGGGAAACTATCCGAGCAACCTGGACTGCACGTGGAAGATCCTGCTGCCCGTGGGCTTTGGTGAGACTGCTGGTTTTGCTTTGGTGCTGTCGCAAACTGGATGTGATGGGAAGTTAGGAGCCTGGCTGCCTGCATGCGGCCTGGTGAGGGGCTCCGGCAGGGAGGGCTGCGTGTGCCCATCYGGGGTCTCTGCCCCTGGGCAGAGGGAGAGGAGAGCGCGTGAACCCTGGCACCGTGAAATAGCACCCAAATACCTAGCAGTGCCCCTGGGTTCGGYGGGATGAAAGGGTCTTAGCGATTGCTGCTGTGGCCGGCGCAGAGCACGAAGGCCCGTGGATAGCTGTGGGCTCTGTGTTCCTTCTCCAGGCGCTCACATCCAGTTCCTAAACTTCTCCTCCGAGCCGAACCACGACTTTGTGGAAATCCGCAACGGGCCGTACGACACCAGTAATGTCATCGGGCGGTTCAGCGGCACCGACATGCCAGGCTCCCTCCTCTCCACGTCCCATGAAACCACCGTGTACTTCCACAGCGACCACTCGCAGAACAAGCCGGGCTTTAAGCTGGAATATCAAGGTAAGCAGGCCCTGGAGCCAGCAGCAGTGGGACAATCCTGTCCCCTGGTGCTAATGATAAGGTTGGTAGGGAGGGTAAAAGGCAGTGTCTGCAATTCTGTTGAATTAATTCCATGAGGACTTAATCCAAATGAGGGGAAAGATGTTACACGAAGGCCATGCTTAATCCTAATAACTGGGATCTGTTCACCCTGACTTGTGCCTGTGGCAAGTAACATGTTCCTCGAGTGCTTTGTGACAGTGAAATGCTTTTGAATTAATTCCAGGCAGATTCACTTAGATCTTGCCCCTCTCAACTGTCATGTGCAAAAAGAGGAACCCTTTAGCAGCCATGAATTTGCTCTGGGATTTTGCAGCTGCTTTTCAGACACAGTTGCAACTGAGTCCAGTTGGGGTGTTCCCAGGCCCCCTTCCTTCTTTTCCAGGTGCRAGGCAGGCTGCTAGAGGGGACCCCAAGGGGAGATGGGGCTCTTCATAGTGAGGACAACTGGGACAGACCTGGATGGGTGGCAGCTGGGAGCCGAGTGCCACGGGAGAGAGCTCTGAGGAGTGGGAAGGCTGGAGCATGCGTCTCCATCCGTGTGATGCAGCCAAGGGCTGGCAAAGGGCTGACTCCCCAGAAATAGCAATAAAAGCCACTACTCATACTTAATTGAAAACATTAATTTTGCCTTGGCTGTCCTGTTCAGGCACCATATAATTCACGCGCTGCTGCCCGTTCTGGGAGGCGCTGTGAGGCACCCTGGGAAAGCGCCGGGAAATCGCTGTGCCAGGGAGCTGCAGCAGCACTGACCAGGAATTCATAGTGCCGCCTGGAGCACACTGGCCCGTTGGTTTGCATTTGTCATCGGGATCATTCCATTTTCTTGATAAAACACTGATGTCCCATCCCAAAGGCAGCTGCAGGGGCCTCTGAACCCAGGCTTGTGCAGGGCTCTAGGGCACCCAGGTCGATGCCAGCGTTCAGGACAGGCCACGAAGTGGCAGCAGGGCTTTTCCTCTCCCTTGATGCAGATGTGTGCATGGTTCATTACAGTTTATCTCCTTCAATTAAATCACCATCTGAGGGGGCAGTAGCCAAACAAGTAGCATGGTGAGTGCACCRTGGCTGCTTTTATGAGAAAATGTTTTATGAGCAACATTCCTCCTTATTCTTTTTTCAGCCTACGAGCTGCAGGAGTGCCCTGACCCTGAGCCTTTTGCGAACGGTGTCGTGAGAGGAGCTGGGTACAACGTTGGCCAGTCCATCTCTTTCGAGTGTCTTCCTGGATACCATCTGATCGGTCACCCTGTCCTCACRTGCCAGCATGGCACGAACAGGAACTGGGACCACCCCTTGCCCAGGTGTGAAGGTATGGCTTTGGGCTTTCACTGCAAGCTCCTGGACTGGTGGTTGTGGGGAGAAGAAAGGCTTCAGCTCTCCACTTTGGTCTCCTGTTGAGTCACTCTTTTGTGAATGGGCTAAGAGTTTGTCTGGAAACACAAAGGTTGCTGGAGATGAGCACTTTGAAGGAAGCTTCATCCCCTGCAGTGCTGAGGCCTGCTAACTCGGTGAGGTGATGTTCAACAGGTTGCAGCCTAGTCAAAGGGAGCAGTTTGARCAGTTCAGAACCAAGGCCCATCTTTTAAGGTGGAGCGATTGAATCTCACATTATGAGCGAGGACTGACTGTTGCTCTTGGGCACCTTGCTCATGTCAGTGGGAGCTGGACTGAAAGAATGAAGCAGGCCAGGGTCATAACAGTAATAATAGTCTGCTTTATTTCTTCAACAGTGTTCATCCTCCATTGATTTAGCATTGTTAAGTAGCTGGTCCACAGAGCTCTCTTTCTTCCCTGGGGCTCTGAAGGGCCTCGCAGGTATTAATTCTCTAGTTGATCCCATTTCCCCATGCGAAGGGTCAATATTGACTTTCCTTATAGCTAGATGGAGAAGCACTGAATCACAAACGGTAACATGAGTTTCCCAAGCTTGCTCAGGAACTCAATGGCAGACAAAAACTTCAGTGAAGCCTACATCACTTTTCACCCTCCTCTTTCTTTAGGGAACACAGAAACTATATCACAAACCCTGTCTGCAAGCTCTKTGCAAATATGTTTCCCAGAGAGCTCTCCCTACTCTCTTACATGGCAACTATGGCATCTGTCTTCCATGCTTACACTAAAAGGAAAACAACTGTGTTGATTCATTGGCCTAGGGAAATGACTGCTAAGGCTCCGTTGGCTTTACAGCTCACAGAGTCAGCCTTCTTTTCCTGATTTCTTTCTCATTCTTTACTTTCCTCCTTTCAGCAGCCTGCTTTTTCGTGCTGATATAGAGCACAATTAGAGCAATGTTTTATTGTCCAAGGTAAGGTTTTTGTCTTTTATAAATACAAACAACTGTCAAAATGAAAACTTCTGTAATGATCCAGTGCGTCTGAATAATTAGGTAAAGAAGCATTGATCACCCTCGCTCTTCTGCATGCAGCCTCTCCTGCTGGGCTGCAGTGCACCTGATAATCCCTGCCAGTCTGGTCCCAGGTCAAAGACTCTTGCAGCTGTAGGGCCTCGTGGTGAGGCAAGGCTCTGCTCCTGTCAAGCCTCTTTCCTGAGGCAGTGCTGGTGTTTCCAGAGTGCTGTAGGAGGGAACTCTCCAGTAACCTTGAGCAGGGTCTCCCTTCCAAAGGCGTTGTGCATTAGGAGGACTGCTTCGTACTGGAGTGCTTAGTGCTCTTCCTCCTAGACATCAAAGCTGAAATGTGCCGATTCTCTTTCCAAACTCCAGCAGGGCCAGTTCAGCCTTTCATCCTCTGGACCAGTGCATTGAGTTTTTGTGTGGTTTCCTTTAAAGGCTCTTTCACGTGAACCCCCAAGTTATTTCAAGGTTGCTTATTGAACATTTCCCACCACACAGACCTTTATCCCTCCTTCCCCTGCAGCACTTGGTCTGAAAGCACTGTGCACTGGGGAGAGCAGGAGATGTGCTMCCACTCCTCTTTCAAGTCCCACTTCCTTGAACTGCAGAGAACACAGAACACAAAGCAGCAGATCGTGAGCTGTGCTTTGTGTGACTGCAGTGGTGCAGGAGCAGGGGGCCTGCCCGCTTGCTGCGAGCCCAGCCCGCTGGGCACTACTGGTCGGTTAGTGTGGTGGAGGTGGCAGGCTCGTGCCCTTGTTTACCCAGACATGAGCTCTGCCAGCTCCGAGCACCCACTTCTTTCTTCTGCACTGGTTTACTTTAAATAACTGGCATATTTTGCAGCCTGTGGCACGGAGATGTGAAGGGATAGGTACATTTTGGGCCATTTGCTCTTTCTTCTCTGAGTGCACATCTAATGGGCTGTTACTGTTGTTAAAGTCATTGTATAACTTGCCTTTTCTAGCTGTTACCTTAAATACTGCCAAGCTGGGTGGTCGCTTTTTGCCCAGTGGGAAGCAGTGAGGACTGCGGCCTTAGGCTGCCTACCTCACCTTTCCTCTGCAGGGTGCCGCTGAAAACTTTTAATTAAAAAAGAAGTTGTAATTCTAAAATACGGGTATAGAGGCCAGACTTTGCAGTGCGTCTTCAGGGAGTTATCCCGGAGATCAGCAGGCTGCCGGCTGTTTAGCAGAGCAGAAAGGACCCGGGCCCCCAGGTTCCTTGCAAAATGAACGTATGGATTTATATAAATACACATGCTTTTCTCAGCTTGACAGACCATGCGAGTGAGCAGAGCAGAAKTAGGCAGTAAATGTATTGGGCCTGGCCCTAACCTCATGCCTCGCACGTCTCATCAGGGCCAGGGTGGTCCAAGTCTGGAGCTGAAAAACACAGGGACGAAAGGAGGATCTGGCTGTGACACATCAGAGGTGTGAAGGACTCTGCATGGGTGGCACAGGTAGCATGGGGAGCTCTGGGCTGGAGGCTTCTTTGCTGCGCTCGCGTAGCACTGAGCCTGCATTACCACACCGGGCTGAGAGGCTTAACCTAGGCTCGGGCTAGGGTAACGGCTACTTCTATGGCCAGGCCAGCACAGGCACAGGACTYGCTTCCCCATGTGCACATACCTTGGGTTCCTTCTGCTCACCTGCAGCCCCCTGAAATGCCGGTAACAYCTGCAGCAAATATTAGCAGCATTTCAACTGAGATTGCAGGGTAGRGAGCCCCTCAAGCTGATGCTTGCACCTGGGACTTTGGGACCTGGAGACCTGCTGTGGCCCTCCTCCATTGCCTTCAAGAGGATGTCATCTTTCTGTCCTCCTTCTCGCTGCCCAAGCTGTTTAAAATCGTTCCTCTTCAGTTTGCAAGTTTACTTAGACCTGAAAATACCTAGCGCAATAGAACTGTCTTCTTGATTAATGAATTGGATGCTGCTGTCACACAAATAAATCATCTTCCTCTCTGCTCAGATGCTCTCTGTGAAAAGCCAGCTGCTCTGTGGGTCTGGTCCAGGCCATGCTGTATGAACAAGTGGATGGATTTGCCCACTGGTGTGATCTGGTCAGGAGCTGTATTTTCTCTGYATGGGTGCAAACAGCTGGCGTAGCCCAAATACTCTCGTTAGAGCATAAGATGGAGTTTATTCATGCACCTGGCTATCACCATCCATGTGAAAAGCCCTGATAGCCATCTTTCTCTGACGCATTTAACAAGTGCATTGTAATAGAATTAAGTTGAAAAGTTGAGATGTAGTTTTGTCAGATCTGAGTAGGAAAGTTAGGAAAGGAAATTTAGACCAAGATTTTAGGTTTGGATCCACCTATATGCACAATTGCTGTCGTTTTATCCAGACCAGCCCTTAAATCACTGTGTGCATTTGCTGAGAAAATTCCTCCATGTTGTTCTGCTCACCACAGCTCTGAGGGTTTCTGGCAGCAGTTAGTCTGGTGACATGCAAAGGGGCTGACTGTGAGCTCTGCTTAAGCAACCAGCTCTGCCTCTAACTCTGAAGAAAGCACATGGGTCTGGGCTGAGGAGTTAGCACGACTTAAAGCCTTGCACAACTGAAGGGTGGAAGGGCAAATGGGAGAGCAAGAGAGGATCTTTGAGTTATTGCTGTGGGAGATATTTCTTCATTACACCTGCTTTTCTGTTTACCTGCAGTGCCCTGTGGAGGGAACGTCACCACCCAGAATGGTACCGTTTACTCTCCTGGCTTCCCCAACCAGTACCCCAACTCACAGGACTGCACTTGGCTCCTTACAGTGCCAGTGGGATATGGGATCCATCTCAACTTCACTCTGCTGCAAACAGAGCCCTACAACGATTTCATCACTATCTGGTGGGTACAGCAAAGATGTAGGGTGTGAGGCCTGACCAGAGTTGGGTTTGACTTCCAGGACACTGTTTCAGTAAAACACTTGCAGCTCAGTAGAGCAGCTGTGGATGCTGAGTTTGAGGTGGCGGAGGTATTTGCTGGGGATAATGGGACAGGGATTGGGAAGTTGCCTATCTCGTAGTGTCCCTGGGACTTAACTATTAAAGAATCTTGTGCTGCAAGGGGCTACCAATATGGACATGGTGGTTATCTCCAAACGTAGCTAGTGTTGCACTCCGGAAAAATGCAGGCAGGGACTACAAAGAAGATGTCAGTGAGGGGAATGATCGCTGAATGGCTGCGCTTTGAAAACAAGCAGTAGAAATGTCACTGTTAGGGTCTAGGAGGGAGTCTGTACCTGAATCCTTAGGTTTAATGGAGCTTTGCTGCTAACTTCAATAGTGTTGTGGAGATCACATAGAGCAGTTGAACCCTCAGGTGTGTAGCAGAGCACTAAGACCTCCTAGGTTGGTCTTGCTGTTATTTTCTGAGATGATCAGCTCTAAAAATGAAGCACATCCAACCTCTGCAGAGCCTGGGAGACGCAGTCCCTGTCCCACYGGGCCAGTTTGGTCCCGTCTGGGGGACGAGTTGCCTTGGGGCAGGCAGAGGGACATCCCAGCCCTCCTCCTCCTCTGCAGCCTTTCCCCAGAGCCTCCCTTCATCTCGGAAACACGCTGCCGATTGCAGTAAGGGAGCATCTCTTGGGAAGCCTAAGGGGCTTTACATGGGAGACTTTATGAATGGTAAACGGGGTCTTTATCTCAAGCTGAATTTAGCTGAAATGAATCTTGTTCGGACTTGCATAATAGGAATTGCTTTTTCACTTCTGATTTCCGCAATGTTTTTTGAGGCTCATTTTTTTTTCCTTTTGCAAAATCACTCTACATATAGATATCTGTTTGGATAGAGGTTATATAGAGAAGAAATGTTGGTAAATCTTTTACATTTGTCAGTGTCCTCCTCTAGCTTTTCCTTTGCAATCAGAGATATATAACCAATATATAACCATACAGTTGAGGCTGACATTGCAGAATGCAAAGGCAGCACTTGTGCTGCGCTAGCCATAGGACGTGGCTGTCACCCTCAGCTGCCTTTCTACATAACAGAGCAGAACAGAAAGGAGTTTCTCTGCGTGCATGGTATTAATGCTCTTTTCTGGTGTTTCTCACCTGTGACTTTAGGGATGGTCCACAGCAAACAGCCCCACAGCTTGGCGTGTTCACTGGCAACTCTGCTAAGAAATCAGCCCAAAGCTCTTCCAACCAGGTCCTGATGAAGTTCCACAGTGATGCAGCCAACGGAGGGATTTTTGCCATTTATTTCTATGGTCTGTATTKCTTGCTCAACACCATGTTCTTCATGCCTTCCTATTGCACGTGGAGGGGACATGGATGAGTTGTAGCTTGTGGGGAGGAGATGTTAAAAATGAAGTTGTGATATAATGCAAAGCCTCTCCTCAAGGGCTGGTTTTCACCAGGTCGTGGTTGGTGGTTTCCTACACAATTGAGTGTTGGTCATACAGTCTGTGCACGTGTGGAAATCCGTCTGTCCATGTGGTGCTAATTCAACCACAGGTCAAACGCCTGCAAGCTACTGGTCATGACTGTGTTATGCCTGCTCCTCAAGGTGGTGCCTGTGAATACTGTCCTCTCCGCAGCTGATTCTGTTACGGAGAGCTCTGCTAAAATGAAGGGATGGTCTTGCTGTCCCGTTTTAAATGACATCCATGTTCCAGCTGAGAAGTGACTTCCTTCTCTACTGAGCAAACGGAGTCTTTCAACTAAATTATTTGGGGATTCTTTGGTGCAATTGTAGCTTTTGGTAGAAAAACACCAGGTATTACAGAGAAATCACTAAACCAAGGCCCAACTTCCACTGCTAAACAAGGGTCCAACTTTAAATTGGGTTAGCTAACAAGTTCCTATGGCAGTAGAGGGATTTTGGAAAGTGTAAATGGAGACCTCCTCTTGCTTCAGTAATCTGCTGGAAACAACTTCAGCAAGGCCTGCCGTCAATTACAGCAAGAATTTGTGCAGATGTCTTCTCCCATTTGCAAAAGGCAACCGTTGTGTAGATGGGCTACATTTAAAGGATGTTTGCTAGGCTTCTGAGGGAATTGGTTTACTGCTGCAAAACACTGCAAGATTTATATTGCCAGACAATAGTGCATATATAGCAGTTATGCAAAAAAATTATAGTTTAGGCCATTTGGCTCACAAATGAGCAGTCCGTAAGCACTGCTGCAGTTCAGTTTCCTTTTGTAGTGTGAATTTGCTGCTCTGTGGCTGTGGTTGGAGCCCGTTAGCGGGGCTGCCTGCGGTTCCTTTTGCTGYGCGTGGGGCAGGGTGTGGGGCTGGCCCCAGACAGGGGCGCTGGGGACCGATGACAGGAGCCCTGGTCACTCACAAGCTGCTGGGCGGGCGGCCCGGCCGCGGCGCCGCTGCCTCTGGATGCAGCAGCGTTTGCTGCTCCCTGCAAAYGGGGAACTCGGGCCTGAAGTGAGACCCAAAGACTGAGCTGGGCGGCTGGCGGCTCCGCACGGAGGCTCCTCGGCTCTTGCTCACATCTTCCTTCTGTGCTACGGTGCCTTCCACTGCAAGGAAGCAGGGGGGAAAGACATGAGGGTGTCACCCATCACCCAGGGATCTTCCACATTACTCTCTGGGGCATGACTGCAGGGAATGGAATTTCCTCTGGATCTATAGCAGTGTATATTGTCATTTTTGTGCCTGCATATTGGCAGATCTAGGACATCGGAGCCACCCTTCTTGAGCCTTAAATTGTCATTTCCCATCCAGTGAGGATCTTTACCTTTGCAAGGGAACTGTTTCCCTTTTAAATGCCTGCAAAGAACTGAGTCCTTAGCGTGGAGGAAGGGAAACAAAAGAGCGATTCAGAAAGCTTAAAGGCTCAATAGCATCCCTAGAAAAGTGATGATGCGGCACCTATTATTAAATGGGTTAGTTCAGGTGCCAGCGTGAGGGGAAAGGGTTTTTATGACACAGGAACTCGGGGGTCCCCGCATGGCTTGAAGGACAGGGCTGGTTCATCCTGCTGAGATGGGGGGCCGTGGGGACCGCAGGGAGCTGCACTGGGGCGGTGTCACCCACGCACCTGAACCCCCTCGCTCGTGGCACTTGAGTAATGCTGTAAATGCCAGGTCATCTTTCCACTTCACCAGATGCTGACAAACACTTTTTAAAGAGCCTTTCAGTTTAATTTTTGTGGAGATCACCTTTCTCCTCATCAGARATTTGTTGGAAAGCTCGCACCTGGCAGCAGCTCCTGCGGTGCCACCGAGCAGCAGGGGAGAGRCTCCCCCCGCCGTCCCCTACCTGCCCAGGCTCATGGTGACAGTGTCACCTTGGCAGCGGTGGCAGGGAGCACTTTGCTGAGCGCGGTGCCAGTGCAGAGCGCGGAGCCCTCCCTGCCGCAGGCTGCCGGGGCCCAGGTGAGACCCGGKTTGGGACAAGCGCAGCGCCCCGAGCTCGTGTTGCCCTTTCAGCACCCTGCACCAGCTTCAGCAGAAGTGCAGGGGTCCAATCCCCCCCAGGGAAAAACAGCCTTTCCAAGGCAATTTTTAAAATCTGGGCCTAAAGCTCCATAGGCCACTTCGCTCTCTGGGATTTCTCATTGTTTTTCTAGTAGCTGCTRAGGGTATTAATCTTTTCACAGTGGTGGGAGCAGGGTGGTCACCACCCTTTGCTCTTCGCTCTGCCACGTCCCGCGCTGCAGCACCCGCTTCGCAGCCGGGGCTGAAGGTGCCGCGGGTGCCGGAGCAGGAGGAGCTTTTCCAGCAGCCCCTCCTTGGAAGCACAACTGGTGGGAACAGCGCTCGCTTTTCCCCATCCCACCATTAGCTCCACTGTGAGCTTAAAAATAAAACAGTGTTTGACATCATTGAGTTAGCAAGAATTAATATTCAGTGGCAGATAGAGCTCCAGTATCTTAAATTAAAGGGCTGATATAAATTTCAGAGGAAGTCCTACTTGTCCAGGGTCAGGCGCGGGGGGAGCAAAGATGCTGAGCAAATAGCAGAAAATGTCTTTCATTAATATTCATTTAGTTCCAAGTGCAATTTTTTCAATTTACCCATGTTCACAGCCCTTGTGTGTTTATTTTCATAAGCATCAAGGTCCTCAAGTCTCGCGCACCCATGTACTTACAAGCAGCACATTCTTTTGTTCAGTGTTTGCTAATATTTAATTTTTGATGGTAAGATTTGCTAATTGCAGTGTATTTGATTGGGTGCATGAGTCATAAGGAATTATTTCTGCTCTTCAGCTGGGTGCTTGCCTCCCATTTAGCTCTGTGGTACCACTGAAAAAATGTCAAATTGGACAAAGAATTCCAAGGCTGCGCTGTTTTCTGTTACGTGAGGCACTGACACGAATGTTGCATCAGTTACCTTGTGAATTGAGAATTACATAGAGAATTTGCAATTCCAACCATTTGCACTCCTGGAATTATTTGCAGCAGAAATTAATGAATAATTCCAAGTTAAAAATAAATTTGTGGGCTTAGCAATCTTTGTTCAAGGACAGACAGTAAAGATGAAGTTCGCTGAATAATTACTGTGATTTACTTGGCTCTAGAGCAGTCTGAGACTTTCCCTCTTCTGTCATTGACCTAATTCCATCGAGGTCACCCAGACCTTTTCTCCTGGCRTCCCAGAAGATGCAGGTCATGCTGCCTCATGTCAGCGTACATCAGTCACRGCTCAGTGTTCCTCCAGACAGACTGATGCTGTCTGAGTTCCTGGATCCATGCACTGCCGTGAGAATGTTTCCTGTCAGGAGAAGGAACCTGGAGAAAGCTGCATTTGCACAGGAATGGTTGGAGCCAGCTCTGTGGGATGCGGGAAAGGGGTTGGTTGTGGGTTGGCTGGTTCCTCCTCCCCTCTTAGGGATCTGCTCTGCTGCCCGGTGTGCCTAACGTGGAGGTGGCCGTGACCCTGTTCCTCCCTGCTATGACACTTGCTCTTCTTTCCTTCGTTCTTGCAGCCTACCAGCTCTTCAGATGCCAACCCCCGACCATCGTGCCCAACGCCGAGATCATCACGGAGAATGAAGAATTTAACATAGGTAAGCATAGGTGCTCCTAACCCTCCTCCCATCCACTGTCCCCMCCCCAGGGCAGACCACAGGAGGCCACCAGGGTGTTCTGCAGAGGCTGGAGCCCCATAAACACTGCTTCAGGAGMCCCAAAGAAGCACCATTTGATGCTGTATGGCATCTGTGACCCTGCTTAATATCCACCTTGTGCACCGAATCAAAGTGCATAGCTGCAAAGTGCAGATCAAACCGAGCTGCCTGTCCCTAGACAACATCTCCTTGTTAGTGCAGATAAAGTGGCTTGTGCTCTGTGAAAGCCCCGAGCTCGTTCAGGAACGTCCAGAGATCTTTTCCACAAAAACAGTTTTTGGCCTTCATATATTTCAGGTATTTCAGATGTGCATTGTGTGAAAGCTGAGAAGCTGCTATTCTTGTTTTTGAGAGCCTTTCGCCCRTATTGATTGTGCCTTTTGTATTTTTGCTGCTGTTCACAGTTGCATCCACATTTTAAGTGTATCTCCAAGCAGTGAAATAGCCATATTTTCTTTGAGCACAATCTGTATCATTTATATGATGTTAAAGCCAGCACAGTTGTGGTTTCATATACCTGTTTCATATACCGTAACTGCAGCATCCCTGGGCTTGTAGTGGATAAAGAGCCGGGTGCGACAGTCCTGGGAGTCGTGGCACTGGGTACCACGTTGCTGTGCCCGAGGAGGCAGCAGGTGTGGGTGGGATGACCTGGGAGGTGTGGGCCTGCACATCTGTTAAGTCCTCCAGAAAAAAGTCCTCTGTGGAAAAAATCCCAAGTGGAATATAAATAGACCTGAAGCAATGCAGCAGTGAGATGGATGCTGGTTTTACCTGCTGGTGATTTCATTTCATAAAATAACTGAATTGTGCAGCTGTTCTGCAGGACTCGAGCATGTTGTGGATTTGTGTCTCTTTGTAAAACCAGTCAAGGAAGGACTGGCTGCCCCAGAGCTCCACGGCAGAGACAGCATCTTTGCCCCTTGCACTAACTTCTCTTCCTGGGATGCATTTCAGCCTTAATGAGACCTTCCTGGTTTTCTCTCCGTAGGTGATGTAGTGAGGTACAGGTGCCTTCCTGGCTTTACCTTGATTGGAAATGAAATCCTGACCTGCAAGCTGGGCACTCATCTCCAGTTCGAAGGACCTCCACCCACTTGTGAAGGTAATGCTTCAGGAGCTCAGCATGCCCACCACAGCATTCTTGTCCAGAGGCTCCTCAAAGCCATGGGTGACTTCTACAGGAAAGCAGCCAGCTGGGTGGAAGTTTCTCTTGTAAATATTTAGTCTTTGCTCTGAGATCTCAATAACGCAGAACAGCCAGGTAGGACTTCAGGAGGAGGGCGTCCTGCGCAACCTCAGTTCAAGTGACACTTTTAGGCCCTGTGAAATGTCAAGCCACCCTTCAGGACAGGATGGCCAAGGGGCATGGTGGGGACAAAGGAGAAGCAGGGTTTGGATCTGTGACACGCGGTTCCCGCGAGGCCAAGGAGCCCCCATCCCAACGTCCTTCCCTGGCAGGGAGACATCTCCTCTCTCACAGCTTGCCAGTGATACAGGACAGCCAAAGTGAGGAAGAAGGGGTTCCTCCAGGGAGGCCAGCCCACCAGGAGCAGCTTCTCTATCAGTGCTGCAGAACATATTTGATGGAAGAAAAACAATTGCCTCAAGCGTGGTGCGTTGTCTACCTGGTTGCTGCTCAGGAGGGATCTCAGAGATGTTTCCATGCTACCATGTTGCCCTATTTATCTTCTGGATTCCTACTGGTCCTTTTGCTCACTCCAACTGTGATTATTTCGTCATTTTCATTCCTTCCTATCTGACCATTTTCACCATATAATGGGATATTTTTCTATAGCTTTAGTCTTTTTGAAATAGCATGAACTGAAGGAGAAAAAGGGAGGTCATTCAATTATTTACTGATGGTTGTTAGCCTGGGGGTAAAGAGACTGCTTAAATTACGTCTGGCCACCAATTTATAGAGGTCAAAAAATCACTGATGGCATTAAGGATTGGGAAAGAGTTCTTTCTGGATAGTTCTGGCTGGTTTCTATTAATACAAGTAGAGCATTTGCACTGGTTTTAGAGATAATAACGGATAAATAACATTCCCTTTGATGCTTTTTGCTCATTTTCTGTGTTAGCATCTTTTTCTGGGGTGTTGTCTCTGGCCTTTTCTTTAGTGCTTTCAGCTGGATTGAGTATGCCCAGAAGCTGAGTGGGATCTAGTGATCAGATCAAGGAATCGAAGCTTTTAGGTCCTGGTTAACAACCACATGGCTGACTTGGGAGAAGCTGGTAGTCCCCTGCTGTGATTTACCCACAGTTAATGAAGTTTCTAGGTTTTTCAGAGAGTGCTTTAGAACTTGAGAACAGTTGCTCGTTTGCAGTGCCCTTGATTCTGAAAGCCACCTCCTCATAAAACTGAAATGATACAAAGGTGGTTGAACCAAATTGTTCATATTGTTGCTTTTTTTTCCTCCTTGTTAGAATTTGACAATTGCTCACATTGTGGAAATGCAATGTGCTTCATTTGGAGCCCAAGTCAGGATTGTAGGCTTCTCTTTGGAACCCCAAGGATCTAGGTGTCTGGTGAAATAAGCAGATGGGAGCTATGCCCTTGATCTCACTGATCCAGATAGACCYTCTTGGCCATGGTGGCCTGTGCTTTCTTCCTTCCTCTGCAGGAAGGGAAGATCCATAAGATTCACTTTCTGTTGTTTTTCCTTCACATTCCCTGTAGTGCACTGCCCCATGAATGAGGTGATGACAGACTCCACCGGTGTGATCCTCAGCCAGAGCTTCGTGGGAAGTTACCCTCATTTCCAGACCTGTTCATGGGTGGTGAAAGTGGAGCCTGGGTATAACGTCTCTCTCACCATTGAGTACTTCCTGAGTGAGAAACAATATGATGAGTTTGAAATCTTTGATGGTAAGAGAGTCACTAAGTTGTTTTGTTTAAAAACTGAGGGAGGAAAGAGGGGAAAACATTTAGCAGTGCTGTTGGTTGTTCATCTGTGAGTTCCCAGAGCATGGAGGGGAGAGCTTTTCACCAATTCAACTATAATCTGCCAGACTGAAAGAAAGCTCCTCCTAAGACTCATTGATTTTCTCAATAATAAGGCAGCATCAATGATCTGATTTTTTTGATGACTCACAAGTATTATTCCAGGGGGAAGGAGGTAGCGAGCTGCTGGAAGACTTGTGGCAGATGTTGCTGGGAGGGGATGAGTTGAGGTGGAGCTTTCATCCTTGAGGCCCATATAAATCACGTTCTCTAGGCCCGTGAGTTCTCATGAACTAAGGTATCTGTCAGTATTCACGGTGATTTGTAACCAAGTGCAGAATGCAGGTGTTCTGCTGATGCTCCTGAGGTTGCGCATTGTGACCTGATCTTGAAGTCATTCTTCCTGAAGCAAAGTCCTGGCCTGAGAGTGATCAATAGGACTTTATTTGCAGTGGGTTTCCTAGGAGCCCAGTGCCTGCAAGAAGACTCCTCTTCACAAAAGGAAACCAGAGCATGAACTGTCATTCTTGGGCTCACTTTACAGTGGAAACTCATAGACTACAGTTCCAAAATATGCCTATTCCTTCAGCAAAAACACATTCTGGCACAAAAAGCCCAAGAGTGACTGTTGCTCTGTGTTATCCCTGCTTTTCACTTGTCCATCCTTTCTTGAAGGTCCCTCTGGCCAGAGTCCCCTGCTCCTGTCACTGAGTGGGAACTACTCCGCTCCTCTGACTGTTACCAGCAGCGGGAACAAAGTCTATCTCCGCTGGTCTTCTGATCATGCATACAACAGAAAAGGCTTCAAAATCCGTTATTTTGGTAAGTACACAGCAGATATCAGAGGCCTCCACCAAGATCAGGGCCATCTCTTCAGCTAAGACTTGCCGTGAAATCGTTACAGAGGGACATGGCCCATCTGTGTCACGAGAAGGTGCCACCGAAGCGCCCCAAGCTGGCCTCATTCTGAGGTCTCCGCAACAACTGCCAAGGCTTGGGAAAAGAGCTTCGTTTCCAGCAGAAAACTTGAAGCTTTGACTGGGTTTCCTTGGCCAGCATCGGGAATCAGAACCAGAATAGCTTCAGCCACAGACAGTTGGGCTCTGGATGAAAGAAACCCTTCACTGTGCAGGCCATGATGCCTGCACAGCTGAAGGAGACCTCCTCTAAGACTGTCTGAGCAGCCTGGGTTTTTGCAAGCTGTTGGCTTATGACTGAAGTATTGATTAGTCAGTTTATTCCAGCTTCAGGTCTTCAGAAAGTGCTCTGCTCACTGTAATTCGCAGTGAAGATTGCTCTGTTCCTAAATTATTGTGTCCTTGCAATGATGAGACCCAATGGAGATGCTCAGTGATTAATGTTGTGCAACGTAAAAAATTGTGGAAGAAGCTGCCGGGTGCATGAGACGCAGCTTGCACGTGGCGTGTTGTGCTGCCACCCTCGTGGAGAGCTCTTTAAAGCACATGCTGCTCCTGGGCACGCTCTCCGCTGCTGTCAGAGCAGTGTGACCCTCTCCGTCCTAATGAAGTCATAGCTGCTTATTCAGCAAAAACGAATTACTGGATTCTGAATGTTTGCTAAGAATTCTTTAAAATGAGTTACGATTTGTAATAGAACTTAGCAAATCTTCAATTAAGGGAAGTTATAAAGTTGGGTAGAGAACTTGCTTGCAAGTCATTTAATAAATAAGTAATGACATTGTTCAGTAAATGAATTAAGGAATATTTAATTACCAGAGATTACTCGTAATTTCTAAAGCTGAGGGAAACTTGGAGGACAGTCCTGCGTTCTTTCCCCTGTTGACTTTGTAATTATCCATTGCAAGTTCTCAATTACCTGTACAGCCTTAGGTTATGGAAAACACTATGTAATTCCTGACCTGAAGGCAAACTTGTCTTGTTGCAGCCCATCCAGTCCCTTGGACAGGTGAAGCGAGTTACTCATTTTCCTGTGTCTTTTTCTGCAGCTCCTTACTGCAGCCTGCCGCAGCCCCCAGCACACGGACTGATTCTCAGCCACACGGGTCTGCASCCTGGCAGCACCGTCCGATTTGGCTGTGACACCGGCTACCGCCTCGCTGGCCACAGTGCTGCCACCTGCTCCCAGCACCCTCAAGGCTATTTCCACTGGAACGAAGCAATCCCACTGTGCCAAGGTGAGCAGGAGCCAAACGTGTCCTTAATGCCAACACCTTAATACCAATGATAATATCCTTGGGAGCACATGGGGTGAAGGGGGCGGGGGGTCTGTCCTGGGTAGAGAGAGAGTGCCCATCTCTGCAGGACCTTCCCTGGCAGATCCTGCAGATCCCAATGAAGCACAAGAGGAGCTGTTGTCCAGAGGAATCCAGCGAGGCCGTGAGCSCCGTGAGTCCTCCTGGTCCCTTGGAAGGACCTTCCTCTGGCTTTTTCAGAAGCATCTGTAGCTCTGCATGTCTTAGTGGGGGATGAGAAATTTCTTGAGGTTCAGATGGTGCTCAGTTTCTGTGGACTTTGCGTAAGATCTGAACATGTGGTTGTTCTTTACGCATCTCATTAGCTGTAATTGTTATGACATTTTATATTTAGCACATGGCTCTTTCCAGGTGTGGAAGAGAGGGGAGGACAGGACAGCCTGCCCTAAGACAGGGCTTCACTTTGAGGATATTCTATCTCACTATATTTCTTGATTACACTTTTTTTTTTTCCAGTCCAACAATCACCTGTTTCTTTGTGTTGGTCAAATGCCCATCTTTATTCTGATGAAGACTTTCAGTGTCTTTGAACGTTCATCGGTGCTCCAAGGAGATCGAGCAGTGGGAATTAATACTGCATCGACTTCCCTGGAAAGTATCCAGAGAACGAGAACAGASACAGCCTAGGCAAGCTCTTACTGCCCTCTCTGCATTGCCCTGCCCAAGCTTTAMGGAATAGCAGGGTTATGTAGTGCAAGAGTTACCAAGAGCCTCAGTGCCTGCGCTGCTGGCRAGTGGCCAGACCGCATCCTGACGGGGGAATATCCCCCCGCAGCCTTGGGAGCTTCTCCTGCTCTCTGCTTCCGTGTATTTGCAGCGGGAATCTCCGCCTGCCCTGCTTACCAAGTGCCTGGTAAGGGAGCAGCGGGTGGGCGATGCGCGGTGGAGCAGCTCCCTCGTCTGGCCTCGCYGCGCTGGCAGCCCGGGCTGCCTGCTCTGCGCCCACCTCGGACACGTACAGTCCAGCACATCTCTCTTCCTGCATTGCTCTCCGAGCCAACTGGCGTCCTTTTGCTTTGGGCTGCACTCAATTGCTCATCCTTCCCCGTGGCCAGGACTACATGGCAGAGATTTGGGAATTTGACCCGCAGCATGAGATAAATCACTTGCACAAGCAGCACTGTCAGGAGGAGCGGAGCCGGGATCTCATAAACCCACAGTTTCATTAGCAAATGCCATTCCCATAGCTCYGGTCTTCCAGCACCAAACCCACCTTCCCATTCCTGATCCCCTTCAAATAATGTTTACTAGGTGCTCAGTCCTAGCTGACATTTATGGGAGCAGCAGCAACTATTCTACAGGGAACAATCTTGCCTTGGCACAACGGGGGAGARCACGAGATGATCTAATGTGCCTTTTCTGTCGCCACTGCCTATTTTTAAGCTGCTTTGTTTTTGGAATCCCAGCTGCACATTTGCTTTTGTGTAGCCTGTCTTTTCCTAGCACACTTTCTTCCTGCGTACAGAGTTCCCATAACAGTGGCCTTTGTCCCTGGATCGGACACTTGGTGGGTCTGTCCTGGCCAGATAGTTTCCTTTCCCCTGAAACGACTTCATGCTTCCATCACCTCCACTTCCCCTGCAGTGTCTCACCCATAGGTGAGGTACTATTTAGAGCAGATGACAAAGTTTGGGGTTTTTTTTAACCAGAGCCTGTGTGGTGCTGCAGGCAGCGCTCCCAGTTAGCTCTGATTCCTCTTCATGCTTCAGTCTGACCATCTGCAGGTGAAGAGAATAATGTTTTTATTAGCATTTTTTGGTGGCTTAACGAACTTTTTAGTTAACTGCATCTGGCTTGGATGATCTGGATTATTGCTTCATAACTGGATTATTGCTAACTCTCGTCTGTGTCAGGGCACATGATCCATTTCCATTGCACAAGGGTTTAGGCCATGGAAAGTCTCCAGATAATCAACAGAAGCACTTGGCAGGGGTGCAGCGGAGCTTGCCGGGAAGGAGAGTTTGCTGGCATTAAGTACGTAGCAGATTGCACCTAAACCTCGGAGGCTCGGAGCAGAAGCCTAGTCTGTGTTCATAGGAGGTGTCCCGACCTGTTGGGGCCTCATGGAGATGGTGGCAGGGAATATGCTCAGGCCATACAGGCTGAGCTCTCTGCATCCCAGGAAAGGCTGGGCTTGTCCTCAAGGGCATGTGGGAAGGAGCTTGTTTTCTTGTTGTCCTTATCTCAGGAGCTTGGTGACTTCCTGCTTTCTCACGTGGACTCGGAGCCCAGCTCAGAGCAGTGGAGCTTCCTCAGCAACACCCTGCACCCAGGGGCCCTGTGTCCTCCTTCAGCGTAGGCTTGAGGACCACTCTCTGTCTCTGCTCCCTCTTCCCTGCTCCCAGGAGCAGGAGAGAACAGAGAGAAGGAGGCTCGGTTGGGAAGCAGAGGAGGGATCCAGCTTTCTTACTTTGCCCCCTCATTGGATTTAGCATCAAAGAATCAGTAGCAGCAGGTTGCAGAGTGGCAGGGGAAGGGTAGGACTGCCTTCCTGTTGCCTCCGAATGGAATTGGTATTCAGCATGCTTGTTTGTCTAGACACCCAGCCTTGTGGAGAGATCCGCCTGGCTCCTCCGCTCGATGAAATGACATACGTGTGATTATCATTTCAGCCGGGGATGTGCCCGATCGTGCTAATAGGAGCCTGCTGAATTACTCACACCTATTAGCACCCGCAGCCTCTGCCAGGGCTACAGAACTGCTCCAGGATGGGCTCGGGCAGCAGCAATGGGATAAAAACACCTCAGACCTGCAGTGAGAGGAGGCTCCACTGGTTGTGCTCAGGCTGTTGTCTCCTTTCAACACTCACTGAGGCCCATGGCACCAGCAACTTCCYGGGGTAGCTCCTTTTCTCACCCTAGCCTGTGTGTGGAAGGAGTGATGGGCAGGTGACCTGCAGCTCATGCATCGGACGTGCAGGGGCATCTCTGCCTGTTCCACCAAGGAATTAATTTCCCTCGAAGTATTTCAAAAAATGCAGATAACCATTTGGATTCGGTATTGACCCCAAGATCAGTGGTTGCCAACGGGTTCTGTTCATTTGGGTGCTCTGCAAGTCTCTGCCCTGCTGCTGGTCTCGCAGTGACAGTGTCACACGTCCCAGGCTGTCCCTGCCCGAACTGCGGCTCTGCAGTCCAGGGAGATGGGCTTGTCCCAGAGGCAAAACTTGGAGAGGGATGGCAACCCAGTCGTGACTTTTGGAGGTAAGAATGGGTTTGGTTTCCTGGCTCTTATGCTAACAGGATGAAAAAACATGCTTGAGTGTCAGATTCCAGTGATATTTTGTCCAGTGTTGGCAGGACTTGCAGCCTTCCAGTGAACTGTCCGGGTCTGCCTGCATCTAGCAGGGGCTCCCGTTTGGCGTCCGGGGACCCAGCCGTGCCCGCCTGGCAGTGCCGCTCTGGCCGTTGGCTCTCGCGGGCACCTCTGCGGTGCTGCCGTCCTGAGCAGCCACTTGGCACCCGGCCTGTTTAACCAGTTTATCAGGGGAGATTTATCACTTTATCAGAGGAGATTCCCCCTGAATCTCCCCTCTTACCTGCTCATCCATAATGCTAAATTTAGCCTTCCTTCTGCCACAACATAATTATACAGTTTGCTGCCTTATGTAACGCAGAAGTGCTGCTGGGGAATGTTTTTAGATTGCTGCTGCTGCGRGATGTAAATACGAAGCATTATTGCTGTTTCTTTATCTCGGTGTGAAAACCTTTGAATACTGAGCTGATACAGTTTGTATTATAGATATTTAGAAATTATGAGCCAGCGTCTCTTGCAGTAGGAATTGGTATTCACTATTGGCTTTGTTCTTGCCGTGCTGATGGATATGAGCTGCAAATCTGATCCCATCTGTGAACGCRAGGATTCATTGCGGCACGTGGAGATCAGTAGGGTGCTGGAGCTTTTCTAAACAGCAGAGCTTGGGATCTGGGGTTTTGACTTACCGCAGATCTGTGATAAAATTGGAAGCTGATCTTGATTTTTCTCACTGTTTTTTTTTTCTGTCGTTCTTTCCCAGCTGTCTCCTGCGGAGTCCCCCGAGCCCCGAAGAACGGCGTCGTCTTTGGCAAGGAGTACACGGTGGGCACCAAGGCCGTGTACAGCTGCCACCAGGGCTTCCACCTGCAGCCGGGCGAGGAGCCCACGGCCGAGTGTCTCCCCACGGGGCACTGGAGCAACGGCAACGAGCCCCCTCACTGCGTCGGTGAGCGCCCACTGCCCGCGCGGGGATCCCGGCGGGAACGTCCCCCAGCTCTACGGCCGGCAGCTTGGCCACATAGGTGGAATATTCCGGGCACCAGGTTTCAAATCTGGCCTCACTCATAGCACCCTGATTTCCCACCTGTGAAATGGGGGTGCTAATACGGGTCCCCTTCTTCAGAAGCCATCACACTTGCTGCAATGTCCAGACGCCCTGTGGTCACATCTCCTATTAACTCGCGTGTGTCTTGTTTCTTCTCCCTGATTCGCCCCGTTTGGTGTCCAGCTGTCACCTGTCCCGATATCAGCAGCATTGCAGTGGAGCACGGGCGGTGGCGCCTCACCTACGAGATCCAGTACCACTACAACGCCCAGCTCATGCTCATCTGCGACCCCGGCTACTACTACACGGGCCAGCGGGTCATAAGGTGCCAAGCCAACGGCAAGTGGAGCATTGGCGAACCCATGCCAACCTGCAAAAGTAAGAGCAAAGCAGCCCAGAGCAGCGGTCTGGGGGCTGCACTTTCTGCTCTCCTTTGGGCATGCATGCGAGCGCTCTYCCTGCATGCTAAAGCACTGCAGCCTGCAGCAGCCAAGAGCTGTGCTGGTAGGAGTTTGGATGAAGGGAGAGGTCGTATGTTGATCTGGTTCTTGGTTTAGTCTAAACAGTTCTGCAAGAGCTCGGGCACATTCACTCATCTGTTGTTGTCAGGTCCCAGCAGCTTAGCTGTCACTGGTGCCAGCTGCTCTGAAGTTTGCTTTGAAGAAATAAAAAATTCCAATTTAAAACCCAACCTCTTCTGATCCAATTCAAACGCCAAGTTTACGGGGGTGATGGTGTCACCTGTAAATCCAGAGCGCTCTTGGCAAACAAGGTGCTCTGATGGCGCTGCTGTGCTTTGGATCTTTCCTTTTGTCAAACATGGGGTGGTTTCCCTCTGAGGGCAGCGAGAGATGGAAAAATTTCTCCTTCAGAATGGCAACTCTCCCTTCCCTTCCCTCCTGGCTGCCTTTGTTTCTAGAGATGCCACTGCTGACTTCAGTGACAGATGTAGTTTTACCCCGCTAGCTCTGCAGCCAGTTCTGGGAGCTTGAGCCTGACCCCATTTTATTTCTTCAGCGTTATTGCCTCCTAAATTCAAATGACAGCAACTTGGCAATGCACTAAGGTCAGAAAAAGCCGGCATGAGTCTCTGAATTCTTGCTGAGCTTGAAAGCTCCAGAGGCTTTGCAGATCTTAAGGTAGATTAAATAAAAGAGCTGGACGTGGTGCCTGGGAGCTCTGTTTGTAAGGGCTGCTGAGCAACCTGCCGCTGCCTCCTGCAGCTGGGGGTGCCTGGATCCCTGGGGTCTCAGCTGGGGTCTTCTCTGAGGCTTCAGATCCGTCCTGGAGTCACTGTGAGAGAATAAGCACAGAAGTGGCACCGTTGTCACTTTCTTATCTGAAAGCACCCTGTAATTTGGTGCCATTTTATAGCTTTTCTGTAAGTTGGTCTTCCTGGTTGTATCAGTTAATGGGTTAATAATAGAAATTTTCTTGTGTATAGAAATTCCTTCCTAGCCAAGTCTTATCTTTAGTACTTCCTCCATGTCCTGAAGTATGAATATTAATAGCAGTTAGGTTTGTCACCTCGTGTAATATGACTGTGAGTAGTTGTTATTGTCTGCGTAGCTATTAAATAATCTTTTCTACTCATTTCTGACTTAAGTAATAACTCGCAAGGAGTTTCATTGACTACATTTCATTTTAAAAAAATGAAGCTCCATGCCTGTTCACTCCTGCTGTACTTTGGGATCTCTTCCAGTTATCTCTTGCGGAGAGCTGCCAACTCCGCCCAGTGGGAACAAGATTGGCACGTTGACCAGCTATGGTGCCACAGCCATCTTCTCGTGCAACACTGGCTACACCCTGGTAGGGTCCCGGGTGCGGGAGTGCATGGCGAATGGACTTTGGAGTGGAGCAGAGGTGAAATGTCTGGGTAAGTGCTGGGGAGGAATTTCAGGAGGGAATAGCAGATTTAGGTCCTTCAAGAAATTCAAGAAAGAACAAAGGCAAGAGCTTGGTGCTACTGAAATCGGTGTTGGAGTAGATTGAAAGAGTGATTCTTTTCTCTTCAGTAGAAGTGAGGCGTTTTGAGATTGGCAAGGAAAGCTTTAAAAAACGCTACGTTGTTTTTATTGCGGCTGTGCTTTTATTTATTACTGCAGAGATTCACACTCACATCCCTGCAGACCCTTCGGGAGGAGCAGTCACAAACCCTCAGTGATGCCTCTTGTCTCCCTCCTGCAGCGGGGCACTGCGGGGTGCCCAGCCCCATCGTCAACGGGCTCATCAACGGTGAGAACTACAACTACCGGGGCAGCGTGGTGTATCAGTGCAACCCCGGCTTCCGCCTCATCGGCATGTCTGTGAGGATCTGCCAGCAGGACCACCGCTGGTCTGGAAAGACTCCTGTCTGTGTGCGTAAGTATGTTGTCGGATTTCTTTAGCCCCCGTTATGGTTGGGAGACAGGAGCACCTACAGAGCTCGCTCGTCTAGGAGTTCAGAGGTTCCTAAGAGGGGAAGAGTCCTGTAAGCAGGAAGAGCTGGATCCCGGGGACAGATGATCAGTCACCCCAGGTTTTCACCCAGCTAAGAAATGACTGTTCCAGGTRCTCCTCCTTGCCCCAGAAAGGTGGATGGAAAGAAAGCTTAGCTTTATTCTTAGTATCGTTGTCAGAAATACTTGCCGTCCAAATGGATGYTGGCCAGGTGGCAACCACAGCTCAGGTGGCCTTTGAGGTGGCCTTGAGCCGCTGCCCTCGCGGTGGGAAGTTGGTCCTTCCCCTTCAGCCTGGCGGGGAGCTGGTAGTTGCCGGTCCATACCAGGCAGCATCTCCATAGGTGAACGGCAGTTGCTGGCACTGGTGAAATCTGCTCAAAAGCCATTTGCAAAGGTAGAGAGGGGGAGGAATGCGGTCTGGCTTCCAGAGTGAATTGGAGATGACCTTGTTAATTCTCCGGGCCATCCGAAGAGGAGATGGATTCCAGCTGTCCTGCTGGGAACAAGTCTGGGCTGGCACGTTTCGTGGGCAAGCATCCACCACCTACACAGGAGCAGCCGGCAGGCATTTGTGTTCCCGTGTGCTCGAACGCTCTCGAGAGCACCTACGTGTGTCACCACGTGTGTCACACACGTAGGGTGCACACAGGTGCGTTGCCTGCACCCTGTGAGTGCTGCCGCCACGAGCATCCCATGGTTTGTGCAGGAGAAAGCGGAGGAGGCAGGAATGGCAGCGCTGCCACTTGGGCTGCTTTGCTGTTTCCCTCTGCTCTGTAATTTCCCCCTCTTTCTTAACTGATGCTTTTTATATGCTGAGTTTCTCTGGATAAGCCTGGTTGCAGTTGTAGTTTCTGAGGAGGGTCTAGTCAGATCCTAACACCCTTTTTATGAGGCTTATATTTGATGCCAGAGGAAATTCAGTCGCTCCCTTCCTGTGATTGACATTTACAAGTCACCTTGCACACCCCCTTCATTTTTCTTTYAGGTAAATAACCTAATTAAGTAAATCTCTGGAGTTCTAAGATGTTAGTAAGTTTAAACATCATCTTGCCTATAAAGAGGGCAGCCCGTGTATTTCCTATCATGGTTTTTCAGTTGTTTGCTTCCAGCCTCACCTACATGGATTATGGCTTTACATGCCAAGGCACAATATCAAAGCGAAATGTGAAGTAGGAAATGACCTTTAAGTTGCTGAATATGCAGATTCCAGCCTAAAAGTAAGAAACAGAGCCTAGCATTAAGGGTTACTGGTAGCTCCAAAAATCAGAAGCGTTCTCATCTCGGATTTTGCCTGAAACTTTTAGGARCATCAGAGTTACAGAAAGGCTGTTTCTGGTTCAAGCTGGAATTACTACAGTGTCTGAAGATGCTCCACAGAAAAACTTCYAGCCCATATTTACCAGTCAAATTCCATGCACGCTACCCTTGGCCCGGGAGGTCTTCCTAGTAGAGGTGCTGCTGCTGCCAGCCAGATGCCCAGAAATGCAGGGTTCCTTAAATGCCTGTTTTCCCGGAGTGACAGTTTTCCTCAGGAGGGCCAAAACCCATTTGGACAGAGCGGATGGGCCCTGCTCGGGAGCACGAGGGTTTCCTTGCTGCCCATCCGTCGCACATGGGGCTGCCTCGGGCTGCTTCCTGCAGCCTCCCAGTTGTCACAACTGAAAGCTTCTGTGGGCGCTCAGTAAAGGTGTTCATAAGTCGGCCTTGGAATTATTACAGAACATATCAGGCCTTACGTGTAACATGAATTTAATACCATTAAAGCAGAGCGCTGTTGTGCCCTGAAATTAGATACCTGGAGGCCGTATTGTTTCTGTAGGTGCTCAGGGCTCTCCATTATCACATAATAATTTCCTGCTGTCCTGATATTTTCTCTTTAAATATAAAAAACTGATAACAATTGCACGCGCTACATAAGCTGGTCCTTTTGATCCTTGCCAACCAGAGAGAGTCTCTTTTTTTTTTTCAGGAAAGAATACATCTCCTATTTCAAAAATGTGTATAATATTCAGGAGTGTCGTATTCAGGAATACCTCAGAGAATYGATGCTGTTTCCTGTAGTGCTAGAAAGCTGTCCTGCTTCATATTTTYAGACCTGTACCTGTCACCACCTTGCATCAGAGATAAATCCCTTTCCCAGTGGTATAGTCCAGTCCTGGCAGTCAAATCTGTTATGGATCTTTTATGGGAATTTCATCTTCCCCTTTAGCTTCCAGCTTTGCAGCTGTACAGCTAAACTGCTGGGCTTTTACTGATGGCCCATTACCCCGTTTCAGCATGACAGCACTCAATATTGCCTTGTCCTCAGCTGTCGGACACTGTCACATACCTTAAGYAGCCAGAAGATCCTCCCGGACTATCCTGCTGCTCCCTTTACAGAAGGGACTCTGTACTTTAAGATACCCTTGGAGACCCTGTGCTCTAAAGCAAAGTCTGGTCTTTACTCCTAGCAGAAGTCTCACGAAGGTCTTATCTGCCCTTCCAAACCCACCTGTGCTAAGGTGCCAGGAGCAGAGCCAGGCAAATCTGCCTTGGATCCCTGTGGTTCCTGCTGCTCCCTTCTTCCCGCACCATCCTTTGCCCTTGCAACTTCTTGGCCTGCAGCTGCCCTGGGGAGGTGTCCGGTGGCTCGAGCGCAGCCCGTTACCCCCTGCSCTCTGCTCTGCTGGGAGCTAACAGCCACAGTGAGCAGGACTATGCAAAAATCCTTGTTACAGAGTGCTAAGAACAAAGATTTTTCCTCAGAAATTTCTCAACCTTAAGGCAAGAAGGTTTAAGCATCGTAGAGCATGTATTAGAAAGCCATTTTTCTCATATATTTTTCTCYTTTAACTTCTCTCCAGGTGTAGCTTTGTAGTGTACTGAGCATGCATCTGACTTAAGCCAGGGAGGGGGAGAAAAACATGAGGTTTCATGGCTTTGTGTGCAACGCCCAGGGTAACACAAGGCAGCAGATTAATAGCGATAGCTGGTGTTTTGAAGAGGTGCACTGGGATTTTACAGTACAAGTCGATGGGATGCTGGCACACTGCTGCTTGGGAAGCGGTTCAGAGAACCTGTGATGCTCATAAGCTGAGCACAGTTACCATGTCCTAACGTGGTTCGGTGTTTCAACAGATCCAGTCACAGATGTCTGAAGTCAAGGTGGGTCTCAGGGTGGTTGTGGATTTCTTGATGGTCTCCTTCCATGGAAACATTTTCCAGTCAAGACAGACCGCTTTTTTCCAGGAAAAGAGGTAACATCTCCCATTTCTACTCGTAGCCATCACTTGCGGCCACCCCGGCAATCCCGCCAACGGCCTGACCCAAGGGAGTCAGTTCAACCTGAACGACGTGGCCAAGTTYGTGTGTAACACGGGCTACCGCCTGGAAGGAGCCTCCCAGTCCCAGTGCTTGGCCAACGGACAGTGGAGCAGCTCGCTGCCCGTCTGCCGCGGTGAGTTGTCCGCCTCGAGCCCTCGGCCACCGCTGCGGCCTGGAAGTGCCGGGCGCTGAGGAGGGCCTGAGGACCAGGAACCCTCGGCCACGTCACTCGCTGCAGGAGACTGTCCCTGCCTGCCATCTTCCCGCTCCATCCCTGGGAGCTGGGTATGGCCGGAGAGGCAGAGGAGGGGAATGCGAGTGTCAAGGGGAGCACAGAGCAAGCCTGGGGCWGGCTTGTGCTGCTCAATGAGGAGGGGAACACTGCACCAATTAATCCAAATAGGACTATCAATCTGTCTAATAGAACTATCTATCTAAGGCACCATCTCCATGCCTTCCTCATCCCTTACTCTGGGTTCCTGAAAAGCAGCCTGACACTCATAAAGTTGCATAAAATTATTGCAGTTCACCCACCAGGGTCAGACAAGTGGTGTTTGAACCCTGAGGGCCTATTTCAATGTCGAGTAATGTCTGTGATGTGCTTGTCATCCTGCCCAAAAGAGGTTTCCCCAAAGCTGTTAGAAAGCCTTGCCCAGCCCTACATCCTCCCAAGACCTTGAATTACCTGTTGTAGGTGGGAGGAGGAAAGAAAATACCAGGCCAGCCCCGTAGCAGGGGCCGCCGTGGTGACCCCAGGCCGGTTCACTCACGCAGACCTGGTGGCCCTTTCCRCGGTGCCCATCCTCCCCCCTCGCCACCCTACACCCCTTGGCATTAGCACGTGAATTGACTTCTCAGACTCCCTCCCTGCCGTGCACTCCCTTCCTCTGCATTCCCCTCATCCGCTGTCTCCCTCAGTCCTGCTTGTCTGCCRGGAAATCCGGTTCTCCCGAGCTTGCTAATGGAAGGCCCAGTCCTGCAACGGGGCCGGAGAGCAGGACACTGCTGTGAAGCCTTGTGCAAGAGCCTGCAGGATTGTCTCTGCTCTCTCTTTTTCCTTTTGTTTTTCTATTTCTACCTTAAAAAAAAAAAAAACACGAAAAAGAATAAAAAACAAACTGTGGAATAGGTGACTTGCTTCCCCCCCGCCCCTTTCCTGCTCTTTTTTACAGAATCCTTTGTTCTTTGTCACACCCTTTGTTTTGTTTTGTTTTGTCATCTGTTTGCAGTTGTAAACTGTACTGACCCTGGGCACCTGGAAAACAGCATCCGTCAAGTGCAGCCAAGCGGGCCTCACAGATTCAGCTTTGGAACAACTGTCTCATATCAGTGCAGCCACGGATATTACTTACTGGGGACCCATGTCCTTACGTGTCAGGGGGATGGCACTTGGGACCGGGCCCTCCCACAGTGTCTTTGTAAGTGCTTTAGATGAATACCTGCTTGCTCAGGGGGGTATTGCAAAGGCCCTGCTCCTCTAATGCACCCCAGGGTTTCATCCTGTGTAGCAGATATCAAGCAGTCAGAAATGTAAGTTGAGGTCAGGGGAGCTGTTCCAAAGCCCTGCTGCTTTTTCTGCTTTTGTCCTCCTCCCACACCTAGCCATGAACAGTCACTTTGGCACATTTTCCTTTGCCTTCCTTAGCAGCATGCCACCTTCTCACGTTCACAGTACCCTGCCAGGCCAGGGGGACGTGGCAAGTGATAAGTGTGCATTAAAGCAGCCCTGGGGGCTCCAAGGGAGTCGTTGCCTTTTAAAACCTAGGAGCTCGTTATCTCCAGCTCTTTCAGCTATTCAGCTAAGTAAACGTGATCTCCTTCCTTAAAACGTTGAGTTTTGGTTGATTTGGAGGATTTGTGGGCGTTCTCAAAGCCCTGGAAAATCAGGTCAGTTTTACAATCGCTTATCTGTAATCGTGGGCTTACTATTTCAAAACCTCTAAGAGAATTTGACACGTCTTTGTTTTCTGTGTGCTGAACCTAGGATGCGCATAGCGCTTTCCAAAGCCCTTGTCGCTTTAAAGTGTTTATAGCTGCGTATTTCAAACCAGAAGGCACTTTCTCCAATACAAGCCAGGAAGCTTTGTGCTAGACAATCTTGATTTCAAAATGTTGCCTAATGAGTGTTTTTGAGAAGGGAGTAAAAAAAGATTTGATAGCCTTGAGGTGGAGGGGGTGATTCAAGGAAAAGGAAATACACAGGAACAGAACCTAGTGCGTCAGAAGAAATTGTCTTCACACGGGGTGCATAAATSCTTTAAAAACCTCAGCACCGGTGCAGGTTTTTAAGCTTAGCTGTGTCTGCTGYGCTATCGGTTATTAAATTGTTAGTTACAGAGTGAGTTTAAATAGTAGCTCTCRAACCCATTTCTTTTGAGAGCCTCCTTGGCTTTAGTCACAGCTCCGTGCCGGTGTTATTTCAACGCCCACGTGCCCAAACATACACACGCTCTCCTTATTGCACCATACATCATGCGTGCCACCCAGTGTCAGGATCTGTATTTTTAGACGCTGGCAGAGGGAGCGTCTCCGTGGCGGAGCCGCGCAGTCCTTGCGCTGCGGATCCTCCTGCAACCCTCGTAGCCCCGTGAGCTGTCAGCGTATTTGTCAGCAGCCTCGCCGCCTCTGCTCCCATGCCTAAGCTAAAATAAACCAATTAATTCTTGTTAGCCGTGGTTTTAGTAGCGATGGTAGGGCGAGCGGTGCTTGCCAACTGCCAGATGAATTTCCCAAGGCAGGAGGTGCCATCCATCACCACAGGGGTTTGCAAGGACCCGCCTGGTGCCTGTCCCGGCCAGGGCTATGCGGTTGCACCAACCGAGGGAGACGCCGGGGCGCTTGGTGCGGCGCAGCCCGAGCCCCGGGCTGACGGCGGTGCCACCTCACCCACGCTCTCGTGTCTCCACAGTGGTGACCTGCGGCCACCCTGGCGCGCCGCCCCACGCGCAGGTCTCGGGGGACAAGCACACCGTGGGCTCCGTGGTGCGCTACAGCTGCCTGGGCAAGCGCACCCTGGTYGGCAACTCCACGCGCATGTGCCAGCTCGACGGGCGCTGGAGCGGCTCCCTGCCGCACTGCTCAGGTGAGCCGGGGCGCCCGGCGGGGAGTGAGGTGCCCTTGCAGCAGAGGACACGCGTGGGGCCTCTCACCGGCTGGCACGGGGCTGCACGAGGCACGGGGGAGCTGCTGGAACGGGTTTGCACGTCATTCACACCTCCACACCGAGCACTTGGGTCAAAGAGTGTAGTCCCCACTCACGTGCCAAAGTAAGGAATGCTGAAACATCCCCATGCTGAAACATCCCCATGCTGAGAACATCCCCACGAGCAAACGTGTCTCTGATGCAACAGCTATTATGAGATGCTCTCCAAGTCTTGCTGCATTCAGGGTGCTGGTGCCTTGCAGGAGAAGCAAAGACAGTAAAAAACCAGCAGGGTTTTGTGCAGAGCCCTCCCTGGGCCATCTTCTTCCTCTGCTCCTTGGAGAGTGTTGCGCAGACGGAATAAGTAGCTGGAGCAAAGCAGTTGGGACAAGTGTTAATTTTTAATTGTGCCAGTTAGATTTAGTAGCTGCACTTGACCAAGTTTAACCTCTGCTTTAAAAGGGAGGAAAGAAATGAGGTGGAGTTATCCTCACGTTTGATGTGTGTCTAGAGAGCAGAGTTCTTGATCTGTAGTCACTTGGAAAGGTTTTCTGCTCCAATTCATGCTCTTTCGCTGTGTGGCTTTACTGTCTCTCGTGCCATTTTGGGGGTGGATTTTTAGAAATACTGTTAGTCTGGCAAGTTCCAGCTGACATGGATCCTGTGGAATCCTGATTGCCTTCCTGGGGGCAGCTTTAGAGCGGTGCTGGTTGTGTTTGCTCCCTCCTGGATTCGGAGCCGAGTGAGTGCTCAGAGCTGTGATCCCCAGCCAAAGGTTGGGGAAGGGCTCTCCTATTTTACAGCAAACTCTGGAGCGAGGAAGAATGAAGCCTTTATTCTTATTCCTGTGCTTTACCTGTAGCAAGACCACACAAAATTAGCCAATATCCTGACTCCCTGTTGCCTCCTCTCATACTGCCCTGACTGGGGCCACGGCAGATGTTTCTCAAGGCCCTTTTTGCAACCCAGAGTGTGGAGGCTGAGGCTGAGATCATCTCCTGCCAAAGGTTCTCTGACATGTGGGAGATCGCTGCAGTGGGACAGAGGCTTTAGCAAGACGAAACAAAAGACTTTGGAAATAAATCATCACATGAAAGGAAAAGCAGGACCTGCAGTATTCTTCCACTCTTTATGAAAACAAATCTTTTCCCTGGAAGATGGATCCCTTTTCCTTAGGTGATGAATATGTTTGTTATATTTTCTATTACACCTAGCAGTGCAGGAGGCCCAGGAGCTGGGGACTCCTTGCTGCAGCTGCAGGAGTGCAGTTCCTCCCGGCTCGAGGGTGGATGTTTGCRCTGTTTCCACACAGCTCATTAGCAGAAAGTGCCAAGAAGCCGGTGGGAGCCCAAGCAAGGCGGCCGCTCCGCTCCTCGTGTCCCCAGGGTGTGCGCAGCTCCTACGGGCACGTGGTTCTCAGCTGGATCCCTTGCTGCTCCGCTCCAACGGCAGCAGTTCTGGCTCTRCACAAACAAGAGGCCTTGCTGAGGTGGCGGGGAGGAAGGATATCATCATCTCTGCTTGCAGGGAAACCAGCCACGTTGGCTGTTGCTGGCAAACGACCATCCTGGTGCCGGAGCAGCTGCCGCGGGCACCCGGTGCCATCTCCATCTCGAGATGTAGAAGCTCTGGCTGTGTTTCTCTGTTGGTTTGCAAGCAGCGTGCTTCCCAGGCAGGAGCTGTGCCACGGGGAATCTCCCTTCYGCGGGAAACCGGGCCCAGAGTTGCGTTGGTGGCGGCTCCTGCAGTGTTGCTCGCTGACGGTGTCCTGCTCTCTCCTGCCCAGGAGGCAGCCAGGGCGTGTGCGGGGACCCGGGCATCCCAGCACACGGCATCGGGCTGGGAGACGCCTTCGACGTGGACGGCACGGTGCGCTTCAGCTGCGAGCCGGGCTACACGCTCCGAGGGTCCTCCGAGAGGATCTGCCAGGCCAACGGCTCCTGGAGCGGCACGCAGCCCGAGTGCGAAGGTACCTTCCCCACCCTGCCAGGGCACCCTGGCTGCTCCCCGGCCACTCGCTTCCATCTGTCCCCCGAGTGTCCTCTCGTGGAGGGGGATGTGTCTTGGTCTGCACCACGTGTCCTGGTAGATGAGCAGGAATGGCCCTTTCTGGCTTCAGGTTGCTGGGTCCCCTACAGTTGAGTAATTAATAATTGCTTTGTAGAGGTCACRCACCAGAATGAGAGATTTCCAGAGCCTCAAACCTCTATTAAAGCCGGACCTGGCACATAAAACAGCCATTTACATTAAGCAGAAATGCAAAATGCAAATTAAATCTAGTAAGCATATTTTTTTCTATTAAGTACCAACACCAAAAAAAAATAGAAGAGCCTTATTTTTCTGTTTGAAAGAATAAAGCAAGACCCTGCATTCCAGCCAAGTAACACCCCCCCACCAGATCTTCTGAGCTGCACTGCTCACTGCTACTGGTTTATAAAAGTGTGTAAAATTCGATGGGGGAAGCTCAAAACGAGACAGGAAACCAGACGCAAGGAGACCTGGGCAAGTGCTTTCCTGCTGATTGGAAAGCCAAAAGCTCAGAGAGAGTTTATAGATGAATTGGAAATTTATTCTAAATTGATGGAGCTCTTGGTTGAAAAGACACTGAATTGTATTAATACACTCAAGGCTTTGTTTTTTTCATTCTGTTTTTCTTTTAGTAGAAAGGCTCTGTTAATTAAGCTCAGGATGCGTAACCCATCAGATTCCAAAGGTGTCAAAACACAGATCCCTGGCAGATATTTTTCTTGGTGCTTTATGACTAATGATAACGTTATGCCTATAACGTAGTCGTTCAGCGGTGAGTGCTGACGGGTCAGTACAGGAGCGCAGTTTGTGGGGACGCGCAGAGCTCTGCGTCGCTGCCCTTCACGTTAGGAGCAAGTCACAAGCGCAGTCCTGCTGTACCCTCCAGAGCGGGTGTTTATAGAGGCTGGAGGGGAAGGATTAATTCAGGGAGCGAATCCAGGGCAAAGGAAGCGGAGGGCTCATTGCCCAGGTGGGTTTGTGGCCCCTCGCAGCGCTGCTCGTGGTGCGAGCCGGGCAGCCTGGCCCCGCCGCCGTCCCTGCGGCTGCACAGCGAGCTCGGGGACCCTTCTGTGGTGGCTGAGCACCTGCAGCACACGGGGAAATCAGGATTGATTGGCTTGGCGGGACTGTACAACTGGGTCGAAATGAAGTTAATTGCAGAGACTCCTCTTGGGGTTCTCACTTCAGTGTTTTGTGTAGGTCAGGCTTTGTGGTCCCCAGGTTTCTAAAAAAAAAAAAATGACAGATTTCAGGTCTTGTTTGACTTTAATTTCCAGCAGGCTTTACAAGTGCTTGAACTCCRGGAAGCTGCCCACGAGCCCCCCGCACAGCCCCGCTCCGCACTGCAGAGCGGTCTGCTGGGCCGTCCCTCCTCCTCCTCTTCCTATGCCAAAGCCAGTTTGCTTTGGGGATATCAGGCATTTCACTTCTCCCACTGAAGACAAGGAGAATTATTTACCCAATTACTGCTCTCTTGCTTGATTGGATTCTAATTATGTTTAAATGATGACTTTTGAAGTTTGAACCTTTCATTCTTAAGCTTGCAGCTTTACATGTCTAGATTGTACAGATTGCAGCTGATACGCACTGAGATTAGACCGTGTTCATGAGCCTCCTGCTGCTCACAGAAGCAATATTTTGGGGTCATCTCTGTGTTTGGCCACATGCATAGGTGGAAGGGAGAGATAGCCGATGTATGAACAGGGCAGTGAAAGAGTAATTTAGAGCTTTTTCTGAGCTGATAGGATCTGGTTTTTATCCCAGCATCTCTTGGAAATGACACCTTGTATCACAGAGACGTTGACTGCATGAGAAATGTGTAACTAGAGAGCGCTGCGATGGATTCGGTGCCATGCGGCGTTCCTGAGCGTGCAGTCCGGAATGGTTATTAGTTTATTCCTGTCAAACAGATCTGCCTCCAACGGGCATGTCTGTTAGCAGGCTGTCAGCCAGCCACGYGGCAAGGAAGAGCGGGGCTGCTCTGCCCGTGGCACACGCTCCTTGCTTCCCTCCTGGGACTTAACGTCCCCGCCAGGGTTGTGCTGCGCGTGCAGGAGAAGGGATCCAGGACACCGGTGTGTGCACAAAGTGACGCTCCTGCAGGGAAGGCAGCGCGTTGCYGGGAGCCAGGAATTTCCTTGCCGGGGGAGCACATGGTGTCAGCCTTCCCTTGATTCATGTGATTTTCTGTCATGTCCTGTAATTTCCCAGTAAACGAGGGCTGGATGCAATTATTGCAGGTGCTTATTTTTTCGTGACAGGGCTTTGCGCACCATTTTTGGTGCTCCTTCAGGCTGATGCCCTCTTACTGCTGTGGTGCCGAGGTAGGACAGACATAAAACATGGGTGCTGACAAACCTGTAATTGCATTTACCCAGTGCTTTCCCACCGGAGGCAGCGGGTGAGGGAGCTCCCTTGCTGCTCCCCTTCCTCTGTAGCCTGCAGAGCTTTGGCTTCCTGCATGGGCAGGAGGGATCCAGCCCCCAAACACCTTGGAGATGGAGGGACACCAGGCTTGGCACCTCCTGCTTTACAGAAGGGTAGAAACAGGGCTGGAATAGAGCTAGAGTAGTGTGTGCATTGCTAGCTGCGATGTCCTGTCTGGACCTGAGCATCTTTGGGGTATAAAGCTGGTTCTTCCTTCAGCTGGGGCCTTTGACACAGCAAATTTTGACCAAAATTGCCTGGTGTGATGGAGTAGGCTTTGCAGCAAAGCTTATCTCTATTGAGAGTTGTCAACTGATGGATGAAAACCTTACTTTTAATTAACGTTGCCATTTTGCTTTCCAGTTATATCCTGCGGAAACCCAGGAACCCCCAGCAACGCAAGGGTGATATTTAACGACGGCTTGGTTTTCTCCAGCTCCATTATCTACCAGTGCCGGGAAGGCTATTACTCCACAGGGGTGCTGAGCAGGCACTGCACCGTGAACGGCACGTGGACCGGGAGCACGCCGGAGTGCACGGGTGAGCGCGGGGCGGCTGCGAACGCGCCAGCACCGCAGCTCAGCGGCCTCGTGTGGGTGCAAACAGGCGGCCTGCGGTCTCTACACTCCCTAATGGAAAGCTCTTGCTTTGGATTTGGTTCGTTTTGTTTGTCTGGTTGAGTAAAGGGCCCTCTCCTCAGCTCCTGAGCAGTGCCAGGCTCTTGGGCTGTGCTGAACGGGAGTGTTGCTGCCCGGAGCATTCGGTGCCAGCAGCCCAAATGTGTACGAGCCCAGCCGCGAATGTGCCACATTTCTTCATGGCCCAGACCTGCTGCTGCCAGCCACGTGCAGCGTGGCAAACGTGCTCTTGCATAAGAGACACTAACTAGGCTAAGGGGAGGAGGAGCAGCCATGTGCCAGCTACGCCAGACCTAGCCYAGATTTGACCCAGGTGTTCTTTAATGTTTAATGTATGTTAATACTTCTTGTAAGGTCTTAATGTGCCRTTAACATCCGTGTTCCCTTCCCTGGATAGAGCAAAGCTTTCTCTGTGCACTGCAGCCCTTCCTGCTCCTGCTGGCACAGCCCTCCAGCCTCTCTGTGCTAAAGGCTCCCTTTTCTGCAATTAGGGCAGTAGTGCTCCCCAGAAAACACTGGGGGGACCATCAGGGGTTGCAGTTACTGCAGATTCAGGACCATGAGACAAGGAATGGTCAGAAATGCGTATTTATTCTGCTTTGGCAGTGATCAACTGTGGCGACCCCGGTGTGCCAGCCAACGGCATCAGGCTGGGCAGCGACTTCACGTACAACAAGACGGTGGTGTTCCAGTGCACGCCTGGCTACATGATGGAGTCGGACAGGGCCTCCTCTCTGGCTTGCACGAAAGACCGAACCTGGAACGGCACCAAACCTGCCTGCAAAGGTGAGACCGGTTGCTATAAATAGCCGAGGATGTAAGTTTTAGAGGCCGCAAACTTTCTGCAACTTGTGACAGGGTAATAGGCTGTTAAGAGAAACTACTGCCAAGTGCCTGGAGCCCACCTGTGAGTTTGTCAGTCCTATCATTCAATATGTACCCTGTGTTTATGGCACTTAGGCAATTTTTTCAACATAGCATGAACGCCTTGCCATCTTTAGGTGTATCAATCATCGCAACATGCCTGGGAGGGAGAGAATTGCTATTATCCCTCCAGTAGAGAGGGAAAAGTGAAGCACAGAGAGCTAAGTGACTTATTCGTCACAGAAACTCAGGTCAGGCCCAAATGAAGTGCACTGTTTTGCAGGCACGCACTTTTTCAGCATTATCTAGAAGTTTGAAAAATGCATCTTCCAACTCCTTTCCTTATTTCTTTATTCTCAGATTGCCTCTGTAGTTTGAAGATAGGAAAGAGAAATAATAGAACAGTTGCAGGACAGGCTGGATCTTTCCTGCCAGTGTTTTACTCATCCACCGAGTGTAGATAAGGCTTGTAGCAGAATCTGTTTACTTTGCCTGTTGCAATCTGGAAAATATACCTGTCAGAATGCTGATAGAAATGCAGACCATGGGAAGACTTCCAAATACCCTCCAGTTCTTTCAGAGGCTGAAAAGAACAATTCTTCTGCTCCTTTTTCACTCTCACCACTGAGCTAATGTTGCAGGAATCCTACAGAAGGTGACCAGGTCTCATTCGGAAGCCAGGCTAATTTAAATGGGCTTAGTGTCTTTCCCAGTGTTCCCCTGAGCTAGAAAGCAAAGCACTGCAAAAATGTCATATTAAAATGCCCCAGAGCAGATGAAATACAGACTAGTTGTTGATTTGACTGCTTATCCCAAACTCAGCCAGGCTGTCCAGAATCTATGAATCTTTCATCCTTGATGAGTTTTCATACTAAGTCAGGTTTCGTTCTTAACTTGCCTTGGAAACGGATACAGACTCAGAAATCTGACTTGGAGATGTGGGATTTGGTTAACTCCAAACTTCAAAGTAAAATCCTGTGGTTTACAACACAGCTGGAAAAGTTTTCACGGACCCTTTACTACCCCAATCCTAAGAGATAGTCTCTGAGAGCAGACTATAACTTTGATCCTACATGAATTTCCTTGTTAACGGAAAGAACTATGCATAGAAGAAGTTGCGAGGGCTCATTGTGCTTCTGTTTTTTGCTCAGCTATCATCTGTAAATCCCCCCAAGCCATTCCCAATGGGAAAGTCGTAGGCTCGGATTTCAGCTGGGGGGCCAGCGTGAGCTATGCGTGCTTGGAAGGATACCAGCTTTCCCTGCCCGCCATCCTCACCTGCGAAGGCAACGGCACTTGGAGCGGAGAAATCCCACAGTGCTTCCGTGAGTAGACAGCCCTGCAGTGCCTAAAGTCTGCTGAGAGCAGGGCTCTTAAAACTACCAACAGCCTTAGAGGAGATATTTGGAGGAGGACACTCTGTTCTTGCAGCAGAGGGGATATTTTAGGGCTGTTTTCAGAGGGCAGAGCTTTGCCTGGGTGGAACTTGTCGGCTTGATATAATAGCTAATACAAAAAATTAGTTAAATGCCTCATAATAATAAAGCCAGATGTAAGTTCTTTTCTTGGCTGAGTAGCTGGCAGCTGCACAATAGCCATTTTCATATTAAATCATAGAAAGCCCTGACTGGGTTCCTTACACCTTTCCCTAGATCTTATATAATTAGTGGGCTTTCTTTGTGACACAGAACATAGCAATTTGACATGGCACAATTAGAGGTACATTTTAAAGCTAAGCATATCGTTATTAAAAAAAAAAAAAAAAAAGAAAAAGAAAGGGAAAAAACAGTGGAGAAAGGGGAAGTTAATTAACAGCAATTGACAGAAATGCAAAATTGCAAGGAAAGCAGCTAACAAAACCTATCACTAGTAATTTCCTAAGCATCCGCAGAGCTTTATGGCAAGGAGTGGTCAAGTGGGGGGCATTAGCAGACCCACCTTTAGCTTATTGCTGCTTGCTGTAGAGGCGCCCTGTCACAACCCTCTGGTCTCTCTGCTGTTCCAGCTGTGTTCTGCGGCGATCCCGGGATACCAGCGCAGGGCAGGAGGGAAGACAGAGGCTTCACGTACCGCTCCTCCGTGTCCTTCTCCTGCCTCGCCCCACTCGTGCTGGTGGGCTCAGCCCGGCGCTTCTGTCAGTCCGACGGGACGTGGAGCGGCACCCAGCCCAGCTGCATAGGTGAGAGGAGACCCCTCTGTCTCGCAGGTGGAGGCGAGGAGCTTGGGCTTGGCATTTTGCTTTTCCCTTTCCTGCAAACTCGTTTTTCTGGCCCATGTTTAATAAATTAGCATTTTCTGTTTTTGTGAAAACAGGAGTATTTTCCATTTACAAAGGATGATGCTTTTGCTGACTGCATTAGCAGGTGCCTAGCTCCCCCGCCTTATTCTCTCCCCCGCTGCCAGTGGTGGTCAATACATCATCCATCCCAGGAAGACAGTCTTCTCCCATCAAAAGGCTGCTGTTCTGCTCCCAGAAACCTCGCCAAAGAACAATCTACCTAAAGAGTGTGTGTTGCTGCTTGTGTGTTCTCTGAATTGTATCCAGAACAGCAGAAGAGCAACACCTAGAAGTATCAGAAGTATCAAGGTGCTGTATACAGAGAACTAAAGCCTAAAAATTGCTTTACGCTTCTGCAGTGTGGAGATCAAGATTAACATTTCCACACTTTCCTCGTGTGCCTGTTTTCTGGGGCTTCCAAAACCCTCTGAAATCACAGGGTGGCCTATAATCATAATTAGTCACAGCATTCTCAGCCAATTTAAAACTCTGGCTACAGTCTTGAACTTGGGGGCTCCTGTGGTGATAAATTGTGCAGGCTACGTGCTGTTTGTCTTAACCTTCTATGTGAATGCCACCATAACCATAGCGTCTGGGGCAGAAACAGATTTTGGACTGTTCTCTGCTGTTTCACTCTTTCTTTCTTGCTAGCTACATCTTAGATGCATCATCAGGTACATGTATTTTAAAAAACTCATGGCCAGCTTTTCCACGTCTTCTGTCTTCCTCTCGATATCACCGTGAGCTTCATACCTCCAGAATGTTTGGAGCTGCACCATGCTCTTGGGAATGTTGGCCTTAAATGCTAGTGTTGGGATTCTCTCCTAAGCTTCCTCACTATTTCATGGGATTCTGCCATAAATTCATGGCATGTCCTGCTCTTGGGTTGTGTTTGGAACTGCGCGGCTGAGCACAGCGAGGAGTTGCTTGTGCTGCTGCTGAGACATCCTTTGAGTTCATCTCGCCCACAGAGATGATGGGAAGGGACAAGACTTGCACATGTACAAACCCCTGATCTGAAACACCAGTTTTCACCATGGGCAGGCAAGGCCCAAATGTTGTATTTATTCAATTCTTAGCTATTTTTGAGGCATGTCAGATAGCCAGCACCATCAGACCCCCCAAATGCAGCCGGGAGACTTAGCCTGTCTGCATTTCACCCTGTGCAATCCATCACCTTCCACCTCATCCATTGCATGGGGCTCTTTATTTATTTATTTAGGCACTGTGATTTATCTGGAGGCTTCCATGGAAACTGCATCAGTGATAAATGACAAAAGCACAGCCAAGCTGAATGACAGAAAATGAATTAGTTTGTGTGGTGCAGCCCCAACTCGGCAGCCTTTCGTGTTCTTTGTTCAGTGACTCACCAGAGCTCCAAGGACCTGGGGAGAACGCGAAGAAATGGGTAATGCACAGAGTGAAGAGGCTGATGAGTCAGGTCATAAGGAATAAAATCATAAAAATGAAAACACAACCCGTTAAATAGAGAAGTCAGGCTCCATTTTCCTGTAGCTGCAACAAGAAGCGACAGGTTGTGTCTGTTCCCCCGCTGTGGTGGATGGCAGAGACTTTCCGTAGAGAGTTTATTTCTTGTCCTTCACAATCATGTTAACTAGAATATGTAAAATAAAGCATAAAGAGGGCCTTGCCTTGGGAGAGATGATCCATCTCTGAGCAGTGTTGAGTGCATTGAGGAGAAAAAAAAGACTCGGGTTGCAGAGCAGGCTCTCGTCTGGCTTTGCTGCCGAGACAGTGTGTCAGGACGAGTTGCCTGCAGGGAACTCAGCCCCCAGGTCTCCAGCTGGTCTCAGCTCTGTGCAGAAGGAGCTTTCCAGCTTTTCTCTGACGTCCTGAGCTCGTGCTCCAGTGGTGCTGATGTGCTAAGGCAGGAATCCTGGTGATGCAGGAATCCTGGTGGAGAGGGCCGGGTCTAGGGGAGGGTGTTTGTCGGGTGCTGCTGCAGCTGCCTCTCAGATGGGAGACCTCAAATCTCGAGCTTCCTGTGCTCGGTGCCGATGGAAATGCAATACATCTCTGTCCTGATTGTGTCGATCCCCTGCTACTGTCTGCACGTTGGAAAAAATAGGAAGTGATAGATGCTAGAAGGGGTGCAACAGGTATTCCTGCTGAATTGAGCTTATTCATCTTCTGATAGAGTGAGACCGAATGAGGCGTAGAGGGAGATTATGTATCTGAGATACGTTAACATTTCCAGCCCCCATCTATCAGCACGGAGCAGCAAGGTCCCTGGGTGGGTGAGTGACAGCGGAGCGAAGCCGCGAGGTCTGACGTGTGGCCCAGGAAAGGACAAGGTTGGTGCCACCCTCGCTGGGGCAGGGGAAGAGCCAGGGCAGGGAGGGTGCAGCACCAGCGAACCATGTGCTTTACTCCAGGTATATAGAATGGAGAAGGGAAGAGAGATCTCCCTGGCACAAGATTAATGTTCTTCTGTCTTCTCCTGAGTCACAGAGTGCCTCTGGTTAGGCTGTCAGAACCATCAGGGACTTTAGGAACAAAAATATCCATGTCTTTTTCCCTGTTGCTGTGTGTTCCTTGTGCAGCAAAATACTGCTGCCTTGCTGTGAAGATGCAGAATGGGCTTTCTGGGCGGAGAGCGAGAGGGGAACAGAGCTCCATGCATCTTCCACAACCACTCCTTTAAACTCTGTGTGTGCTCTTTCCTTTCAAGACCCCAGCCTCACGACGTGCGCGGACCCCGGCGTGCCTCTCTTTGGGACGCAGAACAACTCCCAGGGCTTCCAGGTAGGCGCCGGCAGCGCGGGCCGAGTCCTTACCTGGAATAACGCGTCTCCCCGCGCGCAGGACGTCGCGGCGCGCTCCGTGACACCTCGCCGTGCAGTTGTACTGGATTAGCTCGCAATGCATTATTTATGATATTAATTACAGTGCTAATTAATAGTTATTAGTGTAATTAGCATTCACATCAGAGGCCTAATTTCCATTCGTTCCCAGACTAAATCCTGTAGGTGGTTTTACTAATCTCAGCTCCCATACAGTCAGAAGTCAATGAAATGGAGAGCAGCAAAGCAAAGCAATTCCCCAGCGCCTTCCACCTCCGCCGCCCGCGGCCTCCCCGTCGTGTGCGGCCGTGGGAAGGGCCGCGCGGCCGCGAGGCTTAATTCTGTGCAGCTGCTCCTGCCAGAGCAGATCTCTTCAGCTTTGCTGCTAATTAGTTGTCTTAATCTTGGGCTTTCGTGACTTCGTTCTAGGGTTTAACGGGTGATAAAACCTGACTGCGGGGTCTGCGAGGATGTGGCAGCGTGTTCACGGTGCAGCCTCGCTAGGGAGGACGGGCAAGATGTTCCAAGCCCTACTTGGCAGTTTTATTTGCAGCATATTCTGGTTTTAAAGCATAAACCAGTTAAAATAATGTAGATCAAAGCCAGGCTCTGTCATTGTGCCAGCCTGTTTGAAGCATAAAGCGGGCCTGACAAATCCACCTCCGTTATCTTACGGAAACAAAACGCAAAAAGTAGACAGCCTTCAGAAAGCAAACATACCACAAAAATGTTGCAAAGGCGGTTGTCATTTTTTGTCATCCTTTTCACCAGTCGCAGTCCAAACTGGCATTTACAATACGAGTGAAGAGTGTTTGGTTTTACTAGTTATTCTGAATATCCCTTCTGACAAAAATTTCAACCATTTCTAAATACCAGCTGTGCCTGTTGCCAACTTGGGTGTATTTATGTGATGTAAAAACCTTGCCTATTCTCACCATCTCAGAATAGAGAAGGGGGAAACTAGTGATAGGACAAGGGGCAATGGATATAAGTTGCAACCCAGGCAGTTCCATCTCCATATAAGGAGGAACTTCTTTGCTGTGAGGGTGCCCGAGCCGTGGCACAGGCTGCCCAGGGAGGCTGGGGAGGCTCCTTCTCTGGAGACCTTCCAAACCCACCTGGATGCGACCAGGTGCCCCATGCTCTGGGTAGAGATCTAGATGATCTCTAGAGGTCCCTTCCAACCTCAGCCATTCTGGGATTCTGTGCAAAGCTACATGTATTTTATCATAAGTGTGGGTGATTTATAATACACTGAAAAGTTTGGGGGCTTGTCTCTTGTCGAAACAGGTGGGGAGCGTCATCCTTTTCAAGTGTCAGAAAGGATACCTGCTGCAGGGCTCCACCACCAGGACCTGCCTCCCCAACCTGACGTGGAGCGGCGTGCAGCCCGACTGTGTCCGTAAGTGCGGGGAGAAGCTTCCCGGGCTACAGAACATGCCAACCCACAATCAACCAACTTAGCTTTGATTTCAGGTGCATATTTTAACTTGTCCCCTCCCTAGAGAGGCAATTTAAGGTGAGCCTGTTGTTTTGTGGTTCTGAAACTGTATTTGATGGCAAAAACATGACCTTGCGCTCCAGGGACCAAGGTTAAGATTTAGCCAGAAGGCCTTTCCGGCATGAGGATGTTTCTCCTGGTTTTTAATAACTTGTTGCTCTTTCTTTCAAGCAGTCCATCATCCCTTCCCTGCTCTAGCAAAAGGAGTTTAATTTAGCGTATTCAAACTGTAATATCCATCATGGTCTCTGTGTCATCATAGGCATTAAAATGCTTCTCCCTCTCCCTTGTGAGATGCTTTATTGGCAAGAGGTGTTTGGATTAGCGAGCCCTGCTGGGCCAGCTCTTGAGAGCAGCCCAATGCAGCCTCTCTCTGCTGAACTGGAAGGTTGCAGGGGTGAAGGAACAGCCTTAGATTTAAGCGGGGTTTAGCTGCTGTTGCTCAGTGCACTGAAAGAGAAGCAGCACTTGTGGCTCTGCGGTGCTGGCGAGAGCGGCAGGTTGTTGGCTTGAGGTTTTCCATAGAGTCTCCTCCACCTGCAGCGGGCCAGGGCAGAAGCAGAGGCAGTTGGGGCTGTGCTGCTGGGCTGTTAGCCCTTCCACCTTCCTGGCTTTTATATTTCAGCCTCTGCAAAGTGAGCATGTAGATAATAACGTCGTGAAGGCTGCTGAGGATTTGCTCCCATTCATGCGCAGTTGGAGAGCTACAGCAAGGGGAAATTTACAGTGCGGGTGAGAGAGCGCTTCCTGCCTCCATGATTTATTAGCTCCATGCCGTAACTTCTCAAGGCAAACGGTGGCACATTTACAGCGGGCCCTGGCAGCAGGCCCTGCACGTGCTCTCGGTGGCGGCACGGAGCTGGACAAGCCCATCGTGGATTCCTGCACGCCAAATCCCCAAAGCTAGTGAGCAATTACGGGAATTTATGCCTCTTGCACCCTTCTGAGGACTTGCTCCGTGATGCTGTTGACAGGCAGGTGCAAATCCTTGGGAAGCTCCATCCTGCACGGGAGGGGAGGAAGTATCTGCATCCTCAGCCCTCGCTGCCTCCACCGGCCAGCCTTCAACAGGCTCTGAAGGCAGCTCTGCTGCGGCACTTTCTTCCTGGGGCAAGTGATGGGGGTGAAGATAAGAGGAGGGAGAGCACCCACACTCTCTTCTTCTTTTTCCCAAGTATAATTAGAAAGAAAAGCATTAAAATCACTTTTTTCCCCCCTGCTTAGAGGCAGCTGTCATCAGGTGGCCACAGGACATTGTCTTCTGGTTAGCTTCAGGAGAGGAGCTGGAATTTTCTTCTCTTACATGTTAAACACAAAATCTTCAGCCTTATTCAGTTATAAGGGTTTTTGTCCTTTGAAAGCAGGAGATAACAGAGCCCAATTTTCAGTTCATGGAAGCTGGAACTGAATGAGGGTTCCCCCGAGAGCCTTAGGCAGAAAGAACAATCTAGCCAGCGAGGCGAGGGAAATGGTCTCATTAATTCATCCGGCTGGGAAAAATCCAGGCATGGCAGGGTCTCCCTCAACGATCAGAGAAAGTGTTTGCTGGAAAAGCTCTTCCAAGTGAATTCGGGCCCTGCTGGCATCGTTGGTGTCGGATGATGTCCCTCATCTCCATTTTTCCTGTGCTTTCAGCTCATCACTGCAAGCAGCCGGAGACTCCTTCCCACGCCAACGTGGGTGCTCTGGATCTGCCGTCCCTGGGCTACACCCTCATCTACTCCTGCCAGAGTGGCTACTACCTCACGGGAGGCTCCGAGCACCGGACCTGCAAAGCGGATGGCAGCTGGACGGGGAAGCCACCCATTTGCCTCGGTAAAAGCTCTGGGTGCCCTAGCCCATCTCAGCTCATATCATCTTTATTCCCTATAATGCCGAGGCTGTTTAGGCTTTCCTGTGTTGGCAGTGCCCCAAGAGGAATGTTGCGTGCTGCAGTGTTAATCAGTGTTAATGAGCTCCGGGTTTGTGCTTCCCTTGCAGCGGACGTCCGGCCGAGCGGGAGGCCGATCGGCACCGCGCGGGACCCGCCGCTCGCCAAGGTGTCAGGTACTGTCGTGGGGCTTTGTGTGCAGAGAGGGGCTGGAGGGTGGCATCTCACACCTGCCCCATGGCAAATGAGCGGTGCCATCTCGTGTGCCCGGCCCCGTCATGCTCCAGTGGAGATGAGCAGAGGCCTCGAGGGAGCCGGGCACCCACTGGCCACCCCACGGCACCCTCGAAACTCCAGCCCTCCACGATGCTTCAGATCAGAGCCCTTCTGAAATGGTTTTATTCTTTTTTTTTTAAACTTTTTCTAAGAACCTGTTTTTGCTTTTTGTTTGTTTTTAAAATTTTCAAGGCTTTTTCTTGTCAAAACAACAAAATGAATGTCATCAGCTTGTTTATTCTCTTTGGTTTCTTTTTTGTACTCACTGATGAAAAAGCAGAGAGTGGGTGGGATCTGAGGTATTTAAATAGGTATTTGTGGATTGAGAAAGAAAGGGATTTGTTCTGTTTTGATTCCTGAAGAATAAAAACTAAATGACAATGCTCTTTCCTCCTTTCTGTGGCCTATTCCGTGGTCTCTAGTGCCTGCAGATGTGTTTGCTAGGAATTCCCTTTGGAAGGGCTCCTATGAGTACATGGGGAAAAAGCAGCCTGCAATGCTGTCTGTCACTAGCTTTGAGCCTGCCACCGGTAAAGTCAACGCCACCTTGATAGACCACAGTGGCGTGGAGCTCCAGCTGTCTGGTAAGGACCCGACACCGGCGGTTTCGGGAGAATTACACTCACGGTGTTGTCACGTCGTTCGCCTTTGATAAGCAGCAGCGGCACAAAGCAAAGGACGCTGTACCCTGTTATCTGAAATACGTTGATTTTTTGACAGCGTTTGACAGAACCACCCGGTTTTGAAGTCTCTGATCTTTGACTGGACCAAAATGAACAGAATTGTGTACCTGGGTTTGCTTTGGCTCCACCTGAAAGCAGCTTCAGCCAGGCCACACTCTGTTCCCTTTATGCCAGAGTGTTTGTAGTTTAATGCAAGCAAGAATGAATGGCATGAGTACTGTTGTCCCTGTCCTCTGTGGAGCACCATGCTGTTACCGGTCCAGTAACATTAGCAAAACATTAACAGTTGAGTCTCTTCCCAAGCACAAAATAGCTCTAATATCCAGTGTTTTGAGGGGGACTACCTACAGGGTTGTGACTTTGTGGTCTGTCTCCTGGTATTTCTTAGCAATAGGTTTACAGGAGGTGTTGCCCTCTCTAAGAAGATAAGCTAGTCTCTCTACTCCCTGAAGAAGAAAGTTAATAACGTTGAACCCAGATGGGTTTTTGGGGGCATCTAATGATTAAGCATTGTATATTTTCCAGGCATTTACAAGAAAGAAGATGTTCACCTGCTTCTCCAGGTGTATCAGATTACGGGGCCAGTAGAGATGTTCGTCAACAAGTTCAAAAACGATAAATGGGCTCTCGATGGACACGTAAGTGCATGGAGATGTCATACACAGAGTAGCTGGTAGCAATATTAGACTGTTAATCATCCAGGGACCAGCTGGCCTGCAGGCTATGTGGGGCATTCAGCTGTCAGTTCTTCCCTGCTCCCTTCCAGCCCTGTGTTTCCTGATTGCCCTGTGTTTTTAAATCTGTAAGTCTTCCAGTTAGCACTAAAAGACAAACCAACATGACTAATTCCATTTTAGCATTTTATGTCTGTTAAACATTGAGCTGGAAGAGCTAATCTTCCCTCATGGAGTGAACTTCTCACCCCAATTTCTGTGTCTGGTAACTTCCTATGCCCTTAAGAGACCCGCTGAAGCTTGGAAGAAGTGTGCATCTCATTGACCCCTGGCCACTTGTAGCCCAGAGCTATTGCTCTCCTCTTTGAATAGCAATATGGTGTATAGCTTATTGCAAACAAGATTTTTTTCCCCTTGAGAACTGAGTCTTAGCAAGTTGTCGGGCAGTTGGACTTCCTGAGAAATACCAGAGTTTCTGTGCAGTTGAATTGAAATTAATGCTGGGCATGAAATTGAAAGGGACTACAAACATAGAGCTAACTGCTCATAAACAGTTGGTTAGAGTAAGGTCTCAAGCAAATCCCAGCTGCCCTTTTACTGGAGCTCTTATTGGGAGCTAAGGGCTAAACTTCATGTGCCGTGGCAAACAGCACCTTAGAAGAGCGTGGAATAGTTTGCTTGCTGTGTTTTATGCCCTAGATTATTTTTTTGTGGATCAGATTTAACTATGAAGTACTTAGTTGCAGTCTGCATTTTCATATGGGATATCGTAGCACACATGTCCAAATCCTTCCCAGGCCTCCAGGCTCCCTTGGCCTTGAGTCTCCCCAGGCACCGGTATTCATAGCAAGGTCTGCAGTCATAACTGCCAAGAAAATTGTAGCTTCAGTACGCTTTGTAATTACTGTAAAGTGGTTTTTATGTGGACACTTCGGTCTGTAACTACGAGCAGACATGGGACCCAGGGACAGAATGGGTGTTAACAAGCCAGGAAAATGTTGAAAAATCCATTAATCCCTGCCCGCTGTCATTACAGGTCTCATCGGAATCATCAAGCGGCACGTTTGTGTACCAGGGCTTTGTGCGTGGCAAAGGCTTCGGGCAGTTTGGCCTTCAGAGACTGGGTAAACTTTCTCTTGATGTCTCTTTTTTGCCTTCATTGCTGAAAGCTGAGTTTTAGTGGTCGTGGAGATTTTTTGAGCTTGAAGCCCTTTTGCTGTCCCTGGCTTTAATTCTTGGTCCGGCGGGGCCAAGGCTGCAGCAGGGGTGCAGGGGAAGAGGGGCCATCACCTCTGCCTTGATTCACACTGTGCTGTCACCCAGCACACGAGGAGGGAGTCCCAATCACCAGCATTTCCTCCGTGGAGGTTGCACTTTTCTGGCCTCCGATTCCAGCCTGCTCAGTGGTTGCAGCAGCTCTGCCCTAGCTTGTGTTCAAACACTAAATGCATTAAACATCGGACATTCTGACCACAAGGACTAAACCTTTCCTTGTCTTGGATAGCACAAGATGCCAGGGAAAACAAACAATACATCTTAACAGCAGCGTTTTTAACTTGGGAGCTTAAGTGAGGAGTTTAAATAAACAGGTTTCTATCTGAAGAGAGTAAGAGCTTTGGAGATACAAACCGTGTCTGTGTTTTTCGTGTTACTAGATACCTCATCTAAGCTCCCCAAGACCCATTACTACTACAGAAAGCATCTCCATTTCACCTTAAGAAATCTCTGAGGCACATGAAAGCTTAAACCACCTAAGGCCCGAGCTCCTAAATCTCTCTTAAAATGTGACTTGATCTCTTAGATCTGTTCGGAGTTTTGGAATCTGACCCCTGAGCCCTGTCACTTTTATAGGGAATTAGCTGCACTTTATTCCAGGCTTTGGAGGTCACTCTTAAAGCCTAACTTAAAGCTTCCAAGTGGCCACATTTTTGCAGAATAGCCTATTTGCATTTCTGTTTAATTGCACTTTTAAGCAAATGATGATGCCCAAAGTAAGCAAGCTAGATGTCCAAACTATTCTGCATGCGACTTAAAGCATTGATACCTTTTACAGGAAAACTTGCAACTGTGTTGTTCTCTTATGAAAACGTAACCTGTAAACTCAAGCCAACCACATTTCTTGCAGCTTAGGTGTGAAATGTGTTTGTGTTGTGTTTCAGACATCAGCATGATTGAAAATGATCCAGAATCAATAGGACACCATTTTGCATCAAACAGCAGTTCTGTGGCAGCTGCCATTCTTGTGCCTTTCATCGCCCTGATTATTGCAGGGTTTGTGCTTTATCTCTACAAACACAGGTAGGTGTCAGGAATGACGCCAGCAAGGGAAATAACTTAAGGGGGCTGGCAGAAATATTTGTGTTCTTGGCTTGCGAGTGACCCCCGGTTCCCTCTCAATTCAGGAGGTGAAAAAATAATGGAGCAAGTATGTGTGGAGGGGGGAGAGTATTAGGAGAATGTTCTCATCTTTATGACCACTGATAGAATTTGTGGCGACCTCAAGGAAGATAAAGCCAAGTAAATTCCACACCTCAACATTCACAGTGGCTGTGTGCATGTTCTAAATTAGTTATGTCTCGTGGTGGGTGTGTTGCTGGGCCATGCAGAGGAGGACCATGTAGGTTGGCTGCTCTGCTTGGGCCGTATCAAGGCCTGGAGAGCTCCCTGTGCTGCAGTTCTCTAGGAAGGTTTGCTGTATGGCCCTTCTGCCTCACCCCGGCTCTCCCACCTCCTTCAAAAGCAGCTTTTCCCTTAGGCCTACCCAGGTCTGGCGGCTCTTTATGGCCACGACCTCTCTGGCTTTTCCCTTCCCCTGCAGGAGAAGACCCAAAGTCCCGTTCAACGGCTACGCGGGCCATGAGAACACCAACGTCCGAGCCACGTTTGAAAACCCGATGTACGACCGCAACCTGCAGCCCACGGACATCATGGCCAACGAGACGGAGTTCACAGTGAGCACCGTGTGCACCGCTGTATAGCGCTCGTCCCGCCGTGCGGTGAGTGCCCGCGCGCTGCAGTCCTCTCCTCGTCCGGCCCACGCAGGCTGGGATTAAAATCCCGCCTAGCGAACGAGCAGTGTCATTTTGGGGCCCAAAGAAGCTGTTGTCACCTTTGCTGGAGTTTTCATGTGGAGTAACAAACTGTTTGTCTCTCTCTGCCGCTTTGCCCTGCCCCAGACCCCTCCGGGTGGTACCTCGCCAGCCATCGTGTTTCACCCCCCCAGTCCCCATCCGTCCCGGCCATCTCCCCGCTCCCGACCTTGCCGAGGCTGCGGAGAAGCGGCTGCTCCTGGCTGGACTCGGCGCCGGCTCCAAGCGACGACGGCCGATGGGCGGCAGCTGGGCCCGGGCCCACCAGAGGGGCTGCTCCAGCCCCACGGCCCCCCAGGACCCTGCGTGGCACAGGGGCACCGGGCAAGTCGAGCGGTAGGAAGCCTCTTAGGAGCTGAATTTGGGCCGTTTTCCAAGAGGGAATGGCAGCATCCTGGGTGCACAGACAGCTGCTCCGCGCTCGTGGGCAGAGCTCACACGACAGGGGCAAATGCAGGTTTTGCTGCACGAGATGCCCATGGGGTCAGTTCGGGTTGTGGGGCACGGTGAGTTGCCGCTCTGTGTTTGATTCTGTGGTTCCTCGTGGGTTTGCATCATGCAGGGTGTTTTGCAGAGGAAGAGTTTCCACACGGGAAATTTGTGCAAGAGAAGCAAAATTTTTCCAGTTTTTCTCCTCTCCCCCAGATTTAACTTTCTTCTCTAGATTCTAGTTTGGTTTCTTCTGCCTTGTATTAATTTTAATGTCATTTCTTTGGAAACTGAGGCCACTTGCTGGGCTGATGGGGAGACCTCTGCCCATCCCTGGCCTTCTTGTACTACTGTCAGATATAGCAGCCCTCAAACACCCCACCAAGAAGCTGCTTGTGGCCAGGAAGGCGCAGAAACCTCTTCAAAAATAGCTCTAACAAATACTGATCCCCCCCAGTACCATTCAAAACCCTTTGCCCTTTCCGCACTGATCCTCCAAATGGCAATGCAATAAGAGTTTTAATTTCTATCCCGAGCTGTTGGCTTTTATTTCCCTGGGGCAGGAAGGTTGGCTCGCCTTGCCTGAGCGCAGATAAGGCAGCTTGACATTTCTCGCGCCGCGGAAAAGGCCGGTGCTCCGGTGACAACGCCGCCCGCCTCTAATAAAGCAGAGAGCTGCTCGTGTTGGCTCGGGGCTTTGGTGTGTTTGGTTTGGGTGGCACTGGGCTGGCCTCAGCTGCAGGAACGTGGTGCCCGGCTCGGCCGCGAGCCCCTCTGCAGCCCCCAGGAGCTCTGTCCTGTGGAGGATTGGAGGGGACACAAAATTAAAAGGCACGAGGTGGTGGTTCCGTCATGTTTTCTTCTAAACACTGACTTCCCCCCACCTAGTGTCAGCTGAGATTTGGCCTAACGAAACCACAAGGAGATTATTTTTCTAGTTCTGTTTTCCCTCTTACTTGTGTACGTGCAAGCGTCTGCATATATATATATAAATATGTGTGTTTTTACCCCTGTCTCTCATTTGGAGCCTGTGTGCTGGCCCCAAAGGGTGCAGAGGCATCGGGATCTGGCTGGGCGGGCGCTGCTCCCGGGCGCTGCCGCGGGACGGGGCCACGTTGCCCGCAGCCCGGTGCCCACGCGGCTCCTGCCACGTCGGTGCAGGTGGTTTTGCCAGAGGAGAGAAATCCCCTGGGAGAGGCGAGATGGACCTGGCACACACGGATAACCATCCAGCAGTAGCAGCCCCCCCGTTTGCATTGCTCCGAATCCCCCTGCCCCAGTGCAATAGCCAGGAGCCACGTGGGCAAAGGGCACCCCAGGTGTTTTAAGAGCAAGGTAGGGAGAGCGGAGGCTCCGTTCACGCAGGACTTGCTGCTTTCAGCCCATTGCATCCCATTTCCCGCTGCTGCCCCGGCAGCCGAGGCAGTGGAGGACGAGGTGGGCGGGAGGTGGTTCCATTTTTTGCAAGCTGGGACCCGATGTGTGACATTCTCCATTCTCCTGCCCAGCAGATTTGCATTATGTTAAAAAAGAGAAAAAAAAAAAGGCAAAACAAAAAAAAAAGAAAAAAGAAAAAAAAATCCCTCTTTTGTACAGAGATATATTTTTATGAAGCAAAAGTTTGTACAGTTAAAAAAAAAAGACACAATGTAAATTTTTTTCATTATTGTAGTAAACAGTAGTGGAAGATCAGCTTTTTTTTGTAAATGTAATAAAATGTATAAATATCGTTTACATAAAAGTGTAAATATGTAATCTATACATACACTTGGCTTGTCTGCAATATATACAGTTTAATTTATCTGTCTCTGTATATGAGGCTTTTCATTGTGTCCAGGCATACTTTACTGAATTTGAAAGCTATTTTAAATTTTTGAATTAAAATAAAATATAAATTTTTGCATTGCTTTTCTTACATTTTTCCCGGTGCCTTTTTCCTGAGCTGTCACAGATCTCTTCCAGGCTCCTGCAGATGCTCCTGGATCCCTGGGCACGGCAGAAGAGCCGCGGAGGCTGCAGGACAACCTTGAACAAGATCCTTCCAAAAGAATCAAAATCCTTGAGATTGTGATTTATTTTTTCAACAGGAGAGTACTGGAACCCGCTCCCGAAAGAGGGGGCAGCTGCTGCCCTTGGTGCAGGCCTAGGGCTGAGTTTGCACTGCCCGAAGTTGGCAGTAGAGCAGGTTCTGGCTGGCCAGGGCAGCAGCCGCCTTGGTGCCCTGTCCACTTGGTGCTGTCAGAGAGTTGCTGCAGTGGCTGCGTTTTCAGTGATGCATAGGGAGGTTTCCATTTCTGATTTCCCCTCTGGAGACAGGTGTTTCTGGTCTGACTGGTTCTGGTTTTAAGTGTTTTGGCTTGGGCATTGTCACCACAGCAGTTCTCCAACCCCATCTTCAACAACTGGCCTAAGTGGAACCTGTTCTTCCGAGCAAGGTAGAAGCTGCTGTGTTGCAGTCCAGGTAGGAAGGATCCATCTCCATCGGTGCCACGGACGGGATGCGACTGTCCCTGAGTATGGGACCTCCATGGCCTAGGCTCCCTCCATCCCAAATCAGCGATCCTGGAGGAAACGAGAGCGAATGATGCCTATGGAAAATCCAAGGTCAGGACGGGAGAGGCCTTTGTAGCTCTTCCATCTCACGAGGCTTCCAAAAGTTGCACAAACAGCCGCTGGGATAGAATTCACATTGGAACCACAGTGGTGCAGCAGGGTGTCGTTTGCAGAGCAAACTGCAGGGCGAATGGCAGTTTCTCGAGGCACTGTGTGAGTGATGAGCCCCTCGGGGTGTCCTGGCTGCCCGCCCGTGGCTGCAGGTCCCCAGCCTTCAGCAGGGCTCTGGCCTCGCTGCGCACAAGGAGGCTCTGACTTCACCATCTTACTGCGTTAATATTATTAGGATTGTGTTCCTGCTTGTATTGAGAGCTGCCTCCAGGAGCCCGTGGATCCTTTGGACCGCGGCCGTGTCCTGCGGGGCAGCCCATGGCTGCTGGGCAGGACGTGCCGAGCGCCCACCAGGACAGCGGCAGCGATGCCCAAGGTCCCAAGCTGAGCGTTTCCAGCAAATCCCTAAGGAAAGGGCTGCAGAGCCGTGCGCTGGGGATTGCAGCAGGGCATCCTGCGCCGCTGGGCTCGAACAGCCGTCCTTGGCCGGGCTCCATCACGGACGGACTAGCGGGAGGTGACGCAAGGACGAGGGCGGCTGCGCTGCGCTGATCCCCGCGGCAGCACCCGGCAGAGCCCCTGGAAGGGCCCGTGGGGAAAAGCGGGCGAGCAGGTGAGCATGGAAAGGTGGGAATGAGGGAGCCGGCGGGTGCAGCGCGAGCTCCCCGTGCTGGGCACCCAGCAGCACGGGGGCACGAGCGCGGGCGCTGCAGCAGGGCCAGGCCCCGCTGCAGTCAAGGAAAAGCTCTCAATGGATGGGATTCCAAGCGGACCTTGGCCCTGGAGTTTATCCCTGTGTGGAGGGATCCATCCACCTGACTGGGCAGGGAGAAGGTTGGCGGATGGGAGCTGTTGAAGGACTGCTCGTACACAAGACAAACTGCAGCCCTAGTGCTGCCTAATTGCTTGGGTAACGCTAGTTTATTCTGTTGCAATTTCCTCATCCATTTTTAAATTTCATTACAGGAATCCCGCTTAGTGCGGGGCTCTTAGCAGTCTCGCTCGCGCTCTTTGTTTTATTGCCTGCAAATGAAAAGTTTAAGCTTATTCCTAAAGAAATCAAAACAACAGAGATGCTTGCATAGAGCTGAAGGCTGGCGCGGGGGTTCCTCCCTGGAATTAGCAGGGAAGCTGGATAAGGGCCAGTATTAGAAACATGTCGCTCCATGAGGATCACATCTTGTGCTCTGCTTGCACCGGGAAGGGCAGAGCTGATGTCCCGGTGTCCTGGCTCCGAACGGGAGCAGCGAGTGCTGGCAAAGGTGCTGGAATTACCTGGGAGCCGGGAAGTGCGAGGCCTGGGTGGGATGTGCAGGAATGGGGCAGCAGAGCTGGGCATGGTGCTGGGAGAAGGGGATATCTCTGCAGAAGGTGCTGAGTTGTCTGAATCCCCCACGTCCTCCCCTGAGGAGATATAAAATCCCTCGCACGGGGCTGCTGCGTGACAGGCAGCCGCACTAAATCTGCACCTAAATGAAAAACCCAGGTAGGACTTATTTTCATACCGTTTAGCTGAGATTTGGCATCTTGGAGGGAGGAAGGGAGAGAGCGGATCGGAGGGAGGGGGGAGAATGGGAGCCGGGGTGGCTTTTCCTCTTCAGAAATATTCCCGGCACTAAAAGAAGAATTTATAGTTCAGCGCTAGGGGGAAAAATGCATAATTCATTTTTGAGGCTTGAGAAGACAAAAAAAAGGTGGCATTTCATTTGGGTTTGTGCTGGGAGTTGCAGGCGAGGCCCCCGCCTTGTTCCCTGCTGTGCAGGGTCCGGCAGAGCGGAGGGGAAACCGGGTTTATC